AGCACTGAAACAAAACAGAAAAAAAAAAAAAGGAGGGGAGTTAAAAAAGCAAGCTATAAATTTGGGGGAGATAGTTTCAATAAATTTAACTAATGAAGACCTACTATGCAGAATATATTACGAGCAACTATAACCCAATAAGAGAAAAATAGACAATAGCAAAATAGGCAAAAGACTTAGCATCTCAAAAAATAAGTATGTGTAAAGTTATCTCATACCTCTCACATACAAATATCCAGGTTGTCCACTGCACACTCACCATATCTGTCATGCAGACATAATAGACAGATATATAATTTAAATATTATGTATTATATATTACATATATATCAATTCTCCTAAAGATGGCAATGATACTCTCATAGATTATCGATGATACTATAAATTATTACAACCACTTTGGATGATTTATCTTTATCTAGTAAAACTGAAAATATGCATGTCTCACAAATCTCAGACACATAAGCATCAAAAAAAGACACATACAAGAATACTCACAATGCCCTTGTTATGGGGTTTGTTATTGTTTTGGGTTTGGTTTTTTTATTTTTCCATGCTAGTACCAAGGCTTGACCTCATGGCCCTTGAACTTGTACCCTTGCTTGGCATTTTTGTTCACAATTGATGCTTTACCACTTAAGCCATACCTCTATCCTTGATTGTTGATGGTTAATTGGAGATGGAATCTCATGGACTTTTCTGTCTGGGTTGGCTTTAAACCTAGATCCTCACATCTTAGCCATGAAGTAGGTAAGATGATAGTAATGAGCCACCGGCGCCTGCCTATGACATTGTTCCTAACTGTAAAAAGCAACAAATAACAAATATCCTTCAGCAAAAAATAGATAGGTAGAGATAGATAGATAGATAGACAGATAGACAGACAGACAGACAGACATATTAAGTAGTCTGAGATGAGAAAAGGAGAAAGGGTTAAAGCATAGAAAAGGGTAGATGGGCATAATCAATGCATAATATATTTACACATGGGAATATGACAGGAAGGTTCCCCTTCTTTCATCCTTTAAGTCCCTGGGCATGACTGACTCTCCTCTGGGAATTTTCTTCTGCTCCTCCTTGGGGCGACAGGAATAGTTATCTAACCCTCCCCAGCCTCACAGATCCGCCTTAGAGCTGGGCACTGACCTCGGGCTTTCCCTCTTCAGAAGCAGAACAAAAGCTCCAGCAGACTGCAACCCAGTCAGAAGCTGCCACGGTGAGAAGAAAGATCTATGTAGGTATTTGGAGGGAAGTAAACCTGAGATTGGAACCAATTCTACCACTGGCAAACTTAGGTTCATATCCAGTCCTATCCCTTAATACATATGCTATTTAAAGGATATAATTTAACCTCTCTAAACCTTGGTGACCTCATCTACAAACTGGGATAATAAGTAGAATCGTTTTCTCAGTTACCCTGAGACATTAAACCCATGGAAAACACCTGGAACATGTCTGGCCTGTAATAAGTACTCAGGACATCCTAACTCTCAATGATGCTGCTGAGATGAAGAATTCTTGTAAGCTTGGCCAGTGCTGTATTTATTGGGGATCTGGAGAGCTGTAGAGAAAACGGTCTGAGAAGACCTAGAGTTGAGGTGTGGCTCTCCCTTCTAAGCGAGACTAAGCATATCACTGGAAATCACTGATCCCCAATAGAGTTAGCTAGCCATTCATTCAGTCACCCTCCAAGTTGCTCTAAAGGGCATATTAGGTTTAGTAAAATCACTTTGTAGAATTGTTCATTCCTTCAACACAGCATGGTTTTGTTGTTGCTGTTGTTGTGATACTGGGGATTGAACTCAGGGCCTCAAGCTTGCAAAGCCACCCTTCCAGCCTCTTTTTGTATTAGTTATTTCTGAAATGACCAATGGAGTTTCAATTCCATATATTGCTTTATAACCAAGGTACCCTCATTTGGGCTGCAATCTTCCTACTTAGGTTTTCCCGTGTTGCTAGGAATGGCAAGAGGGTGCCACTGCACCTAGCCATTAGTTAAGATAGAGTCTCAGAAACTTCTTCCCTAAGGCTGGCCTCAACCCATGATCCCCTTGATCTTTATCTTCAAAATAGCTTGGATGACAGGTTTGAGACACTGTACCTGGCTAACATAGTACTCTTTGAGACTCCCCACTCTTCAATAGGCTGTATGCTGGCACTAGGGCAGAGATGAGTCCCACTTTCAATCTGGCGGGGAGATCAGGAAGCCAGTAATTATAGCATGGTAAAGACATTCCAGAGCTTGGCTTTAAAAATGGGAAGAGGGGCTGGGAAGGTGGCTCAGTGGTAGAGCGCTTGTCTTGCATGCCTGAGGCCCTGGGTTCCATTCCTCAGCACCACATAAACAAAAAGAAAAAAGCTGTAAGTGGTGGTGTGGCTCAAGTGGTAGAGCGCTAGCCTTGAGCTGAAGAGCTGAGGGACAGCCCCCAGGCCCAGAGTTCAGGCCCCACGACCAGACCCCCCCCAAAAAAAAAAATGGGAAGAAAGATTGGGATCTCAAAGGCTATATAAAGTTAAGACAGCGTGTACTTTCTCCAACAACAGAGACGTGAACTTTTTCATAAACTGAAGGGAAAGAAGCGAGATATGGGAGATGTTCTGAAGGCAGAGAGAGAAAAGACTTCTCCTCTGGAGCTGAAGGAAGAAAGAGGAAGAGAGTAGCGCAACAGCTTATGAGGACAAGAGGTCACTGAAGTTCTTTTCTGGGGCTTTGACTTTGGCAAGGAGGAGACAGGCTTCTTCCCACAGGAATCCTCATTTCAGTTCTCCTGTCTGTCCCACTGTTCTACTGCTCAGAACAGTAATCCTTTTAGGGTAATTTAGCCGCCTTCAACTCCCTCCTGTACTCGTCACTAAGTTTTATTGATACCATGAAGCCTCCAGAGCAATCAAATCTCTTCAAGCGCTGGTGTGCACCAAATGCTGGTTTCCAGCACTGTTGGCTACTGGGTCTCCCTCTGCTTCCCTTCTTTTCTTTCTTTACACGATCCTCTCTTTGTGTGTGTACCAGTCCTGTTTGAACTCTGGGCTTAATCAACTGTCTCTGAGCTTTTTTACTCAAACCTGGCATTCTACCACTTGAGCACAGCTCCCATTCCCCAGCTTCCCTTATTTTAGTCACATACACTGATCTGTTTATTCTGCCTATGGTCGTGGGGCTTGAACTCAGGGCCTGGGAGCTGTCCCTGAGCTTTTTTGCTCAAGGCTGGTGCTTTTACTACGTGATTCACAGCTCTCCTTGAAGCATTTTGGGTGACTAATTTTTGATAGAGTCTCACCAACTTTCCTGCAGAGGCTGGCTTCAAATGGTAATTCTCAGATCTCAGCCTCCAGTCCTAACTGGACTACAGGGCAAGCCACCAGCACCCCCACATATTTCTTCACTCATTTACACACCATCTCTCACATCACTCTGCTTCCATTTTCACTTTCCTCCTGGAAGGTCTTCCACAAACTCCACCATAAGAGTCGTTTTTACCACCTTCCCACAAGGGCTGACTGACCCTTGTCCAACCTCAACAAAAATACATCTCCCAAAATCTATGTTCTGCTTTCTAAATCAAGACTCTAAAGATTTCCAGAAATACATCCCAAGGGGCCTTTGGGATTCCAGGTCCTCTTCCTCTTGAGTTCTCCTTGTAGTGTGAATATCAGATCCACGTGTCCCTTTTTCCTGAGTCTTCAGAGGATGGCTATGGTAACACAAACAGTGATTTTCATAGATCCAAACCTAGTGAAAAGGAAGAAAAATATATCCAAATTATTCCACCATCTATAAAGTATCTCTAATCTTCAGTGTAGCTAATATTAATACAGGTAAAGGGACAGCTGCCTAGTGTACCTGACATTTCAGACTTACAGTCCTACAACCCAGCAAATCTTAGGAAAAGCAGAACAAATTGTCATCCTGAAATTGCTAAAAGAATAGACTTTGGTGTGAGTCCCTGGGTTCAAATCCAACTCTGCCATTTACTAGCCATAAAACCTTCAACTGGACTGAACCTTTACTTTGTCTCAGTTTCCTCTTGGATAAATGAGAATTTTTTAAAGCTAGTATACAAAGGCATCTCAGATGTTTCCAGGTGGATACTCAATGTCCAATAAGCATTAGCTGTGTATTTGTATATCAGCCATCTCATCAAACTGTGCTTCTTATGCATCTGGGTAAGATAGGACTGCATTGCTGAATCTTCTATCTTTCAATTTCTACTCCCTTCGTTACGCAAAAAGTTTAGTTCTAAACATCCAATTACACGTGTGGCCTGCTCCATCTTCTTCCTACTCCCCATCCACCAACTCACAAGCAATGCTCCAACAAACCCTATGTCTGAACTTGAAGCTCTGGTGAGCACTCCAGAGGCATATCCTCCCAGAACTCACCTTGAGAGAGGAAAGCAAGGTCATCACCAAGGATACTGAAGATGAGGCCCGACAGGAGAACAAGGCCATTTGAGTGGGGCTTAAGAAAGGATCAGGCTCTAGAACAGGTTCCTTTTGGTCCAGAAAGACCAACTTCCTCGGCAGCTTTCCTCTAGCTTAGTTAGCTTCAGCGTGCCTGAGCACACAGTGAGCCCATCATTCCTAGTGGGTTCCTCTCTCCCAAGCAATGCATCTGTCCTTCTCATGCTCTTTGAATCAAAGCTCTCCATAGTTTCTCTTCTGAATAAAGCATTTTTCTTCAACTTTTCTTCTGTTACCTTCAGCCATCATTATTTTACGCCCCCTTCATATAACATATTGACATGTTCTCCTTACCTTTTACTTAGCAATCCAATGCCTGTAAGATGTTATAAATAAACAAGGGTCTTGAGTTTACATGAGCTCCTAGAGGACAAGGAAATCTGTGTAGCTTCCACAATACCTCACATTGTACTGTCTGCTCCAAAGTAATAAACAGGCAGGCAGGCAGATTTTCATAAAATTCTCAGGCCCCTAAAATAACTATTTCCTTCTAACTGCCTCTGATCCCCATTCCTGGTGCCAGCCCAGGACTGAACCTAATGGGTGAGGATGGAAATATCAGCACTGTCAACATCTCCTATATCAACTTCTTCCTGGTGGGTTTCCCTGGACTGCAACAGTGGCGGGCCCTCTTGGTCCTGCCTCTCACCTTCCTCTATGTGACCATCATTACTGCCAATGCTGTGGTCATCTACACCGTGGTGGCTCAGCGGAGTCTGCACCAGCCCATGTATGTACTCATTGCTCTGCTCCTGGCTGTGAACATTTGTGCTGCCACAGCAGTGATGCCTAAAATGTTAGAAGGCTTTGTACATTATGCGAATCCCATTTCGCTGCCTGGCTGCCTGGCCCAGATGTTCTTTATCTACTTCACCCTTCTTCTGGATTACAATCTCCTGCTAGCCATGGCCCTTGACCGCTACGTGGCCATCTGCCACCCACTCCGTTACTCTGACCTGATGACTTCCCGCCTGCTGGGCTCACTGGCCATTTTTGCCCTGACACGGAGCCTGGGAGTGGCAGCACCCTTGGTGATACTAACTGCACGAGCTCGATTCTGCCACACAGCTGTGATTCGACACTTTACCTGTGAGTACATCGCACTGCTGAGCATAGCTTGTGGAGACCTCACCTTCAACAACCAATTGGGACTGGCTATGCGGCTGATCACTGTGACCTTCGATCTGGTCCTGCTGGGAACTTCCTATACTCGGATTATCTATGCGGCCTTCCGAATCTCCTCTGGAGGAGCCCGCTCCAAGGCCCTGCACACCTGTGGCTCCCACTTATTGGTCATCCTTACCATCTACCTCTCTGGTCTTTCCACTTCCATTGTCTTTCGAGTAGCCAAGACTGTGTCGCAGGATGTTCAGAATCTACTCAGCGCCATCTATTTGCTGCTGCCCGGAACCCTGAATCCTCTCATCTATGGGGTGAGGACTAGGGAGATCCGGCAACATGTAGGAAAGATGCTCTGTGGAAAGGAACCACCCCAGGAGATGGGAAAAATACCACAGACGTTACAGAACCCAAGAGTAGAGAGGAAGTTGCCAGGGTAAAGAGGGCTGTAACCTCCAGTAACAAGAACGAAACAAGCAGTACTGAGACAGGCTGCCATTTCCTGACATTATAGGCTCAGCAGCAGGGCCACTGTTGGTCAACGATGGTTTGTTAAATTATTAGAATGTTTTGTCTTTACCCCAATAATAAAACTGCTTGTACCTACTTATCCTTATTTTTCTCTGTCCTCTGATTCTTGGGAAAGCCCAAATTAATGTGAATGCATGTAGCTTTATTAGTATGCACACAGAACAGATCAGATTACAACCTGTCTGAACTTTTAGTGTCAAGCAAACAGTTTAAGCCCTTACCTAGGGCTGTCTCTCCCAAATTTAGCCTAAGACTTAGACATGAAGTTCAGTGTGGCCAAATATGCCTGTCAGCCTTGAGTTTTCTATTCTAATTCAAGAACTGAATTAGGCAAAGGCCCTGCTTGAGATTGCAAATCTGACATAGACACACGGGTCAGGCTGACCTTAGGGTGGCCCATTTCGTTCACACAAACAGGCTAGTTTATTCCCAGGGCCCCCGTCTGACAGATACTCCAACAAGATCTTCTAGGCTGTAATCTAGCCCAAAGATCAGAACAGACCTTCCCCTGAAGCCCAATATGAGCCAAACACCCGTCAGAACTCTGAGGCCTCTGGGCTGACCTCAGGCATACACACAAGGCATACACACAAGGCATACACTGGCTCCCACCTGACCCAAAGACCAGACAAGGTCCTAGTCTGAGATCCAGACCTGAGTCTGACTCCAATTCACATGTATCAGTACATTCTTCCTCTGGTAGCTAACATGATCTACCCTTGTCAGAATAGTGTATAGTCTCAACTACTCAAGAGACTGAGGCAGGAAGATCTCCTGAGTCAAGTTCAGGGTAGCCTGGATAATACATGAGACCCTGTGTCAAAACTTAAAAAAATAATTTAAATTCCTTGCTGAAGACTTCTATAAGCCAGGTGCCAGTGGCTCACACGTGTAATCCTAGCTACTCGGGAGACAGATCTGAGGATCTCGGTTCAAAGCCAGTCCGGGCAGCAAAGTCCTTGAGACTCTTATCTCCCATAAACCACCAGTAAACTGGAAGCAGCACTGTGGCTCAAGTAGTAGAGTGCTAGCCTTGAGCTTAAGAGCTCAGAGACAACACTCAGGCCCAGAGTTCAAGCCACACAACCGATCAAAAAAAAAACCAAACCTTCTCTGACATCTCTAGAAGGGAGCTATGTTGCCCTACATTGCATAAAACCATGGATTCTTCTCTTTCTCTGTCAAATGACCAGAGTGAATTCGTGAGGCCATAGAGATTAGGGAGAGAGATAAGTGTAGTAGGAGCAGGGGCCATACCATTTGAGCCATTTCTTCATATGTCTTCAGTGCCCGCTTGAGTCAGATCTTGTACATAACACTTCCGTTAGAGGATGGGGTGCTGCCCCATGTGTCCAAATGAAAACACATGAAGCTAATGAAACCCTATGCTGTTGGAATTACCATTCAATGGACAATAACTCATTGTCATGCTCCAACATCCCTTTTCTGCAAAATCCTGAGCACTCAGTACCTGAAGTACTTGAATACTTCAAGTCAACGGTGTCACTAATCTTTGCCATCCTCCCAGAAAGACATTACAGATGTTGGCTGACCATTTTCCTAGTGACCTTCCACTTGGCACTTGGCTTTTCCTGTTATAACAGCCCTTGCTCCAGAAGCAGGAATGATTGTGGGGATTCTGCCTGTTGCTGAGCATGTCTTTTATAATTATGCATTATAGGACTGAAGAAATAAACACAGGATAGTTTCTGGAATCCACAAAATCCACTTAGATGGACCTGAGCAAAGACTCCATTATCACCTGACCTACCTAAGCTTCTACTCTGTAGACCACAGTGACACTTGGGGTTTCCCATGTCAGTTCAGTGCCTGTGTCCAGGAATCCCTAAAAGATTTGTTTCCTTTTCCCCAATATAGCCACTCTGGTAAAAAGACTACAGGTCCCTATCGTTCCCACAGGGAAAGATTAAATATATGCATATTTGGTGGTGTAAAGTAACTAGATCGTATAATGTAAAACAAAAGGGTGAATTAAAACAAAAGATGACACCAATTTCATGGAAGTCTGTTTGATGAAACCTAAATACGAAGTTCTATTAAAAAAAAAAAACATTCAACAGATCCCTATATTTATCTCAAATGAAGAAAGAGGATGATATTATCCAAGCAGCATTATACTCATTACCTTACTTACAGAATTGGAACTCCTTTATACAACTTCTTAATAATATTTAAAAAGAAAAACAAAGGAATTCACTATGTAGCCAGGCACTGTTGGTTCACACTTGTAAGCCTAACTGCTTAGGAGGCTAAGACCCAAGAATCATAGTTCAAAGCCAGCTTGGGCAGGAAAGTCGATGAGATTCTCATCTCCACTTAGCCACCAAAATAGCCAGAAGGTAGAGCTGTGATTCAAGTGACAGAATTGTAGCCTTGAGCACAAAAACTCAGGACAGTGCCCAGGTTGAGTTCAAGCCCTAGTACTGGCTCACGTGCACACACACAATCACTATGTGGCAGATATATATATTTCTAAAGTTTCAAGCTTCATTTTTCTTTTCAAATTTTAAAATATTTGACAAAATCTTGTATATTCAATGTGCACGACTTATGTATACACTGTGTAATGATGTCAATCAAATCCATTTAAAATGACCATCATCTCCATGTTATACACTAGACCCCCAAGCTCATTAATCTTATCATTGAAAGTTTGTAACTATTGGCCAGCATGATTTTTTAAATATCAAATAGAGCTATCTAGTTAATATTCTATTTTTGCAATCTTCATTAAAAAAAATGAAAAAAAAAGTTTTTCCCCCAGAATTTTATCAAGAATTGCCTACCATTTTGCAACATCCCATTAGGGTCTCTTATAGTATATTACCAAGTTTGTTGGTTTTGTTCCCCCAGCTTGTTCTCATAACTTTGTGCCCACGCCCAATTGGTCTCCTCCTTTTTCCTTAGTAAGTCTTCTTTTTCTTTTATATTTAGATTCCACCTGATAGAAAGTGTGACGTTTGTCCTTCTGAGTCTGGCTTGTTTTGCTTAACAAGATAATCTCCAGTTATACTCATTTTCATACAAATGACATTTTCATTCTTCCTTATGGCTAAATAAAACTCCATTGTGTACAACACATTTTTTTAATCCATTCTTCTGTAACGGGTACTTAGCCTTATTCTAGTAAACACAGGTGTACAGGTATTTTGTGGGTAGATACCCCCAAATTGGTATAAATGGGTCAGATGGTAGTTCCACTTTTTTAACTTTTTTTTTTTTTTTCTCCCCAGTTGTGGGGCCTGTACTTTGGTCCTGGGCTCTGTCCCTCAGCTCTTCAACTCAAGGCTAGTGCTCTACCACTTGAGCCATAGCGCCACTTCTGGTTTTTTTCTGCTGAGGAATTGAACCCAGGACCTCATGCATGCAAGGCAAGCACTCTACCACTGAGCCACCTTCCAAGCCCTTTAAAGTCTTGAACCTTTACACAATTATAGTGGCTGGATTAATTTATATTCCCACTAACAAAAGTTGTCTTATAAACTCAAAAAGCTAAAGGAAAACACAAGTACAGAAAAACAACAAAATCAGTCTATCAACAAAAATAAACATATCAACAAAGGTAAAAATAAAAAAAATCAAATTCTAGAACTGCAAAGCATAATAACAAAAAATTCTTGAGAGGGCCTTAACAGCAGGAAGAAGTATGAACAAACTTGAAGATAGGGCAACAGAAATTATTATGTAATAGGAAACAGAAAGGAAAAAGAAAATTGAACAGAGACTAGAGACCCAAGGGCCATCAAGGCCAATCATCAATAGCGACATTACATTATGAGAGCTCCGTAACAGGGAAAGAAGCAAAAGCTTTATCTGAAGAAATAATAGCCCCAAATGTCCCAATTTTCCAATTTAATAAAAAAAAAAATGTAGTTATAGATCTAGGAAGCCTAAGGAGGAAAAAAAATCCAAAACAAAAAACATCTCAAATAACCATGTCAAGAAACATTAGAAGGGCTGGGAAGGTGGCTCAGTGGTAGAATGCTTGCCTTGCATGCATGAGGCCCTGGATTCGATTCCTCAGCACCACATAAGCAGAAAAAGCTGGAAGTGGCACTTTGGCTCAAGTGGTAGGGCGCTCGCTAGCCTTGAGCAGAAGAGCTGAGGGACAGTGCTCAGGCCCAGGCCCCATGACCAACAACAACAACAAAAAGAAACATTAGAATAAAATGGTCAAAGCCATGAGCATGACTAGTATAGAAATTATGAAAAACAGGTGTTAGTGAAGATGTAGAGAACCTGGAGCCTTTGAAGATCACTGGTAGAAAAATAACTTTTTTTGCGGGGGGGAGGGTCTGTTATGGGGCTTGAACTCTGGGCCTGAGCACTGTCCCTCAGCTCTTCAGCTCAAGGCTAGCATTCTACCACTTGAGCCACAGTGCCACTTTGTTTTCTGGTGGTTTATTAGAGGTAAGAATTTCCCAGCTTTTCCTGCCTGGGCTGGAACCATCATCCTCAGATTTCAGCCTCCTAGGATTACAGGCATGAGCCACCAGCACCCAGCTCACTGGTGGAAATATAAAACAGTGCAGCTGATATGGAAAAGTTAGGTAATTCCTCAAAGTTAAACACGGAATGGTCATATATTCCTACACCTTTTTTCAATGTACATAACCCAAACAATTGAATGTAGGAATTCATTCAATACATTGTATACCAATGTTATTCTCAGATCTTACCCTCTTGTGTGGCTAGGATTTTAGGCATTGAGCCACCAGCACCCAGCTTAGTTGTAATGTTTTGATGAGTTCAATCTTTCCTATTTGGAAAGATTGAAAAATTACAGATATGGAAAGTGCTGATGGCCATACAAGACTGTGAATGTACTAAATGCCACTGAATTGTACATTTAAAAATGGGCCAAACAGTAAATTTGATGTTACAGAAATTTTACTACAGGGGTAGAGTGGAGGAAAAGGACATACTGCAGCATCTATATAGTCTAATAGTATCTCAAAAAATCTCATTTAATTCTCAAAGTTTTTTTCAAATATGACCTATGTATGAAAATAAGTAACAAAAATTATCATCACACAATCATTTAGAAATGTTTGTCTTTATTTCAGAATGACCTATAGAACTTGACTCCTTATCCACAGTTCTCGTGGGTTATCAGTGAGTTTTGAGTCCAGGAAACCAGTAGAAGCAACAAAACTCAAATCAGTGTCCTTACCCAAACTGAAATCATCAGAAAAGGAATGCTAGAAGGGTTGATGAAACCTTACCAAATCACTTCCTAGTTCCACGATGACTTCTTTTGCAACCCTAAAACTCCACTTTGATTCCCAAAATATTTTGGTGTTTTTTACTTTTAAAAAATCATTATCTTCACACTATGTAGAAACTACTTTAAATCAATTGCTCCTTTTGTTGCAGTGAAGTCCAGCAAAGCCTTACCATTTCAAGCAAACCCACTATGTCTATCTACACTCAATCAAGTTGGTCTGCTCTGGATGATGTGCTGATCTCTTTTCAGCCTTTCCTCAGGACCCACACATCAGACACTCATCTCTGTTCTCCAAAGAACACACCATGGCTGCTGTGTTCCTCTCCTTCTCCTCTTCTTCTTTCAATGTCTTTTCTTTATCTCTCAGCTTTTCTTTATTTATGGTGAATTGGATTGGGTTAGCTGCAGGTCTTGTCCTTAAATAATACATCCCAGTCTTTAAACCCTGTAAGGAAGTAAATAAAACTACTAGGAAAAATTTTGCGAGAACACTAGACATTCAAGGTCAATGTTTAAAAGACATTCCCTTACATGCTAAAACATCAACTTAATTTAACAATATTCTCATAAACCAGGTCAAACTCTTTACTAAATTTGAAATTCTAGGGTGACATTGGTCAAGATGCACTGTACTCGGGCTAGGAATGTGGCTTAGTGGTAGAGTGCTTGCCTAGCATGCATGAAGCCCTGGGTCTGATTCTTTAGTACCACATAAACAGAAAAAGCTGGAAGTAGCACTATGGCTCAAGTGGTAGAGTGCTAATCTTGAGCAAAAGAAGCTCAAGATAATACCCAGGCTCTGAGTTCAAGAATCAGTACTGGAAAAAAAAAAAAAAAGATACACTGTACTCATAATCTGACATACAGAATTGAAACCTCTTTATACAATTATTTAAAAAAAAATTTTTAAGATGCATTAAACCTATAAGCTGATATGTTGAATTAAAACTCTTTTGCACAACTACTTAATGATTATAAATATTATTTTTAAAATTGCAATTCTATCTTCTCTAGGTGGTACTCTCACATATTTTTATTCAGTTGTATTTGCTTTTATTATGAGACTTCTGGTTTGCCAAAGACAACACATCTGCCTTAAATTCTACTTATTTTCAGAGACAAAGTAAGTGTCTGTGTAACAGACTATAAATACTTTAGGATAAGGATCATCTTCTGTTCTGTATCCTAGTGCTGGTATACTGTAGCAGCTCAAGAAAAGTATGTTACATAAGAAAACAAATTTATGATTGTACATAAAAATCTATCACATTGCCAGGCATTGGTGGCTCATATCTGTCATCCTAGTTACTCAGGAGGCTGAGATCTGAGGATGGTGGTTTGAAACCAGTCCAGGCAGAAAAGTCCATGAGGTTCTTATTTCCAATTAATCAGCAAAAGCCAAAAGTAAAGCCATGGCTCAAGTAGTAGAGCATTAGTCTTGAGCAAAAAACTCAAGGACAACACTCAGGCCCTGAGTTCAAGCTCCAGGACCAGTACAAAAAAAAAAAATCCATCATATTGCCAAGGAATAAGAACAGAATTCAGATTCATAGAACTTTACAGTTGGCTTTTACACTGTGGGGAAAAAATGGATAATTCTGAATACGGGTTGACATAGACAAAGTATTCATTTAGGAATGGCAGCAGTGAACAAGATGGTTTGAAACAATACACTAAAACAAAAATATCAGCTAAGAATAATGGCAATGGAAGAGGTGAGAAGACATTCAAGAAACATACAAAGAGGGCTGGAAAGGTAGCTCAGAGGTAGAGCGTTTTCGTATGCATGAGGCCCTGGATTTGATTCCTCAGCACCACATAAGCAGAAAAAAAAAGCCAAAATGGTGCTGTGGCTCAAGTGGTAGAGCGCTAGCCTTGAGGTGAAAAGCTGAGGGATAGCACCCAGGCCTAGAGTTCAGGCCCATGACTGGACCCCCCCCCCCGCCCCAAAAAAAGAAACATACAAAGAATAACCAATATAATTTAGTAAAGAATTGCAGGGACAATAAAGGGGATGGAAAGGATCTTAAGTAGCAACTCCAAGTTTTCAAACCTAGGATGAAATAATTTCAAGACAAGCAAAAATCCAAAAGCAAGAGCTGTTATGGTATATAAACCATGGATTGGTTTTAATACATTTGGATTTGAAATAAAAGAATTTCTAGATGGTAATATTTAATAGGTAGCTAGGATAAAAAACTGTTCCTGGGCTAGTGGACTGGCTCATGAGACTTTGAAGTCAAACTCCACTACTAAAAAAGAAAACAAGCCGGCCATTGGTGGCTCACACCTGTAATCCTAGCTATTTGAGAGGCTGAGATCTGAGGATCATGATTCAAAGCCAGCCCGGGCAGGGAAGTCCATAAGACTCTTAGCTCCAATAAACTACCAGAAAACTGGAAGTGGCGCAGTGGCTCAAGTGGTAGAGTGCGAGCCTTGAGCTGAAGAGCTGAAGGAGAGCGCATAGGCCTAGAATTAAAGCCCCACAACCAAAAAAAAAAAAAAGAAAGAAAGAAAGGGAAAGAAAGAAAGAGAGAAAGAAAGAAAACACCAAAAAAAAATCCCATCCCATGCCAATAATTAAGTTATTTTAAACTTCCTCTACCAACCTGCTTCCAGCCGTAGAAGTGCATACTAGTGAGTTTGCCATAGTTAGGTTCCGCAATATGGATGTTCAAAGACTGACTTTGATCAATGAAGGCACCTCTCTCGGCCGCCATCTTAAGAACAGTTTTCTGAGAGATTTCCCACACAGTCTTATAAAGTTGTTTCAAATCATCAGGAATTTCTGGTATGCTCTGAAAAAGGAAAAACAAATCTCTATTCTGCCCTAGTAAAGAAACCAGTATGACTAACAGAATAAGAATGAAAGGGTCTAGTCTTCCTACCAGATTTAACCTTACAATTCATTCAGTACATGATGATCCTTGTCAAGTTTTTCCAGACTGCTTATGCCTACCGCTTGTTTAGAAAGTCAACCCCCTAACCAATCATGCATCCAAAGATTTCAGTATCCATCTCTATTTGATATATAACCAAAATGCTCATTATTCTAGAGATACTTAGGAAGGAACATTCAGAGAAAAATAGTAATAAGTGATGTAATTCACAGAGACATAATCAAAATAAGCAATGAGACAAGTAAGCTACAAACCCACAAACTCCATTTGGAATCTAAATAAGTCAGGTTTCTTAGGTCTATAGTTAATCTGCTTTAAAATGACAAACTAATGGTAGTTTCTGCCATCAAAAATTAAAATGTTTGGCTGGGAAGGTGGCCCAGTGGTAGAGTGCTTGCCTCACATGCATGAGGCCCTGGGTTCGATTCCTTAGTACCACATAAGCAGAAAAAGCTGGAAGTGGCGCTGTGGCTCAAGTGGTACAGTGCTAGCCTTAAACTGAAGAGCTTAGGACAGCGCCCAGGCCCAGAGTTCAGGCCCCATGACCAACCAAAAATAAATAAATAAATAAAATGTTTAAGACTTTTTGTGTTGCTAAGCAGACCAACATTTAGATTTCTATCTACAATTAAATGCTTCTTGATTCTCAACTGAAAATACTTTGTTATTAAAAAAACCTCTCTGTGCTGGACACTGGTGGCTCACGCCTGTAATCCAAGCTAATAAGGAGGCTGAGATCTGAGGATCACTGTTCAAAGCCAGCCCCGCCAGGAAAGTCTGCGAGACTCTTATCTCCAATTAACCACTAGAAAACTGGAAGTGGTGCTGTGGCTCAAGCGGTAGAGGGCTAGCCTTGAGCTGAAGAGCTGAGGTATAGCACCCAAGCCCAGAGTTCACGCCCCAGGACCAACAAAACAAAACAAAAACAACTCTGTGACTGTCTTCTGATATATCAATCTTCAAAGTATCAAGCTTTTTAAGGTTAATGCTAATTTTAGACTTTAAAAAAAATCAGTGTTCCCCAAGTTTTCAAGCATTTTGGAACTGCAAAAAGAATCTTTAACCCATCTCTCCCACACATTCTTATTTTACTAGCAGGAAATGAGCCCTAAACTACAGAATTTTTTAAATTCCTCAAGTGTACAGAAAAGTTAAGAACCAATGTTTTACTAAACAAATAAGAGGATCAGGGATATGTAAAGATGTGTACAATTCCTAGTACAACAAAGCAGAAGTAACAGCTACATAAGCAGAGTCTCTATGACAACAACAAATGAGAATTTTTCTCTTCAGGTAGACTACAATGTTAAAATTGGCTTCTGAAGAGCCACTTATATTCATTCTGTACCTGGATGGAGCCATTGCAAGCAATAATCTGGTTTTTCATCTCTTCATTCCACAAGCCCCGTTCAGTAAGATCTTTCAATAAGTGAGGATTTACAATCTGAATGGAAAAGCAGAAAACTTGTGAAGAAACATAACAATGACTGCCTACACAGAACCACAAGTATAGAGCTCAAAATAAGTGAATTATTTAGTATTAAATTGCTTAGTAAACTCTATTTTTCACAAAACTAAGAGGTCCATCTTACTACATGAAATTTATATTCTTTTAAGAACCTGATGTCTAAGCTGGACACAATAGCACATACCTGCAACCCTAGCTACTCAGAAGAAGAGGCGGGAAGATCAAGTTTGGGGCAAACATGGGAAAGACAACAGCAAGATCCTGTTCCAAAATCAAAATACAAGCCAAAGGGCTGGGGACATAGCTCATGTGGTAAAGCTCTTGACTTGCCTAGCTGCATGAGGCCCTCTGTTCAATCCCCAATACCATGAATCATCATCATTATCATCATCATCATCATCAACATCTTGAAATCTATTATTTTAAAAAGCATAATAGGGCTGGGAATGTGGCTTAGAGGTAGAGTGCTTGCCTTGTATGCATGAAGCCCTGGGTTTGATTCCTCAGTAACATATAAACAGAAAAAGCCAGAAGTGGTGTGGTCACTCAATTGGTAAAGGTGCTAGCCTTGAGCAAAAGAAGCTCAGGGACAGTGCCCAGGCCCTGAGTTGAAGCCCTAGGACTGGCAAAAAATAAAATAAAATAATATATATATAGTGGTTATCATAATGCAATGTATATAAAGATCATACTGTGTAGTTTGCAAAAGTGAAAAGAACAGTATCGCCTAAGCTAGACAAAACTATATGAACTGATTCTGCTTTATTTTTTCTAAGTGTACAATATATTTTTGGTTAAAAAAATTAGGTCACATCCCAAGCAAAAAAAAGTTGACATAGTGTATGCCTATTATTCCTGTTATATAGGAAAAGTAAATAGGAGGATCAAAGTCCAGGATGACCTGGGTAAATTAGTGAGACCCTATAACAAAAATGATGTGTGGAAATTCACATATTAAAAAAAAAAATCTTTCAAATTATTGGTTTACAACCCTTGCTACATATAAAAATCACTGGGAGGGCTGGGAAGGTGGCTCAGTGGTACAGTGCTTGCCTTGCATGCATGAAGCCCTGCCTGGGTTGATTCCTCAGCACTACATAAACAGAAAAAGTCAGAAGTGGTGCTGTGGCTCAAGTAGTAGAGCTTTAGCCTTGAGCTGAAGAGCTGAGGGACAGCGCCCAGGCCCAGAGTTCAGGCCCCACAACCAACCAAAAAAAAAAAAAAATTACCAGGGCACTTTCAAACACAGCCACACTGGTCTCACCTGCCAGAAATTCTAATTAGTAGCCAAGTCTGAGAACCAGTCTTAAATGTTTCTTTTATTAAACAAACAAACAAACAACCCAGGTCTTGTTGTAAAAACCAGGTTGGCCTCAAGCTTGTAATCTTTCCTACATCAGCCTCATGAGTACTGGAATTATAGGTATATTCCAATGTGCTGGGCTAATGCTTCTATGTACATCTTCAGTATCCCGACTTGAGCATGTTGAGGTTGTAGCATACAACCCTATAATCACATAACAGACAAAACATCAATGTCCACATTAATATCAATAAGTTACTTTCATAGTCACCTCCTAAACATTCATTCTTTCAGCAGATATCTATTAAATATTAAATGTCTATTATTTTCTGAAACAATATAGCACAGTATTAGAGAAAAAAGAGGACTAGACAAAGCTTTGCCCCCAAACTAAGAAAAAGCATATTCAATATATGTGGACATTCACTGCTAATCTTAAACCTTTAAAATATCTTTCTATAAATGTGGTTATGAACTTCTCACCTGAAATTCTCCTGACAAGACTCTGCGAGTATAGATGTTACTGGTATAAGGTTCAATGGACTCATTATTTCCCAGGATCTGAGCAGTTGAAGCAGTAGGCATCGGGGCAAGAAGCAGGCTGTTTCTTATACCATACCTAAAGAAAAAGAGATTATTATATGCTGGTGCTAAAAACTACAGTCTTCCAGAAAGGAAGCTGCTTTAAGTCACTGTAGCATATGCAGATGTCAGACATATCATATACATGCATTTGGCTAACATGTTCACTTGTGAAACTCTTATAAGGATGTGGATCCACACAGGATTGACCCTATAGCTCACTTATCTTAAATTCGTGATTCTTGAATAGAATTAGCACAATTTTTACTGCTGGCAATTCTTATAATACCCTAACTTATGCCACTTGCACTGTGGCACTCAGGAAATACACAAATCAGAACTGAAGAGTTGTCCACCTGTATCAGGGTACATTCATTCTTTTCTCATTTTTTTCATTCTTTGTGGACACTGAACCTAGGGCCCTGTACTTCCTAGGCAAGTGCTCTACCAAAACCTTTGTTTTATATTTTTTGGTTTGCTTGTTTTGGCCGAACTGGGGCTTGAATGCAGGGCCCTGTGCTTGCCAGGCAAGTGTCTGCAACTTGTGCCATATAACCAGGCTTCCTAATTTTGTATTTGGGATAAAGTGTTGTTAACTTTGTCTAGTCTGGTCTTGAACTATCAATCCTCCCTTCATTACTTTTGCCTCTAAGTAGCTGAGATTACCAGGTACCAGTGGCTCATGCCTATAATCCTAGCTACTCAGAAAGCTGAGATCTGAGGCCCAATGTTGGAAGCCAGTCCAGTCAGGAAAGTCTTTGAGACTTTTATCTCCAATTAATCCCCCAAAACAGATTAAAATAAACCTGTGGCTCAAGTTAAAGAACCAGCCTTCAGCAAAGAACAAACAAACCCTGAGATAATTGGCATGATATGCGTGAGCCACATTTGGTACTCCTCAGTCTTTTATAAGAACCTATATGATCACCATGCTAGGCCATTTCAGGAAACACATCACTGTGTTTCCTCACTAGTTTGAAAGGCCTACAGTGACTCCTTTTAGGAGTTAGGAGGACTGGGATTTGAATCCAAGGTGGTGGGCAAGCACTCTATCACTAAGCTATGTGCTTAGCCCAAAGATTACATTTTTAGTATTTCTCTCCTACATTACCCTTTCATTACTCTTTCAAAATCTTTAACTTATTCCTATAACCATCAACTAAAACAATTCATTTGTAAATCCAATATGCATAAAATTATGAATAAGAGTAAAAAACATTAAAAAAAAAATCCAGGAATATAAGCCAGGCACCAGTGACTCACACCTGTCATTCTAGCTACTCAGGAAGCTGAGATCTGAGGATTACAGTACAAAGTCAGCCTGGGTAAGAAAGTCTGTGAGACTCTTATCTCCAATTAACCACCAGAAACCTGGAAGTGACAGTGCAAAATGACAGGACTACCTTTGAGCACAAGAGCTCAGGGACAGTGCCGAGTTCAATCCTCACAACCAAAAAAAAAAAAAAAAAAGCAAAAACAAAACCAGGAATATAGGGCTGGTGGAATGGCTCAAACGGTAGAGTGTCTGCTTACCAAGCAGGCAAAGCTCTGAGTTCAACCCCCAGTACTAGTAAACTTAAAAAAAAAAAAAAGCAGGAATATTTGGAAAAGTTAAGGTATTGAGCCCCTAAAATAAAATCAACAAGTCATGTTTTGAAATGCTTTCACTTGCGGGCTATTCTGTATTTTCTTACTAAGTATTGTTCCAAAATCAGCTCTAAAATAAATAACTTTAAAACAGGAGAAAATAAGCTGGTATCTACCCAAGAAGTTGAGATCTGAGGATCATGGTTCAGAGCCAGCCCAGGCAGGAAAGTCTGTGAGACTCTGATCTCCAATTCATCACCAAAAAAATGGGAAATAGAGCAGTAACTCAAATTGTAGAGAGCTAACTTTGAGCTGAAAAAGCTCAGGGATAGTACCTAGGACCTAAGTTCAAGGCCAGAGCCAGAAAAAAAAAAAGAGAGAAAATATAAATTTCAGAATTTACAATAATATATTTTACTTTTTTTTTTTTCGGTTGTGGGTCTTGAACTCTGGGCCTGGGCGCTGTCCCTCAGCTCTTCAGCTCAAGGTGAGCGCTCTACCACTTGAGCTACAGCGCCACTTCCGGTTTTCTGGTGGTTTTTATTGGAGATAGGAGTCTCACGATCTCTCCTGCCCGGGCTGGCTTTGAACCGTGATCCTCAGATCTCAGCCTCCTGAGTAGCTAGGATTACAGGCGTGAGCCAACAGCACCCGGCAATATATATCTTACTTCTTAAGAGCCAAGAAAATCCATGTCCTCCTAACTTAATTCTAACTTTACTTACTTTGCAATCTTCTCCTTGAGAAGTTTCCAGTCCCATAGGTCGGTAGGAGTAACATTCCACATATCATACTGAAGAATCTAAGAGATAAAGAGCCCAAATTGATGTCATTCTATAGCAATTTAAAACTATGACAAAAAAAAAAAAAAACATGCCATGTTCCCACATCCCAACAAATGCTGTCTTTTAGTTAACCTATATAAAACAATCACATGATCCAGCGATTTTCCTGGATATGCTAACATGCAGTCAGAAGTGGTCTAAGAAAATTTGTTAAGGTCTCTCTCCTATAGCCCCTTGAGTCTTCTTATTCATTTGATGCCTACAAACCAGGAAGTCTTAACACTCATGAAACTATGTTGCTGAGATATTTTTTATAATAAAAACATATTCCAACCTTGATGTTTACTTCAGGTCATTATTTTGATTGTTTACTTAAGTAAAAACACCTTATTTCAAACAATGACACACGGAAATTCCTAAATATTAGCAGAAATGTCAAAACTTAAAATTTTACATCGAAGAGAATCATACTACTGATTTTTTTAAAAAGGCAGTGCAACAGCAGAATTTTAAGACAGCTTCCAAAATTGCTAGTCCCTGGTAGACAGGCCACAGACTAGGAGAATGTGTATAGGACCTGGGAATGCAATGCACGCCATGCCCACGATTGTGGTAAAGGTAAACATGTAATTAAGGTTACAATCAGTTAATTTTGACTCAAACAAAAAGAGAAGAACTAACTTGGTCAGATAAAATTCCTCAGAAGTACCCAGCACTGGTGGCTTAATGCCTGTAATCCTAGCACTTTCTGTCCCTTAAGCTTTTATGCACAAGGCTGGTGCCCCACCACTTGAGCCACACCTCTACTTCCAGCTTTTTGGTGGTTAATAGTAGATAAGAGTCTCACAGACTTTTCTGCCCAGGCTGGGCTTTGAACCTCAATCTTCAGATCTTAGCTCTTAATAGCTAGGATTACAATTTTAAGTTTGCACCTGGCACAAATGTATATTATTTTAATCCACTAAATTTAGTAATAGAAAGTAGCATCCCTCATCAGTTATTTTAGCAATGACTAATTAATTCAAGAGATTAAAATTGAGTATCCTATTCACTCCATAGGAGAAAGGTACTGAAGTTTCCTATGGCTAGTATGATACAATACGTTGGTAGTTAAAATAACAAAAAAATGTATTCTCATGTTTCTGGAAGTCACAAGCTCAAAATCTACATATTGGGATGGCATGTTCTCTCCAGAGATTCTAGTCCTTGTTTCTTTTAATTGCCATGGCCATTAGCATTCTGAGCCTTATGTCTTTATCACTCCAGTCTCTGCCATCATGATCCTTTTGCTTTCTCTTTTCCTCAGTCCCTCTAATAACTGTCATAAGATTTAAGGCCCACTTGAATAATCCAGGATGATCTCTTTAAGATCCTTCATTGAAATTACAAAGACTCCTTCATGAACACATAAAGATGATGTTCACAGATTGTAGTGATTAGGATGTGGTCTTCTCCTGAGAAGTGGGTCATATGGCCCAGTATATAGGTGCTCACAGAAAAGAAATTTCATTCATGTACTTACTCCTTTGCTTACTGGAGAGCCTTCATAGGTTTCATACGGGCCATACTCCTTGGCTAGGTCACAACTGGCTTCCAGGGCTCCATAATAAATAGTTTCAAAGATTTGCTTATTTAATAACTGAGCTTCTGGACTCTCAAAAGGGTATCTCATCAGGATAAAGGCATCTGCTAGACCTTGAACCCCAATTCCAATGGGGCGATGGCGTTTATTTGATAAGCTTGCCTTCGTGCCAAAAGATTTAGAAAGAAAAAAGAGAAAACATCACTGAAAACAAAAAATAACATCCAACATTGATAACATAATACCTGTTTGTTTTTCCTAAGACAGGGTGTTACCTGATAAACAGGGCTGACCTGGAAAATCGGGATCCTCCTACTTTAGCTTCCTAAGTTCTGAAACTACAGGTATGCACCACCATACCTGGCTATACAATCCCTCGGAACTTCAGTTTTCTCACTCCATTCTAATAACAACCATTTAATTTATGAATTTCAGACTTTGAAATCCCTCTTGGATTTCAATAATTATTGATAAAGACAGAAATCTATTCATACCTCTGGAATAGGGTAGTAGTTTATGTCAATAATTTTATTCAAATTACGAACAACGACTTTAGTGACTTCAGCCAACTTCTTAAAATCATACGTGTGTTCTGATGTGACATACATATTCAGGGCCAAGGAAGCCAAGTTACACACTGCAACCTAGAAAGAAAATAAAAGGGGGCTAGGATCACACAATTTTAATTTCTTCTCCCTATGCAAACCTCTAACGCTCAGACATGAAAATTTGTAATGTGTCTCTCTAACTTGTCTTTACAATTCATCGGTATATTTCTAACTCTCTTCAATATGCAGTGACATGAGTTGTAAGATACAGGTAAGGTGAAGGGACAATTATAACATATAGTTCTATTAACAAACCTATAGCACATTGTGATATGATTAATTTCTTTGGTATATATCTTCATATTCAAGTAAATATGTGCTGTAGCCATTAGCAACATATAACTATTTAATAAAAAATAAAATTTTAGGGCTGGGGGTGTGATTCAGTACTAGAGCACCTGCCTAGCAAGTGCAAGCCCCTCTAAAGGAAAAGTTTAAAAGTCGAAAGGAAAAAATAAGTACAACTGTAAAATCAATGTCAAGTGCCCCAAAGCCATAAGACAAAATATCTCCATCACTGCAGAAAGCTCTTCTAAAATACCACCTCACCTTCACTGGTAATTCTCTTCTTTATTTGTTTTGTTTGTTGGCGGTTTCTTGGTCCTCCTCAGCCTAGGGGCTTGAACTCAGCCTAGGTGCTATCGCTGAGCTTTTGTGTACAAAGCTAGTGCTCCACCACTTGAGCCCCAGCTTCGCTTCCAGCTTTTTGTTAATTGGAGATAAGTCTCTCACAGACTTTTCTGCCTAGGCTGGCTTAGAACTGTGATCCTCAGACGTCAGCTTCCTGAGTAACTAGGATTACAGGTGTGAGCCTGGCTTCACTGATAATTCTGACAAGCCCTTATTAAGATAGGATCCATGGGGATTTCAAAAAAGCACTTCAGGTGATTTTTCCCATTAAAGTACATTAGGTAATGAGCTTCAGGCAGGGGTTATATAATTAATCCTTTTAAAAAGTAACTACCACCATATCTAGCATTTAATAAATATTTTATAATTTTTTTTTTTTTTTTTTTTGGGTCCGGTCATGGGGCCTGAACTCTGGGCCTGGGCGCTGTCCCTCAGCTCTTTAGCTCAAGGCTAGCGCTCTACCACTTGAGCCACAGAGCCACTTCCGGCTTTTTTCTTTTTGCTTATGTGGTGCTGAGGAATCGAACCCAGGGCCTCGAGCATGCAAGGCAAGCGCTCTATCACTGAGCCAACTTCCCAGCCCATGTTTTATAATGTTGAATACATCTTTGTTTCCATTTTGATTATGACTTTCCCAATCTAAGGTTTCAATTCCTATCACCCTAAATTCTGAAACAGTTTTATCTCCCTGTTACTTTTCACATCTATTTTATATCTTGTCAATACCTATTGTTAAAATTCAGCTTCAATTGTGTCAGTGTGATATATAGAAGGGAGAAAAGGCAGAAAAAGACAGAATGTAATGGGAAGTAAGGAGGTGTCATTTTTAAATGGAACTGTTAAGAAAGACCTCAATTAGACCACTTCACATGAGTAAAGAATTGAAGTGATTAGAAAGATACATGGCTTCCTGGGGACAAGAGCATTTTACACTTAAGGCAGAGTGAAAAAATAAAAATCCTGAGGCAAGAGAATGCTTGACATATATGAGGAACATACAAGAAAAATAGAAGGAGCTGGGAATGTGGGTCAAGTGGTAGAGTGGTAGCCTTGAGCAACTGAAGCTTGGGGGACAGTGCCCAAGGCCCTGAGTTTGGCAAAAAAAGGATTGGCAAAAAAAGAAAAAAAAAAAAAAGAAAAGAAAATTAGGAGAGCTGAAGCAGAGTGAGTGAACAGGAAGTAGCAGCACATAAGGTAGAAGTATTCAGTTTTGTAGAGCTTTACAGAGCATTGTATGAGCTCTGGAAGGAATAAGTAAAATACAGTAAGTAGACAAAAACTACTAAGTAGGTAAGCCTTAGAAAAAGAAGCCAGAGGGCTGGGAAGGTGGCTCAGTGGTAGAGTGCTTGCCTTGCATGCATGAGGCCCTGGGTTCCACTCCTCAGCACCACATAAGCAGAAAAAGCTGGAAGTGGCGCTGTGGCTCAAGTGGTAGAGCGCTGGCCTTGAGCTGAAGAGCTAAGGGACAGTGCCCAGGCCCAGAGTTCAGGCCCCACAACTGACAAAAAGAAAAAGGAGCGAGAGACAAAGGCCACATATTATGTATTCATATGTAATGGCCACAATAGGGAAAAATCTAGAGATAGATTTTTGTCAGAAACTGAGGGAAAGAGAAGCAAAAAGTAAAACAAGGCATACAAATGAGTACAGGGTTTCATTATTAAGATAATGAAAATGTTCTACAATTAGACAATGGTAATGGCTTCAAAGCTTTACGGGGATATTAAGCAACAATGAATTGTACAAGGTTCAATCTTATGATAAGTAAATTATATCTCAATTAAAAGAGTTCTGCATGGGCTGGTAAGCCAAACAGGAATTTTGTGCAGACAAATGACAAAAACTGATTTTTGTTTTAAAAGCATCACTCTGGTCTCTTTATCATCAACTATCATGCAAAAATCACTTGAGTATATGTCAATTTCTTCCAACTAAACAAGTTTCCAGAGGTCAGTGACCAAGCTATATTATTATTATTACTTTTTTTTTTTTTGGTCAGTCATGGGGCTTGAACTCTGGGCCTGGGCGCTGTCCCTCAGCTCTTCAGCTCAAGGCTAGCCTCTACCACTTGAGCCACAACGCCACTTCCGGCTTTTTTCTTTTTGCTTACGTGGTGCTGAGGAATCAAACCCAGGGCCTCAGGCATGCAAGGCAAGTGCTCTACCACTGAGCTACCTTCCCAGCCCCTAAGCTATATTATTATGTTCTGCTCTCTTCTCAGGACTCTCAGTATATGATGTGTTATACATAGCTGAGACTAATTTGAATTAAATTGCAATCTTAGGAGTACGGTTATCCCACTTATTTTCTGACTTTTTCCATCTTCTATTTCTCTTCTAACCTAAGCTATTTCTCTATATACTAAGCCTTAAATTATTTGTTCCATTGAAATAAACTTTATGTGACATTCTGCATAAAAACTATACCTATCTTTTTGTGACATGTAGGGTTTCTCCCAAATGGAAAGGCTTTCCCCAAATTTTCTTCTTTTTTATGGTGCTGGGGATTAAACCTAGTACTTTATGCCCTGTGTTCTGCCACCTACTATCTTTAGTCCCAAAGTTTGTTTGGTTTTTTTTTGGTTGATCATGGGGCTTGTACTCTGGGCTTGGGCACTATCCCTCAGCTCTTCAGCTCAAGGTGAGCTCTCTACCACTTGAGCCACAACACCACTTCCAGTTTTCTAGTGGTTTATTGGAGATCAGAGTCTCAAGGACTTTCCTGCCTGGGCTGGCTTTGAACCGCCATCCTTAGGCCTCAGGCTCCTGAGTAGTTACAATTACAGACATGAGCCACCAGCGCCTGGCTTCCCAAAGTATTTTTAAAAATAAATACTCTGTCCCATTTCTAATATTATTTCTTAATCCCCTCAAAGATTAGAGATTAGAAATTTGTCTCAACATTCTCTACAAGACTGTATATGTTTGCTTAGTTTAAACTGAATGAGTTCCCTAAAAATTTTTCTATTTCTCCTAAATGCTATCAATGTACATGGTTATATTTCTCAAATATTTGAGTCATATCAGTTAAAAAAAAAAAAGACAATCTCTCATATGTAGTTTAAACTAAAATACAAAACAAAACAAAACAAAAAACCTTTACAGGTACAGATGATATCTTTTCTTTCCTTTGTAGCCTGTTTTGGCACTCTTGCTTCAATGAAATGAAAACTCCCTGCAGCCATTTAAAGTGAACTACCTAAGATATTTCTCTCAGTATTCTAGGCAGTTTTTCTACTCACCTCATCTTTGCTAGTATACTCTACTATTTCTGTACACAGGTTGCTGCATTTGATTGTTCCCAGATTCTGCTGGTTGCTCTTCCGATTACAGGAATCTTTGTAGACCATATATGGGGTGCCCGTCTCTGTCTGAGACTCAATAATGGCATACCAAAGTTGCTGAGCTTTTACCACTTTGCGGACACGGCCCTGTTTCTCATAACTGAAAGACAAAAATAGTATTGTTCATTCATTTTGTAGTACTGGGATTTGAACTTAGGGCCTACCTAGTTTTTGCTAGGCAAGCACCTACAACTTGAACCATATTCTCAGCCCTATAATATGTATTCCTAAGAAAGTATTACAGACAACTTGACGGTACTAAAATATAAAATTATATAAATTCTTAAAATTTCACTGTTTTACTAATGAAGGAAATAGAACAATATACTATTCATTGTGTTCTGCATATGCCAGTCCTGGGGCTTGAACTCCAGGTCTAGGTACTGCTCTTAAGCTGTTTTATTCAAGGCTAGCATTTTTCCACTTGAGCCACAGTTGCACTTACAGCTTTTTGATGATTAATTGGAATTAGAATCCCATGGACTTTGCTGCCCAGGATAGCTTTCAACCATGATCTCAGATCTCAGCCTCCTGAGAACTAAGATCACAGGCATGAGCTCTACTCTTAAATGAACCCCAACCCCAAATCAATCATATCTTTCATAATAAAAAGAGAAGAAAATCTACCCTAAAAGTCTCTTACCACTATGCCAGACACCAGTAGCTCAGACCTGTAATCTTGGCTACTCCTGAGGATCATGCATGGTTCGGAACCTGCCTGGGCAAAAAAGCCCATGAGGCTCTTACCTTCACTTAATCACCAAAAAGGTGAAGGTGGAGCTATGGCTCAAGTGGTAGAGCATTATCTAGCATTGAGCAGAAAAAGCTTTAGGGACAATGCCTAGGCCCTAAGCTCATGCCCCAAGACCGGCACATACACACACAAAATCTCTTAAAACTAGGAAATTTTAATGAACTATTGAAACATGTATCTTAATCACTTGTGATAACTATGTATAATATAAAGTATAACTTGTTTACCTAAAGGAACACTTTGACCTGAAAGGAATGCCAATGGCTCACACCTTTAATCTGAGGAGGTTGAAATCTGAGGATCACAGTTTGAAGTTTGCCTGGGCAGAAAAGTCTATCTGTGGGAGGGTGGGGAGGACACCGAATCTGAAAAAGGGTGAAAAAGTGCAGCACTGGAGCGCACCGAACATTGATGAAAGTGAACCGCATAACGCGTAAGTAGAGATAAGAGGGAATAAGAGAGAATGAGGGTGCAGATGGCATTGTATGAAAGGAAATGTACTTATTACCTGACTCATGTAAATGCAACCCTTCTAAAATAACAATAAAATTTTTTTTTAAAGACCCTATCTCCAATTAATTAGAAAAATGCTGGATTGGGTATGTGACTAAAGTGAATGAAAAAGCTGAAGGAGAGCTTGTGGCCCTGAGTTTGCCCAGGTAATGGAAGAAAAAAAAAATCAGAAAATTCTAACCCTGCTGTCTTTATTCAGATTATACATAGATCTATTTATAAACCAAAATGCTTAGCAACATGTCCAAAAGTTTTAAGAAAGAAGACAAAAAATAATTTTGATGACGAATCAGGAAAACAAATCTGACTAAAGTTAAACTATAAAACATACTGTTTTCTAGATGTATCCAAAGATTCCTAAAAACAAGATATTGATTTAAATACTTTTTTTTATGCAGTGCTGCAGTGAACCAGGGCCTCATTCAAGCAAGTATTCTGAGTCTCACCCCAACTCAAATTAAATATATTTGCTATTCAGATTCCCTCAAATCAAAGAAGACATCTTTAAAATATGTTACTTCCATGTCTTTCTCATACCTTTCATATAACTTCTCAAATTCCTCTCCCCAAACTTCATCCAGACCAGGACATTCATTTGGACACATCAAAGACCAGTCCTAAAGAAGTAATAAGGATATGGTGAATCAAAGTAAACAATGTATGTAAATATCACAATGAAACTCCTCTGTGCAACAAATTTATGATAATGAAAAAAAAATTTAAAACACCATCCTGCTGAGGGGGAACAACTAAAGGAGTGACACTGATCCAGATGTGTGTGTGTGTGTGTGTGTGTGTGTGTGTGTGTGTGTGTGTGTGTGTGTGTGTGTGTGTGTGTGTGTATTTATGTATGTATGTATATCAGTTTATATAACTGATTTATTTAATTATAACCCTTTTGTATAACTAAATAATATAAAAATTTAAAAGACCACTCCTGCAAGGGAAGAACAGTACTAGAAAGTTCAAATAGCCAACCATACATATCTCATTAGAAACATTATGACAGAAAGGTGGTTTTCATAGACTCTCTAGGAAATTTGCTATAAAAATAATCATTTTAGGCTTAAGCCCAACTTTAGTTTTACTATTTGTACATGACCTTTAAGTACTTAGGTCAGGTAGCATCTACTACATAGAGAAGTACAGGTAGCATCTACTATATAGAGAATAGAAATTCAAGAAGAAAGGTTTGGCATTCCACAGAAAGCATTCTGTGGAATCACATACAAGTGGATTCTTTCCAAGCATAATAAAATGATTGAAGATGACAAAAGCTCCTATGAATCAAGTCACTATAACCTACAGGTACTTATCCTTCTCACCTGATTAGTCTCCACTCGTTTCATGAAAAGATCTGGAATCCAAAGAGCAAAGAAAAGATCTCTGGCACGCTGCTCTTCCTTTCCTGTGTTCTTCTTTAAATCAAGGAATTCAAAGATGTCTAAATGCCAAGGTTCTAGGTAAATAGCAAATGCCCCAGGACGCTAGAAGTAAATAAATCATCATTCTTTTCAGAATGAAAATAAACTTCATATTTTCAAAGATATTTCCTTTGCTCTTCACTAGAATTAACTAACTAAATAAAAAGTACTATAAATAAAATAAATAAAAGTACTATAAAACTTGAAGTAATAGTTTTCTCTTACATTTCTTTTTTTTTTGGTCCGGTTATGGGGCCTGAACTCTGGGCCTGGGCGCTGTCCCTCAGCTCTTCAGCTCAAGGCTAGCACTCTACCACTTGAGCCACAGCGCCACTTCTGGCTTTTTTTTTTCTTTTTGCTTATGTGGTGCTGAGGAATCGAACCCAGGGCCTCATGCATTGCAAAGTAAGCGCTCTACCGCTGAGCCACCTTCCCAGCCCTCTCTTACATTTCTAAGAGTAAGAACGAACAACTAATATAAGGGTGATCTGTCTCATCAAGATCACTGAAGTCCATCAGAAAACAATTCATAAATAGATCATTAGTGTATCTACAAATTCATAAGATGATGACAACAGTGGGTAAACAAACCCAGTTCTGTCAACTCCTGGGTGAGCTTTTGTTTTTGCTTTTTAAGAAAACCTAGAACAGATATTACAACTCCATGTGAAGAGTAAGTGTTAATATGAGTCACAACTTGAGAAATTTTTTACCAATAAACTATGATATAAAAATGCTGAGGGGCTGGGAAGGTGGCCCAGTGGTAGAGCGCATGCCTTGCATGCCAGAGGCCCTGGGTTTGATTCCTCAGCACCACATAAGCAAAAAGAAAAAAGCCAGAAGTGGCGCTGTGGCTCAAGTGGTAGAGCGCTAGCCTTGAGCTGAAGAGCTGAGGAACAGCGCCCAGGCCCAGAGTTCAGGCCCCATGACCGGACCCAAAACAAACAAACAAACAAAAAAATGCTGAATAGATCAATGGCTGCGAGAGCCAGGGATAAAGTTATGTGTGGGTGGGAGTGACAGAGAAATAGAATATAAGGATGCATAGGCAAACATTTTGGGGTAATGGAAGGGCTCTGTATCTTAGCTGGTGTGGTGATTACTCAAAACCCAACCAACTGTATATTTAAAATGTGTGTACTTTGCCATGTACTAGTGGCTCACGCCTGTAATGCTAGCTACTCAGGAGGCTGAGATTTCAGGATCATAGTTCAAAGCTAGCTCAGGCAGGCAAGTCCATGAGACTCTCATCTCCAACCAGAAAACTGGAAGTGGTGATGTGGCTCAAAGTGGTAGAGCACTAGCCTTGAGCAAAAAGAGCTCAGTGAGGGCTGGGACTATGGCTTAGTTGTAGAGTGCTTGCCTAGTTCAATGACTGACAAAAAAAACAGAATAAAATAAAAATAAAATGTTTATGTTTTTAAAGGAGTAATTTATGTCTCCTTAAGTTGATTTTAAAAGTTAAGGAAAAAATATTATCTGAGGCCAGCCTGGGCCTCCTCATAGCAAGATCCTATTTCAAAACAAAATCTGTACCCCCCTAAAAAAAAATAAGTTAGAAAATATATAAATTGAACCGAAGTATACATGGCTAAAGATTTTTAGCTCTGATTTCCAGTACTTTCAAGTAACAGAACAAACCTTATTTCCACCTTGGTCCACATATCGAGCTGTGTTGTTATACACCCTCAGCATTGGCACAAGGCCATTGGAATTGCCATTAGTCTGAAAGAAAGGTCAAGAATAAAGTGATCTAGAGGAGAAAGGAAGGGCTCTGCAAGCAAAAAAACAAAATGGCCCAAAAGTGATCAACTCTTTCTTAATCTAGAAGTTAGTGCCTAACTTCTAGGTAGCAACTGATGAAGTTTTACCTCTTCTCCATCTGTTACAAGTGACTAACAGAAAATCAACAAAATGTTCAATAAATCACAACTGAGTATCATTACCCCATCACATCTCTAATTTACAATAAGGTATAACCATTACCAACCAAACCGAAAATCAAGGTAGCTAAATATAAACTCTACAACCTTCTAAAGATCACTATATAAAGATATACTTCTGGATACTTTGGATTTAAAACAACTTACATAGGAACTATATGAAATAGAAATATCAAAAGCAATAAATAAGGTTAATAGATTGTAGAACAATGCCAATAAAATAGTGTTATGACTGTAAGATATGTCTATAGGATATTTCATTAACTTCTTTCATCCTTTTAATCCCTAGATAACTCTTTCAACATTAGAGAAAAATAAGTGAGCAATAGCTCATCTTATTGTTGTAAACATGTTATGTATATATACCAATAACTACAAAAAACCTACTTTAGTCCAATGGTTAAGTGTTTTCTTTGCTATATAGATGAGGAAACAACTCAGAGATATAAAATAGCTTGCCTTAGGCTATGCTACTAGCAAGCAGTAGAGCTGAGATTTAAATCTAAGTCTCATCCAAAACCATTATATTGATTTCCAAAAAATAATACATTAGCAAAGGTTATTTGGCCTATAATGTGCCAACATTTAAAGCTTGTATGCTGGCTCTATCACTTTGATGCCTGAAAGAAACTTAACTTTTAAGCCTCAATTTCTTCATTTGTAAAATAAAATATTCACAAGTTTATTGTAAAAAATAATGTGTCCATAAGGGTAGACAGAGTTTGAATAGAGTTTTAATGAGGATTACATGACAGTTGGCACATAAAGAACAATAAAAAATGATATCTTCTAATATTGTTAAAAACAAAATTTTAGCTTAAAGGACTCCAGAGATCATTTACGATAACTTAAGCCTCTAATAGATGAAAATGAAGCCAGAAGTGAAATGACTCATACCCATATCACTCAACTAGCTAGTAATGAACAAAAACCCAGGTCTCCCAAACATCAGCACTATGAAAATGGTTTCCTCTGGACCATAGGCATGGTTGGTTCTAGATTTCAATCTCCCTTTTCCAAGTTGTATGATAGATGCTTACCCCAGCAATGTAGCTGCCAGTAGCCCTAATACAACTCACAGCAACACCAATTCCACCAGCAGATTTAGAAATCAATGCACATTGCTTTAGAGTGTCATAAATTCCTTCAATGCTGTCATCTTTCATGCTCAGAAGGAAGCAACTATGGGGGACAAAAAGGGATAACTCAGGGCAAGTCACAAAAATGATTAGACAATACAAAATTAGTTAAGCTAGCAAATTAAAGATTTGAAGTTTACAGGGTTCCCAAGCATTTTTACAAGGGGAACTGTCACTGGATATGACATAATGAAGATCATCAACATAATATGTAAAATCATCTTGCTACCTACCCTAGATATTAAGCCTAGAACAAGGTCTTAACATTTTCCCCAGATTACACGTGCACCACTTACATTTCCTTACCATACTCAGTCCTGCTATGAATTTTTTTTGGCCAGTCCTGAGGCTTGAACTCAGGGCCTGGACGCTGTCCCTGAGCTTCTTTTTGCTCAAGGCTAGCATTCTACCACTTGAGCCACAGTGCCACTTCTGGCTTTTTCTGTATGTGGTACTGAGGAATCGAACCTAGGGCTTCCTGCATGTTCGGCAAGCATTCTACCACTAAGCCACATTCCCAGCCCAAAAATTCTTAAACATAACACTTTTTGCTTTTTTTTTTTTTAAAGGACCGCTATATGGCATAAACCAGGAGGGAAACTATGAGTCAAAAGAATAGAGACATGGGAAGATATGGCTCAGTAGTATAGATCCTTCCTAGCATACATGAAGTCCTGGGTTTGATCCTTAGCACTGAAGAAAAATAAATGACATTCATGTTCCACTTTTCTAAAGATTCTCCAAGGTGAAAAGATCAATACTATAATCTCACAACATACATAATTTTCCTGTACTGAATATTCTTGCCTGCCTTCCAATTTTTAAAAATTTGAGGGGCACTTCAAACTCTACTATAGAGCCATAATAACAAAGATAGCATGGGACTGGCAAAAAACAGACCCGAAGACCAATGGAATAGAAGATCCAAAAATAAAACCACACGTCTACAGTCAGCTGATATTTGACAAAGGAGCCAAAGACATACAGCGGAAGAAACACAGCCTCTTCAACTACTGGTGCTGGGAAAACTGGGAGGCCACATGCAGAAAACTAAAAGTGGACCCCAGCCTATCACCATGCACCAACATCAACTCAAAATGGATTAAAGACCTTAACATCAAATCTGAATCTCTGAAACTACTGCAGGACAGAGTAGGAGAGACACTTGAACTTATAGGCACAGGAAGGAACTTTCTGAATAGAGTCTCAGGGTCACAACAAATTGGAGAGAGACTCAACAAATGGGACTACCTTAAAATAAAGTTTCTGCATAGTTAAAGCTATAGCAACCAAGCTAGAAAGACAACCAACTAACGGGGAAAAATATTTACCAGCAATATATCAGACAAGGGGTTAATATCCAGTATATACAGGGAACTCAAGAAACTAATCCCTCCCAAACCTAACAAACCAATTACTAAATGGGCAAGGCAACTAAAGAGAGACTTCTCAGAAGAAGAGATAAAAATGGCAAAGAAACACATGAGGAAATGTTCACCATCCCTGGTTGTAAAGGAAATGCAAATAAAGACAACCTTGAGATACCACCTTACCCCAGTCAGAATGGCCCACATCCTAAAGTCAGCCAACAACAAATGATGGAGGGGAGTTATACAACAACTTTGGAAAGCAGTCTAGGTCCTCAGAAAGCTAAATATTGACCTCCTTTACGACCCTATCCTGAACAACAGGAACCAGTATACAAGGACACGTGCACCTCCATGTTTATTGCAGCACTGTTCACAATAGCCAGGATATGGAAACAACCCAGATGTCCCACCACAGATGAATGGATCCAAAAATTGTGGTATCTATACACAATGGAATACTATGCAGCCATTAGAAATGACAAAATAATGGCATTTTCAGGGAAATAGCGGAGCTAGAAGAAATCATGTTGAGCGAGGTAAGCCAAGAGCAAAGAGACAAAAGGCACAGGGTCTCCCTGATAAGTGGATGTTAAATCCAAAACGTAAGGTGATACGACAAAATTAACAAGGCTTAAGAAACAAAGGACTTCTACTCATCTGGCTGAATCACTACTAAATAACCCCATGCTGCTGATCACATATATGGTATATATTTGCCTACCGGAGGGAAACCAGGAAGACGACACAGAACTAGAAGGAATCAGGGGAAAACATACAACAGCAGGACCCATCAGCTACACTGGACATTGATCAAAATGAACTAAGCAACTCAATGGCAGCGATGGGAGGGAGGGAACAAGTGGGAAAGAGGGAACAGCTGATGTTATACAAACCAAAAGAAATGTACATACCACCCAATGTGGAAGAAATAACTATACTGCAAAGCTCATAGAACTCATAAATTTTATAGACCATGATAGACAATTTGTCCCATGAAAGTTAAGAATGTGTTTGTGACCTTAACTAAGCATCACTATCCCATAATATTGTGAAATTTGGGAAATTATGTAATCAATCACAATAAAGAATGAGAAAAAAAATTTTGAGGAGCATAAAATCTTATTACAGGTTCTCATTTTCCTCATTATCAGCAAATTATTTACAACTCAGATGTTTACTGAATCAGCTTTCTTCTATCAATTAATTATTGCTATCTTTGGTCCTTATTTCTGTATGGTTTTCTGTCTTTTTCTTGTAAGTTGTCAATAGTTAACATTATTATTTTCCCAGGGTAATATTTGCTTTTTATTTTGTTTTTCACTCACAGGAACCTTTAATCTTAATGTAGACAATTTCCCCAATGCTTTGAATCATGTTATTTTGCTTTTCAAAGTTATTTTAAGAAGTCTGCTGGGTACCAGTGGCTCACACCTATAATCCTACAGGAAGCAGAGATCTGAGGATCACTGTTTAAAGCCAACCGGGGCAGGAAAGTACATGAGACTCTTATCTTCAATTAACTACCAGAAAATCGAAAGTGGCACTGTCGCTCAAGTGGTAGAGCACTAGCCTTGAGCTGAAGAGCTCAGTGACAGCGCCCAGGCCCAGAATTCAAGACCCAGGACAGATAAAAAAAAAAAAATCCCTCACCACTGAGTTTATTAAAATGTAAGTAGAGTTTATAGAGTTCATAGAGTTTATTAAAACGTAAGTTGAAAGTAGAGATGTAACTAAGAAATAGAGGCCCTGGTATCATAGTAGGGACCTGGGTTCTATCTTCAAGAATGAAAAGATTTTTTTTTAAGTTTTAAGTTCAGTTATACAACAGTGGCTCATATATATAATCCTAGCTATTCAGGAGGCTGAGACCTGGAGTATCACAGTTAGAAGACAGCTCAAAGAAGTCTTAGAAACTCTAGCACTGCTAGATTGGAGGTGTGGCTCAAATGGGAGAGCACAATCTGTGAGCAAGGAAGCCAAGTAAGAATTAGAGGTTCTGGGTTCAATCCCTGGTAACAAAAAAGAAAAAACGTAAGTTGAGTCATGATGTTTATAAACCACTTTCAAATGATATGGGAACAAAACTTTATTGTAAAGGCAAATATCTAAATATGTTAATAATTTTTCATTCTAGGTAGTCATGAATGTATGGGTGTTTGCTGTTTTTTCTGTTAAACTTTTCTGTTTGACATTCATATTAAAAAGTTGAGAAAAAGTATCTACCTATTTTCTTTTCTTTTTTTTTTTGGTTGGTCCTGGGCCTTGCTGAACTCTGGGCCTAGACACTGTCTCTGCTCTTCAGCTCAAGGTTAGCACTTGAGTGGTAACTTGAGCCACAGCGCCACTTCTGGCCTTTTCTGTTTATGTGGTGCTGAGGAGTCAAATCCAGGGCCTCATGCATGCAAGTCAGCACTCTACCACTGAGCCACCTTCCAATCCCTCTACCTATTTTCTTTAATATGTTCTTCTACATAGTTTACATTCATATTAGACTTTTCTTAAAATGTGTCTATATATGACATGAAAAAAAGGTATCTTCTCTTTTTCTTGGAATTTAGGGTTCGAACTCTAGGTCTAGTGCTTGCTAGGCAGATGCTCTACCGTTGGAACTACATTCTCAACCTCTTTATTTTTTTGGTATTGAATCTGGGGCTTGAACTCAGGGCCTAGGCACTGTTCCTGGGCTGGTGTGCTGAAGACTAGTATTCTACCACTTGAGCCACAGCTCCATTCACTTTTTTTGGTTATTAACTGGAGATACCGTCTCACACACTTTCCTTTCTGGGCTAGCTTTGAACTGGAATCCTCCAATCTCGGCCTCCTGAATAGTTAGGATTATAGGCATGAGCAACCCTTTCATAATTTTAGGTATTTTTTCTTTATTTTAAAGGCAAAATAGGAACTGGTCTTGGCTCCTATTTATGTCTCTAGAGTAGGCTGTGTACTAGGCTGTGTACTACCTTATCAACTTGTTTATTTTTTGCCCAGGCTAATCTTGAACTATAATTCTTACAACTTCCACCTCTTGAGTAGCTAAGTTTACAGCAGGCATAAGCCATAGTACCTGAACACACATACACATATTCATTCATTCTCTCTCTCTCTCTCTCTCTCTCTCTCTCTGTCTCTCTGTCTCCAGTCATAGTCTCACTGTGTAGCCCAGGCTGGCCCTAAACTTTTGATCCTTTTGCTTTTGCCTCCTGAGTGCTGGGATTACAAGCATGCACCACTAGGCCCACATTGAAGTTGTGTTTGTTTGGCAGCACTAGCGTTTGAACTCAGGACCTTTTGCTTGCTAGTCAAGCTCTCTAATACTTGAACCAAGTATATTTTAAAACTTAAAACATACTCCTAAATGGTATGTTTTAAACTTAATACCTTAATGCTCAAACTATAGAAACTCAACTGGTTAATTTATAACAAACATGTATCTGGATATTTTCCTGAAATGTTTTGAATTCTAATAATTCCCTATGTAAACATGGCATCTCTGAATCATTATAGTTATATATAGAATCATTTCCAATCTCTCTAACTTACAATATTAGCTCAGACTCCCATACTCCAATGAAAAAAGAAAAGGTGATGGATTTATGTTTTAAGTGGGTATCTTTGACCAAATTAAGGAAGTAATTTCTTACATATTTTATTATGAAAGAACATTATATAAAAGTATGTAAGGCATATATATACATATATATATATATATATACAATAAAATGTATTATGTTAATGTTTTATTTTGACATACCTTTGAATTCCTAGAATAACCAACTGGTTAATGGTATAATTCAACTTCTTACATTTTTTTTTCTGTCATGCTGAGCATCCTGTATTCAAACAGGAAGGATCTTGCTCATGCTAAGGACATGCTCTACCAATAAGCTACACCTCCAACCCAACTTTATTATTTAAACAGCTTTACAAAATATAATTTATATATGATACCATTCCCTATTTAAAATATACTATTTAGCTGGGTGCAGGTAGCTCCCACCTGTAATCCTAGCTACTCAGGAGGCTGAGACGTAAGGATCACAGTTCAAAGCCAGCTTGGGCAGGAAAGTCCGTAAGAGTCCTACTTAGAATTAACTACCAAAAAAAAAAAAAAACTGTGCTAGAGCAATAGCCTTGAGCACAAAAGCTCAGGGGTAGCACCCAGGCCCTGAGTTCAAGCCCCAGGACTCGCACAAATAAACAAATATATATATGTATATATGTATATATATATATATATATATATATATATATATATATATATATACTATTCAATGGATTTTAGAATATTAGGATTGTCCACCCACCACCATTACAACGAATTCTAGAAAATTTTCACTACCAGCATTTGCCTTCTTCCAATTCATTTACTACATTGCAGTCAGAGGTCATTTTAGAATGCAAATTCATGTAATCAGAGCACATGATAAGTTTGCTTGCCTGTTTGTTTTGGCAGTACTGGATTTTTTAATTCAGGGCCTTGAACTTGCTAGGTAAGCACTCTCTCACTTCAGCCAGGCTTCCCAGCTGGGTTTCTTAGTCAGCTGGGTTTTCCTAGTCAAAATTATTTCGAAATATTAAAAGCAGTTATATGTAACATATACCTTGACAACTGTGGACGGTTAGTGCCAGCATTGAAGAGAGTAGGTGAGGCATGAGTGAACCACTTCTCTGAAAGAAGGTTGTATGTTTCGATTGCAGCATCAATGTCTTCTTTGTGAATCCCCACAGACACCCTCATCAACATATGCTGTGGTCTTTCAGCCACTGTAAACGACACAGGAGTTTTCACAGGATGAGACATTTCAGAAAAACTAGACCAAAACACAATTGAACCAACAACAAAATAAACCAGGCATCAGCGGCTCTTGACTATAATCCTAGCTACTCACTTGGAAGGCTGAGATCTCAGGATCCCAGTTTGAAAGCCAGCCCACACAGAAAAGGCCATGAGACTCTTATCTCCAATTAACCATCAAAAAGCCAGAAGTAGAGCTGTGTCTCAAGTGATACAGTACTAGCCTTGAGGGTCTGGAAAGGTGGCTCAGTGGTAGAGCGCTTGCCTTGCATGCCTGCGGCCCTGGGTTCGATTCCTCAGCACCAGGTAAGCAAAAAGAAAAAAGTGGGAAGTAGCACTGTGGCTCAAGTGGTAGAGCGCTAGCCTTGAGCTGAAGAGCTGAGGGACACCGCCCAGGCCCAGAGTTCAGGCCCCACGACTGGACCAAAAAAACCAAAAAAAAACAGTACTAGTCTTGAGCAAAAAAGCTCAAGGACAGTGCCCTGACAGTAACCTGAGTTCAAACCCCAAGACCAACACACACAAAAACAATTAAAAAGAAAAACAAAAATACATCAAAAATTATATGAATAGGCAAAACACTGACTTATGAAAATAGACCTAAAATTAAAAATGTTATCTAGAGGAAGTGGCGCTGTAGCTCAAGTGGTAGAGCGCTTGCCTTGAGCTGAAGAGCTGAGGGACAGCGCCCAGGCCCAGAGTTCAAGCCCCACGACCGACCAAAAAAAAAAAAAATGTTATCTAGATTCTAAATAGAAATGTTAAGCTATAGGCTGAGAATGAAATTCAGCATGAGCAATGCCTTAAGTTTGATCCCCAGGCACTACAAGAAAATAAAAAGCATCAGGTGCTGGTGATTCACACCTGTAGTCCTATTCAGGAGGCTGAGATCTGAGGATCACAGTTCAAAGCCAGCCTAGGCAAGAAAGTCCATGAGACTGTTACCTCCAATTAACTACCAGAAAACCTGAAATGGAGCTGTGGCTCAAAGTGATAGAGCACTAGACTTAAGCAAAAGAGCTCAAGGGACAGCGCCCAGCCCCAGAGTTCAAGCCCCATGACCAAAAAAAAAAAAAAGAGAAAGAAAAGCAACAAAACAAGAAACATTAAAGCTAACAGTGCAAAGCTCCATGTTCAATATAATGAACAGAAAATGTAATACAGAAACATTTTTATTTCTCACCTTTTCCATTGATCTTTAACAAATAGGACCTCTCCAATGTCTAAAAAATCAAAGTAGCCAAATTATTTCCAGAGCAGTTTTTACAGACATAGTTAATCATTTGCAGTAGGATGATATTTAAATCTTCTCAATTTCATATAATTTTAAATTAAAATAATAGCACATTTATTTTTCCTATCTCAGGTCAGGAACATTATTACTTGTTTTGTTTGAGCAAAGATTGCATGAAAATTCCTATAAAAAGCCAACTTTGTATATATTAATACCATAAGTTATGGTACTCATCATCAGGAACATTACCATCAACACAAATGTTCATCTCATACTAACACTTATAAAGTGTTTATAAAAGGTGAGGCCCTAACCTAAGCAAAATACAGACTGAATACTCAATAGGAATTCATTAGTTGAAATTTCCTCATTTTAAAAATGAGGAAACTGACACCCAGAAAGATGAAAAAAGTTCATAATAAGAAATTGGGCAGAGCTGGGCATCGGTGGCTCATGCCTGTAATCCTAGCTACTCAGGAGGCTGAGATCTGAGGATCATGGTTCAAAGCCAGCCCCACCAGGAAAGTCCATGAGACTCTTATCTCCAATAAACCACTAGGAAACCAGAAGTGGCGCTGTGGCTCAAGGGGTAGAGTGCTCACCTTGAGCTGAGGGATAGGGCCCAAGCTCAGAGTTCAAGCCCCACGACCGACAAAAAAAAAAAAAAAGAAATTTGGCAGAGACTTGAACCCAAGACACCAACATTTATATTCTCAGTTATTACATTATACTACCAACACAAAACTTGGCACACACTTAACATTTGGCATCTACTAAGAATTCAATAAAACAGATGTCGAAAAAATAGTATAATAGTGTAAGATAATTCTAGCATATTTTCTGCATAATTCAGGTAACCCAGAAGTAATATTTGAAATAGTTAAAAACTGTAAATATAGATAAAGCTACTCTTACCTAATTCAAACCATTCCTACCTTAACCCCAACAATCCCCAAGCTATGTTCCAACCTCAACAACTTACTGCCAATTATAACTGTATCATCAAAACATAAATAAAGGGCTGGGAAGGTGGCTCAGTGGTAGAGCGCTTGCCTTGCATGCCTGAGGCCCTGGGTTCAATTCCTCAGCACCACAAAAGCAAAAAGATAAAAGCCGGAAGTGGCGCTGTGGCTCAAGTGGTAGAGCGCTAGCCTTGAGCTGAAGAGCTGAGGGACAGCGCCCAGGCCCAGAGTTCAGGCCCCACAGCTGGACCCAAAAAAAAAAAATAAAAAAAATAAATAAATCTTTTTTTTTTTTTGTTAGTCATGGCACTTGAACTCAGTGCGTGAGCACTGTCCCTAAGCTTTTTTGCTCAAGGCTAAAGCTCTATTACTTGGAGCCACAGCACCACTTCCAGTTTTCTGATGGTTAACTGGAGATAAAAGTCTCATAAAAAAAAAAAAAAGTCTCACAGATTTTCCTGCCTGGGCTGGTTTTGAACTGTGATCCTCAGATCTCAGCCTCCTAAGTAGCTAGGATTACAGGCATGAGCCACCAGCACTCAGCTAAAACATAAGTAAATCTTGACTAGATGGCCAAGTCCAATGCTACCTATTGTCATAGTATCATTTTCTCCAACTTAAATGGTAGCTTTGGAAAGTTTTTTAAAGTTTCGTTTTGCTTAAGAAAGTGTGTCATGGGCTGGGATGTAGCTCAGTGGCAAAGCACTTGCCTAGCAAGTGCAACATCCTGGGTTCGATCCCCAGTACCAAAAAAGAAAAGACAAAAAAAAATATATATATATATAACAGTTAAAAAAGAAAGTGTGTCATAACATTTGCCCTATATGAAATTGCAATTTCAAACTGTTCATTACAAAGAAGCTTTAATTTAGTTTCAATAAAGTATAGTAGTGATTATTATAGGAATCTAGTATGTAGAAAAACCACTTAAGACAGTATGAAGTAATTAAATCCTGTGTCAGTTGCCAAGTCATTTAAATTTCTACATTCCCATTCCCAAAAAGAGTCTAGCTGCCAGGATTACAATTTTAATTAGGACAGCTGAGTAAAGTTTTTAAGTATTAGATTTCTTAATAATCATATTTTACAAGTTTAGAAAAAGGAAATATTGTTGTATCTGAATCAAATATACTTCCCTTGGATAATGAAGAGGGAATATAATGAAGAGGAAATAATTTTGCTGAATGTTTTAAGTTGAAGTTATTTCAAGTTACTTCCTGGATATCATATCCATGAAGTGTGCTTGTATAACACAAAACAAACTGTTTTGTTTTGTTTTTAGTACCAAAGGCAGTCTAATCTAGCAAAATAGTAAGTTAGTAGGTGTTGCCTTTTCTAATTTGTACAATAACATTCTATTTTAAGTATCTATTTCCCAAGTAAACAACTCATTTTTTCCATACATCTTTCTAATGCAGAGTTCAGGTTAATTAATATTTTACTTCATCTGATAATGTATTATACATTTAAAGCCTATTTACTTTGCATTGACATTCTTGTGATTTATATGCTCAATTGATAAAGCAATAAAATTCTGATATGTTTAAGAAAAAAAACCTGCATTTCCTGATTTAAGGAGGAATCAATGCCACTTATTTGAAATCCATTATTTACTTACCTTAAAGCCAAAGTAATTGTAAGAGAAATCTCGGTCATAGATAATAGCAGAATTCAGGCGCTAAAGAAGGTAAAGAGTAGCCATAATTAAAATGGATATTTTAATAAAATCTGATCTTTTAGCCTTGACTCCAGAACTAAAATTGACACAATACTAAATAGATAACAGTGTCTTCTGCTATACAACAGAAAAACATTTAACATTAAAAGAGAATAGCTGGATGCCTGTGCCTCACCCCTAACTAGTAATCCTAGCTACTCTGGAGGCTGAGATCTGATGATTGTGGTTCAAAGCCAGTCTGGGAAGAAAAAGTCCCCATGAGACTCTTGTCTCCAATTAACCACTCAAAACCAGAAGTGGTGCTGTGGCTCAAAGTGGTAAAGCACTTGCCCTGAACAAAAGAGCTTGGGGACAGCACCCAGGCCCTGAGTTCAAGGCCTATGATTGACAAAAAAAAAAAAAAAGTATGTAAATTGAGCATACTAATTGAGCTTAAAAACACGCATGTTAGGGGCTGGGAAGGTGGTAGAGTGCTTGCCTTGCATGCTCGAGGCCCTGGGTTCGATTCCTCAGCACCACATAAGCAAAAAAAAAGAAAAAAGCCGGAAGTGGCACTCTGGTTCAAGTGGTAGAGCGCTAGCCTTGAGCTGAAGAGCTGAGGGACAGTGCCCAGGCCCAGAGTTCAGGCTCCACGACCGGACCCAAAAAAAAAAACACCCACGCATGTTATTATCCAAGAAGCACTGTACTAATTACTTGACTTATGGAATTAACCTCACTGTGCAACTCCTTAGTAACAATAAATGATGATAAAAATACGAATGTCAAATAACACTTACTCAGCAATTATTCTTAAGAATTTATCTTATAATATATTCATCCGTTGGCAAAAAGATCTACCATACATTGAAAGAAACAGATATTCATCAATAGAGAAGTTTTTGCTTATAGATACAATGACAATGCATCTATAAAATGAAATGTTAGGGGCTGGGAAGGTGGCTCAGTGGTAGAGTGCTTGCCTCGCATGCATGAGGCCCTGGGTTCAATTCCTCAGCACAACATAAGCAGAAAAAGCCAGAAGTGGTACTGTGGCTCAAGTGGTAGAGTACTAGCCTTGAGCTGAAGAGCTGAGGGACAGCTCCCAGGCCCAGAGTTCAGGCCCCACAACCAATCCAAAAAAAAAAAAAGGTATGTTATTTAGAAAGAATAGGAAAAGTTCATAAATCATCTCTAAGGTATACTTGTAACTGAAAAAAGTATCAATAAGAAGAGTATGCACAGGAAGTGGCACTATAGCTCAAGTGGTAGAGCGCTAGCCTTGAGCTGAAGAGCCGAGGGACAGCGCTAAGGCCCAGAGTTCAAGCCTCACGACCAACCAAAAAAAAAACAGAGTGCACAGTATGTTAAACACATACCTGGATGCATATTCAGAACAGCCTTGTAAGGTTAAAGAATACAGTCACGGGCAGGTGCCAGTGGCTCACATCTGTAATCCTTGCTACTCAGGAGACTGAGAATTGAGGATCAGTTTGATGCCAAGTCAGGCAAGTAAAGTCCATGAGACACTTATCTCCAATTAACCACCAAAAAAAGCCAGAATTGAAGCTGAGGTACCAGCCTTGAGTGAAAAACACACAGGCCCCAGGTTCAAACCACAGTAACAGCACCACAAAAACAAAAAAGAACAACTTTAAAATAGCTGCTTTACAGAAGAAAACCAGGATTCAAGGCAGAAGAGGTAAGTTTTTTACCTAAACCTTTTGTAGTGTTTAAATTTTTCTTTAATATATTTTTAATCTATTAACATTTTTCTATCAAAAAAAAAAAGAAAATAGAAACTTTCCACCAGAAAAATACTGAACATACATCTTTATTGGCCAAAACAATATCCAGTGTTGATTTGGCCACCATGGAAGAATGTTTGCCATTATGTGGATTGATGTAGTTGTAGAGGTCTTCCATCACATCTATAAAAAAACAATAAAAATATTAAAACTATTAATAACTAATGAGATTGAGAGCCATTGTTTATATTTTTTTATATCAATTCACTTCAGTAATTTATTGAAAGTGCTCAATAAACATATCCTTATTGGATAAATATCTGATATATTTCATATAAGGAAAATATCTTCCGGAGTTAGAATTAATGTAAACTCTTGTTGTTTAAAAGATTTCTAGATTAGGCCAGGCCTACAATCCCAGTGATTTAGAAGGCAGAAATCCACTACTGAAAAAAAAAAATTAAGATTGCAAATGATCTGGATACTAAAGCCCATTTGAGGATAATTGGTTGAAAGTAAGGAAATATGGAAATCAAAATTTCTCATCAATTTTTATTCCATCAGGACAGAAACCCAGAATCTATTATCCCAAATGGTTCATTTCTATAAAAGCACACATGATAAGCTTGGCCTGCTCTTCAAGATGTCACAGCAGTATTTGGGACCTCTACATATATAAAATAGAATTGGCTGGATTAAGTTAGATCTATAGATCCATTTAGGAGAAATGGGATCTTCATCTATAGAGAAAAAGGATATAGTGGTCAGATTCACATAATGGATCTGGAATTGAGAACCAAAAAATTTCTAAATTCAGCTTACCAAGGAAAATATATGTAATATTCCTTTGTCCACATTCCCAGCTATAAAAGTGATGGGAGCCAGGTGCTAGTGGCTCACACCTATAATCTTAGTGATTCAGGAGGTTGACATTTGAGGACTGAGGTTCAACGTAAGCCCAGAAAGACAAATCCAATGGACAGCTTTTGCTGTCTATTTGTAAATAGAAATGTGGCTTAAGTGGTAGAGCACTAGCCATAAGGGAAAAAGCTGAATGAGAGTCAAGCCCTGAGATCAAGCCCCAATACCAGACCCAAAAAAAAGGAAGGAAAGAGAATTGATGAAATATATGCTAATAGAAAAAAAAAAAAAATCAACTGCAACATGCTGGACTTGTTTTGTTTTAGCTAAGTGAAAGCTTAACTGCAGCCCCATGCACTACCCTAAGTTTGCAGTTAAGTTTTCCAAATGTGGGGAAATTTCAAAGGTCAGCACACCCAGAGTTCAGTAAGTAAGCCTTGCCTTGGGGAAACCACTGATTATGGTATCTCCTGCTATGTAAGTCTTTTAACATTCTGTTTAACCCAGAACTTGTCATTTTTTCCAACCACACCAACAACAAGCCAAAAGATGAGCTTCAAGAAAAGAGAACAGCCAGACACCAGTAGCTTACCCTTGCAAGCCTAGCTATTCAGGAGGCCGAGATCTGACTATCGAAATTCAAAGGTAGCCTGGGCAGGAAAGTTCATGAGACTTTTTGTCTCTAACCACCAGAAAACTGGAAGTAGAGCTGTGGCTCTAATGGTAGAGTGCTACCCTTGAGCAAAAAAGCTTAGGGACAGTACCCAGGCCTTGAATTCAAGCCCCATGACTGACAAAAAGAAATGAGAACAAAAACATATAAAGATCCATTTGTATTTCCATAAAACATGGAAAACAGAAAGTTCTTCTATTTCTGCCACTAATTATTATATCTTCTTTGCTTTTTAAAATAAGATGTAGGACTGGAATTGTGGCTTAGTAGTAGAATGCTTGCCTGGTATGTATGAGTCCCTGGGCTTGATTCCTTGGTACCACATAAACAAAAAAGTCATTAAATAATTCATAAAAAATAAAATAAGCTGTAACTTTTTAAAGTCATGCAATTTTACCACTGTTAACTTTCTAACATTTTTCACCTGACTTACCACTAAACACTTTCTTTGTTTCTTTGTGTAAGTTGGAGACTGCAATCCTTGCTGCCAAGATGGCATAGTCAGGATGCTTAGTAGTCAAGGTGGCAGCTGTCTCAGCAGCTAATGTATCCAGTTCCACCGTAGTGACCCCACTGTAGAGGCCTTGGATTACCTTCATGGTGATTTGAGCCTACAAAAGTAAAACCAAGAGTTACCTCAGCTTTCCCAAGAAACTAGTGCTTCCTTAAAATAACAAAACAATCAAGTTTATATCATAATACAGACACCTTTCTCCTCTGAACAATTTTCAGAATATGGGAAACTTGGTAATAAAAATTCATAAACCAACAGAACCGCCAGTAATATATACTATATATACAATAAAGAAGTGTCACTTTAGAAAGAAAAGAGCTTCATCTTTAAAAAGATTAATGGAGAGCTGGGTGCCAGTGGCTCACACCTGTAATCCTAGCTACTCAGGAAGTTGAGAGCTGAGGATTGTGGTTTGAAGCCAGCCTGGGCAGGAGAGTCTGTGAGACTCTTATCTTCAATAAACTATTCAGAAAAAGCCAGAAGAGGTACTATGGTTCAAGTGGTAAAGCACTAGCCTTGAGCAAAAAGAAGCTGAGGGACAGAGCCCAGGCCTGGGGTTCAAGCCCCAGGACGAGCAAAAAAAAAAAAAAAAAAAATGAATGGTCTCACAAGGAAATAGCTAAAAGTGGACCAATGGTTTTTGTAAGTATTATCTTTTATTTAAATTATCACTATATGATCAGGACTCCAGCTCCATATTCATCCACTTTCCCCTAATTTCACTTAAGAACAAGTAGGGGAAATAAAATTAATAAAGTTTTAATCATTCCAGTTAAAGGAAATGACCATGAATTCAGACTGGAGTCATCTAAATGACTACTCTCAGACTGGGGACACAGCAGTTGCCTAGCACGGGTAAAGCCCCAAGTTCAATCTCAAGCACAAAGGGTGGGAGTGCAGGGAGTATAGTGGGAATGTAAAGTCATAAATAATGACTACTCTTTTCTTTTGCAAAGTGTAAAGTATTTCTTTTGCAAAGTGTAAAGTATTTCAACCTTTCAATCACTAACATTTCACAATCATATTATTTTACGTAGGCACTTTTGGGTAGAGGGGATAAGAAAGAGAAATAGAGGGGGAAAACATAACTAAAACACATTATGTGTAAGTATTGTGGGGGCGGGTAAGCTGTTTTCTCACTTTGGTCAACTTAACATTTACCAAGCACCTAACTAGACACAGGCCAACAAAAGAATAAGAAATTCTTAATCCTTGGAGATGACAAAAAATATGAGGTATTTATACCAGGGCAATATAGGTGGGCTTGGAAAAGGGTTTCTTGAGACTTTCATCTTAGGAAGATCACTTTACAAGCAGTGGGCATGATCAGAGAAATGAGAGGTAATTTCCAGGACCACTATTAAAGCAGTCCAGATAAGGGATAGTGAGCAGAGGTACTACAATATTAAGGGGAAAAAAAACAGAGTAACTTGCATATAAAAGCTTTTCCTCTACAGTGAGGTACCAGTGACTCATGCCTATAATACTAGCTACTTAAGAGTCTGAGACCTGGAAGACAGTGGTTTGAAGCCAGCCCAGGGAAAAAAAGTCTACAAGATTCCATCTCCAAATTAATCAGCAAAAAGGAGAAGCCTGGAAGATAGCTCAAGTGGTAGAGTACTGACTGAGTGAACATGAGGCTCTGAGTTTAAACTTCAGTATTATAAAAAATAATAATAGGGGCTGGGAAGGTGGCTCAATGGTAGAGTGCTTGCTTCATATGCATGAGGCCCTGGGTTCAATTCCTCAGCACCACATAAGCAGAAAAAGCTGGAAGTGGTGCTGTGGCTCAAGTGGTAGAGCGCTAACCTTAAGCTGAAGAGTTGAAGGACAGTGCCCAGGCCCAGAGTTCAGGCCCCATCACTGGCAAAAAAATTAAAAAATAAAAAATAAAACAGCCCAGAAAGGAAAGTCTTTGAGACTCTATCTCCACTAAACTACACAAAATAAAAAAATAAATTTTTAAAAAAATCTGGAAGAACTGTAGCTTAAGTGGTAGAACACTAGCCTCGAACAAAAAAAGCAGCTCAGGAACAGTGTCTAGGCCCTGTGTTCAAGCCCTAGAACTGGCACCAAAAAAAAATTATTTTTTTAACTCAAGGTAGCCAGATAGAATGGCACATGTCTGTAATCCTAGCTACTTCTGGGAGGATGGCAGTTTTGAAGCCAGCCAGGGTAGAAAAGTTGGAGACTCCTTTTCAACTGAGAGTTGGGCTCAGTGATACACAATTCTATCTGTGATAGAAAGTCTAACACAGAAAATGTCCAAATGTGCACCCTGACAGGAAGCAATGCCCTATCTCAAAAAATAATCAGAAAAAAAATAGGGCTGGAGTTGTGGTTCAGCACTGAGTGCTTGTCTTGTAAATTCAAACCCCAGCGCCATACCTACACACACCTACAACTAAACACACATACATACACACATACACACACTAAATTTACTCAATAAAATCTCTGATAATTGTTTTCCTCTTTGCTCACCTTCATGGTTCACGGAAAGGCAAGAATTCATAGGACAGAATCAACATTTTAAAAAAAGGTTTGATAAAGTCACAGTTTACCTCTAAGGGAATAGCTAGAATATCGAAGTAGATCAAGTAAGTGAAAGGTCAAAGGTAAGAGACAAGTAGAAAGAATCAAAGGAAGCAAGGAACCCAACATACAAATTATATTTACTTACAGGATCAACAAAGTCCATATTGAGTCCATAACAAAGCTTCTGAATTCGAGATGTAATTTTATCAAACATAACTCGCTCTTGGCGGCCATCTGAAAAATCAAACCAGAGAGTTCATGCTAGCACCAATTAAGAGGGCATGGTCAAAGAGTCAAAAGTGAGGGAGAGGTGTGGCTCAGCAATATACTGTCTGTTTGGCAAGCTTAAGTCCCTGGTTCAAACCAAAATGCTGCCAAAAAAGAATCAAATGTAACTAACCAGTATGTGAACGTTTGAATTGACCAACATAAAAGATTCATACTTCCATGAGCTGGTAGCTCATACCTGTAATCCTAGCTATTCAGGAAGCTGAGATCTGATGATCTTGGTTCAAAGCCAGTCTAGGCAGGAAAGTCTGTGAGACTTTTATCTCCAATTAACCTCCAGAAAACCAGAAGGAGTGCTGTGGCTCAAATGGTAGAGAGCTAGCCTTGAGCTGAAATGCTGGGGGACAGCGCCGAGGCCCAGAGTTCAAGACCCACAACTGACCATAAAAAAAAAAAAGATTCATACTACCAACAGAGATTGTTTTCTCTTTTTTAATGTCATCTTCAAAAAGCAGATTCTGTACTGAAAGCCTTACCTTCTCAAATGATGTTCTGCCTTGATCCTCATCTACTGCTCTATAAAGCAGCCAGAATTATCCTTTAAAGCTTAAGTCAAAATCATATTTTTACCTCCCTCAAAGACCCTAAAGATAGCATCTCATCTCCTTCAAAATAAAAGTCCAAATCATTAAAACAGTCCAAAAAATCCTATCCTGTCCTATGTCTTATCCTGTCCTATCCTGTCCTATGTCTGTCCAACCTCATCTCCCCCGTCCTTCCCTACTCTACCTTGGTAACCCTATCATCATGCTTTCTACACCTCCTCTAGATCTTTATTCCCTGTCATATGGTCAACTAGGTTTTCCCTGATAGTTCTGTTTAAATTGCAGTACCACATATATAGCCTAACTCTTCCTACCCTTTGTTTTCCCTCTATGATTTATTTTCCCCATACCACTTATTACCATGGTATACTATTCATGTTTCTAATTTGCTTATTGCAGCTCCTCCTACTCATTCAAATTAAACAAAATTTCTAAAAGGATGAAGATTTTTACACTTTCTTGCCAATGTATTCTCCAATGCCCAAGCAAGAGACCAAGGCCTAGTATGTAATAAGCACTCAAATATTATTGAGTCTAAATGATTCCTAAACCTGTCACAATTTTAATACCTTCATAGTAAATCTGGCTTGCATACCCTCCTAGGGTAATATACTTCATATTATGCAAAGAAGAACCTTTCGTTTATAATTCAAGACAAATTTCCAGAGGCAATCTATTAATTTTAACATGCTGAGGATATGGTAAGTCAATATATGTAGACTTTATCTAGTTAGTCCTTCCATAACTTTGAACTTAGATCACCTTCCTCTCTGTCCTTTCAAACAACAGGTGTCACTATTCTTGGTTGGAATAGTAGATATACCCCAGTACCACATAGCCTTAAGCCTTCCTTAAAAGGCTACTACATAATCAGTTTTGTTTACTTTATCTACACTTTCGTTATACCAATTTTATTTATTTAAAAAAAACTTTGTGTCAGTCTTGGGGCTTGAACTCATAGCCTGAGTGCTGTCCCTAAGCTTCTTTTAAAGCTAGCACTCTACCTACAACTTGCTTCACTTCCAGCTATTTTGGTAGTTAGTTGGAATTAAGAGTCTCACGGACTTCCCTGCCCAGGCTGCCTATGAACTGCAAGCCTCAGATTTTAGTCTCCTGAGTAGCTAGGACTACAGGTATGAACCACTGGCACCCAACATAACAACTTTCGTGTATGTAATGTTTTTGTCAACTTGATTGCATTGAGAGAAGCACACTTCTGTGTGTGTGAGAGAGGATTTTCTGAGAGAATTAAGCAGGGAAGAAGGAGGTAGCCTGCTAGTACAAGCATTCTTGTTCTGCTTCCTAGACACCATGGAGTGAGCTGTTCTGCTTTATTATATTTTACTTGTTCATGTTTCTCAGTTAAAATCTCTGGAAGCAACAATAATACCTGCCAACTCACCACTATAATCAAAGTGCCCAGCATAGTATCCAGTAGTTATAATACAGTGGGCTATAGAACAAATTAAAAGGAAGGGAAGACAGGATAAGGAATAAGTCACAGATGTAAAGATACAAGTTTATAAACTTGTTTCAGATTTATGTAGGTGTGTGTATACGTATATACATATATATGTATACATATATACACATACATATATATTATACATGTATTTATAATCTATTTCTTATTCGGGTTACAATCCAAAGTTTTAGAAACACAACAGTAAATTCCAAAGCACTGGTTACAATTCAATCAGTTACTTTTACTATTTATTACAAATGGCTCTCAACTTTTTTTTTTTTTTGCAGGTACTGGGGTTTGAACTCAAGGCCTGCACACACTGTCCCTGAGTGCTTTTGCTCATGGCTAGAGCTCTACTGCTTGGGCAACAAACAGTTCAACTTCCAACTTTCTGGTGATTATTTGGAGATAAGACTTTCATAGACTTTCCAGACCGGGCTGGCTCTGAAAAACAATACTCAGATCTCAGCCTCCTAAGTAGCTAGGATTATATGCATGAGCCATTGGTAGCCTGTGTGTGTGTGTGTGTGTGTGTGTGTGTGTGTGTGTGTGTGTGTGTGTGTGTGTGTGTATGTGTGTGTGTGTGTGTGTGTGTGTGTGTGTGTGTCTGTGCTCTGAAAAACAATACTCAGATCTCAGCCTCCTAAGTAGCTAGGATTATATGCATGAGCCATTGGCAGCCAGTGTGTGTGTGTGTGTGTGTGTGTGTGTGTGTGTGTGTGTGTGTGTGTGTGTGTGTGTGTGTGTGTGTGTGTGTGTGTGTGTGTGTGTGTGTGTGTGTGTGTGTGTGTGTGTGTGTGTGTGTGTGTGTGTGTGTGTGTGTGTGTGTGTGTGTGTGTGTGTGTGTGTGTGTGTGCCTGTGCGTGTGTATTTCCCACTAGGAAAAATAACTCAAGATAACAAATAATGAAAAACTTATCTACTATTCCCTTCCTTTATCTAACAACTTTCTATGGATTATTTCTAAATCCCTAAGAACTTTAAGTTCTTGTGAAGATGGAGCTGCTTTCTCTATTATCTTCATAGTGTTCAGCAAAGTATTAGCCCACTAAGTAAATCGTTGCTTTTTCTTCTGAGTAATTTATATTAAAATAAATAAAAAAACCTTGCCAGACTGGGGAAGAGTGAGGGAAGGGGTGACATTGTCCAAAAAGAAATTTACTCTTTTCCTGACTCATGTAACTGTAACCTCTCTGTACATCACCTTTATAATAACAACAACAAAAACTTAAAAACAAAACAAAACTCCTCAGGCACTGGTAGTTCATGCCTGTAATCCTAGCTGATCTGATGATCACAGTTCAAAGCCAGCCTGGGCAAGTCCATAAGACTCTTACTCTTAATAAACAACCACCACTCCTCCTCCCCGCCCCCCAAAAAACCAGCAAGTGGCCACAGCTTTTTGCCTTGAGCAAAGAGCAGGTCAGAGACAATGTCTAGGCCCCAAGTTTAAGCCCCTGGACTGGCAAAAACAAAAAAATAATAATAATGAAAAACCTCAATAGTCTTGCTATTTCACTGGCATATGAAAGTAGGAGAAAACAACAGCAGGAAAAAAAGAAAAACATTATGTACATTTAAAAAGAAAAAAATCCAACAAGGGCTGGGAAGGCAAAGCGCTTGCCTTGCATTTATGAGGCCCTGGGTTCGATTCCTCAGCAAAAAGAAGAGAAAAAAGCCAGAAGTGGCGCTGTGGCTCAAGTGGTAGAGCGCTAGCCTTGAGCTGCAGAGCTGAGGGACAGCGCCCAGGCCGAGTTCAGGCCCCACAACTGGACCCCCCCCCAAAAAAAAAATCCAACAAAAATCTTAATACACTTTGAATATTAACAAGTTCAGTGGCAGAATCTAGAACAAGAGCCATCTGGATCAAATTATGTTCTATAAGATCAAAGACATGATCCCCAAATAGTAGGGCACCCACCTGGCAAGTGCAAGGCCCTGGGTTTAAACTCTCCAGTACCACCAAAGCAAAAAGAAACCGAAGGAATGAGAATCAAAATTAATCCTGCTTACTGTAGATAGCACTTTTTATGTTAGTTATTCTAAAGTTGACTTAAATGGTTTAAAATCCAACACAGGTTTACCTAGTCCAATAATCCATTCAGTCATTAAGGATTTACTAAATTACTATATTTTTGAAATACCTTTGTTTTGGAGGGCTTTTTTGTTTTTTGGTGCCAGTCCTGGGCCTTGAACTCAGGGCCTAGGTGCTGTCCTTAAGCATTTTTGTTCAAGACTAGCACTCTATCACCTGAACCACAGCTACATTTCCAGCTTTTTTGGTGGTTAATTGGAGATAAATTTTGAGGACTTTCCTGTCTGAGCTAGCTTTGTACCTTAACCCCTGATCTCAGTCTCCTGAGTGGCTAGGATTATAGGCATGAGCTACCAGTGTCTGGCTTAAACTTCATTTTTACAAAAGAAAGTAGTTACAACTCTTGTTTCTGCTTGTCTCATGTGACTCTGTTCTAATTATGTGTTGTTCTAAATATGTTGTTTTTTCCAACTTATTCCCAAGGAAGGGACTGTTTGTTCTTATAAACTGCTAGCAAAGGGCTGGACACAAACTTAATGAGAAACTGCTGAATATGAGTACAAGTCCCCCACCCAGTCAAAACCCTTGGCCATGGCCTTTTTTTTTTTGTCGGTCGTGAGCCTTGAACTCTGGGCCTGAGCACTGTCCCTCAGCTCTTCAGCTCAAAGTGAGCACTCTACCACTTGAGCCACAGTGCCACTTCCTGTTTTCTGGTGGTTTATTGGAGATAAGAGTCTCATGGACTTTCCTGCCCAGGCTGGCTTTGAACCACTCAGCCTCCTGAGTAGCATGGCCTCCTTTTTTTTACTGGATTTTTTTTGGGGGGGGGGGGGGCGGTCCGATCGTGGGGCCTGAACTCTGGGCCTGGGCACTGTCCCTCAGCTCTTCAGCTCAAGGCTAGCACTCTACCACTTGAGCCACAGCGCCACTTCTGGCTTTTTTCTTTTTGCGTATGTGGTGCTGAGGAATCGAACCCAGCAAGCACTCTACCACTGAGCCACCTTCCCAGCCCCTGGCCTCCTTTTTTTTGACCCAGTCTTCCCATGAGAAAGGAAAACAGTGCCTGTCACACAGGCTCTTCTCTGGGGCTATGACTGGGGTTGAAAGACAATACAATCTGGTTCAAAGAGCAAACTCCGGAATGCCGTTTGTGTCTGGGATGTTCTTTTCACCCCCAAAAGCTGACCAGGAAAAGTAACAGGTGCCTATTTTGGGCCCCAGAGTCCTGTCTTTCCTGGTTTCCTGTTGTGCCTAGCACTGGTTACCAAGCTCACAATTAATTTTCAAACAACTCAGTCCTCACTCTGAGATCCCACCCTGGCCTCCCCAGCGCCTAGCTGAAGGGCTTTGGGTCAGTCACCCTTCCCTGAGCTCGTTTCTTCACTCGTGAGGTGGAGCTAACGACCTTTTCCCAGGGTTGTGGTAGGGAATCACCCTGCACCTTGAAACCACTCGATACAGGGCAGTGATTATGGTGAACGACAGCATAATGACAAAGACGAGAGTGCGCGTACTGAAGGCCTGGAGAAAGGAGAGAGGCTGACTGCGGAGGCCGAGATGGTTGACAGGGCGGGAAGGCAGGGCGGGAAGGCAGGGCGGGAAGCGGCAGAGGCCGGCCGGCCGGCCGGTGGGCGGACGAGGGTACCAGCTCCGGCCTCAGCCACCCACAGCCCCCTCCTCCATCTCTCCTCACCCACCCAACCCACCTTCCCGGACCCCTCACCTCGCTTGATTACATGCATCGCCGCTAGTGGCTGAGGCGCTAATTCCAGGCGGAGCTGCAGCTGCGAGGCGCCGGCACGACCGAGACGGAGGCCGAGAGGGAAGGCTCGGACTTGCAGCAGGGTTCACAGGCCTAAGGGTCCGGAATCGGGGTGCAGACCGCACTCTCTCCGCCCGAGCAGAGGCGCGACAATCCGAATTCCTTCCCGCTCCCGCCACCCGTGACGCACAAAACGGGGCGACGGAGCTCGAGTGACGCGACTAGACGCTGCCCACGCCCGGAGCCGAATAGGCAAAAGTTAGCGTCACTCTGCGGCCGCCATGTTGAGTGTGGGCAAGACCCCGGAAACCGCGCCTCTCGCTCTCTGGATGCGCGCAGGCAGGCTGGCGGGCACGTTTTTCTCCCGCCGCCATGTTTGATGTGGGCAAAGCTGAATCCGCCGGGTACCCTGGTGGAACTTGCCAGCTCTGTCCTGGCCCTTCCTGCCTGGGACTCCTGCCTGAAGTCCTACGGGGCAAGGATTTTTGAATTCACAATGAAGTCAACCGTCCAGAACACTTTTTCTTGTTTTGATTGATGCATTTTCATGAGCTTTGGATGTGAGCTCTACTCTAGGACCCACGGGCCAAGGCAGCTCAGCCGAGTGCGTTTAGGTTGGCCAGAATCCTGGCTCTCCAGAGTGGGAGAAAGGCCAAAGTGGGCCAATGGTGTTTTGATTTTATCCTTAGAGACCTGGGAGATTTTTAAGTAGGGACATAATCTTTTTGCCTTTTCTCCAGTAGTTGGATAATAGGTTCTCAGACCTAAAAAGCACCGACTCCTCAATTGAGTCTACAAGTTAAATAAGAGTAAGACTGGCATCTTGTAGGCAAAAACTTGTATTTATCACAGAATTGAAAGAAATATAAGGGGAGGGGGGCGTGAAGATGTTGAAGGGGTGACACAGGTGACACAGATCAAGATGTATTGTACACATAATCTGGTTTAAGTGGCAAAAAAAAATTCAAACATAACTTAAAATTAAGTAAAGAATATGGGAAAAGGTAGGTTGGGAAGGGTAGGTGGGAATGTTGAAAGGGGTAACACTGATCAGGATGCACTATATTCATAAACTTCTTCAGTGAAGGGCAACTCCTTTGTACAACTACAAGATACTAAAAATTTTTAAGCTATTTTCTCTCCCTAAAAAAAAAAAAAAAAGTACTAGCATCATTGCCTTCATTTCACATGCATGCTCACTCAATCACTCAGAGAGTATCCAAAAAATAGAAGATTCCTATCTAATCTCCCAAGTGGGCACAGGGGATTTCTGACTCTGTGCAAATCTCTCATTCCAAGATTCCTATAGCACCATCAACAGGAAGTAACTAATAAAGAAAATGACCATAACACCTTCCTCCTTATCCCCTCCCATCCCTAATGGGATAATTAGTGGGTATTTGGAGGAGAACATAATCACTAAGTCCATTTCTTCCCTCTCTGGCTGTGTTTTCCCCCTGAGCCTTGGATTCTGAGGATAAAAGGACTAGTTGATAATATGCATGACAGGAAATCAAAACTACTCTCAATCCCCAAGCAACAGTGAACCTCTCAGGGCACATCAATCCCCAAATGAGGCAGTCACCTATAATGGTGATGCTGCACCTGGAGAAAAAGCAGTAATCCCATAGTAAGTGAATTGTCTGAGCAAGCAATAAGGACTTTTTCCAACCATTTTGCAGGACCAGAACTAAGGATCAACCTTATCACACTATGAACAAGAAAGGTTTGCCAGGCACCAGTGGCTCACGCTTGTAATCCAAGCTACTCAGGAGGCTGAGATCTGAGGATTGCAGTTCAAAGCCAGCCCAGGCAGGAAAGTATGTGAGACTCTTATCTCCAATAAACCACCAGAAAACCAGAAGTGGTGCTGTGGCTCAAGTGATAGAACAGTAGGCTTGAGCTGAAGAGCACAGGGACACTGTTCAGGTCCAGAATTCAAGTCCCAGGACCAACCAAAAAAAAAAAAAAAGGTTAATTATTCAAACTTCTTGCCCCCCTCTCCCCAATCTTTACTTAAACCTAAAGATGGGCCGAGGGATGGGGGGAGGGCATGATTCAAGCAGTAGAGGGCCTTCAAGTGTAAGTTCAAATCCCAGACTAACACACACACACACACACACAAAACCATACCTAAATTTTATAGCACTACCTCATCCCAAAGCTAAGCTAAAATGTTTAGTTTTCTTCTCAGCATATCTATGCTGAATAAATCATTTCCTGCCTTTTTACCTTAACTTCTGTTTGTTTTCTTTGGGGTAACTGACATGTTGGAACTCCCTAAATCAGGTCTCTGACCTAAGACTCCAGTTGTGGATGATTGTAGGAATAGGGTCTGAGACAAGGCGGCTATTGCCTTGTGGAGGTTAGAATTGGTGTCTAAATGTGGATAAGAACAGATGAGAGTTTTAACATGCAAGGCTGATTGAAAGCTTCTGGTCTTAGCTACACAAACTTACCTTTATTAAATTTTTTCTATGGCATCTTTCCCCCCAAAACCTTTTACAACTTTAACTGGTGCCTTGATGTTCTCCAGATGCTGCTCAAGATCCCTGTAAAGTCATTCATTCCAAGTCACAGGAAGTCATAAATAACCCCATAGACTCAAGATGACCCAGAAACAGGATTGTCAAAATTAGGAAATAAAATTGTGTCACGAATATTGTATAAGGCATAATTTTAATTAAAAACTTACTTATCTGCAGTTCAAATTTACCTAGGCAGTCTTTAACTTTACCCAGAGAGCTCTTAGGCTTATGCACTGGAGTTTCATTTTCCCATGTCAGAACAACAATCTCTCCTTCATCTAGTCTTGTAAGCCACAGAGAACACACAAGACACAAAGACAGACAAAGACAATAGAGGCTAAAATCTCCTACATGCTTTATTGGACTTCAAAGAGTCTTATGAAATAACACGGAAAAACCCAAGTGAGGGTGTCCAGTGGGCACAAGGCAGTCTGAAGCCTGGCACCCTCCTAAGACCAGTCCCAGTTGTACCCACAATAGGGTTCAGCATGGCAGAGTGGGGCAGAGGAAAAATACCTTTACAGCCATAGCAAAAATAGGTAAAGGAGAGAGTTGTCTAGAAGATGAGAAGGGTAGAGGGAAGTGGTCATACAGCAGCTTTCATATATACCATCTTCCTTCACCACCTCTTTTCCAAACCAGTTGTGTCCTTTTTGAGCCTCTGGCCCAGACTACGTGTACACGAAAATCAGGGGAATCTGACAAGGGGAGTACACTGTGCAGGCACTTGGGAAATTCAGGAGATTTCCTTTTGTTCACGTTTAAACTTGTATCTTTTGGTTCAAATACAACAACATTCTTGCCAAACGACTCCAGGGTTTCACAAGAGCCCTGAGTCATGACTGGTGGCTCACACAGCCAGGGGAGCCAATTGTCCTGAGCTCCAGGAGTATTGATGCTTTGGGTTGCTTTGGGGCAGCACCTCATAGAGACTAATGCTCCTGCAGTATGGAGTAAAAGGGGCAAGAAAAAGGCAGGTGTGGGCAGGATAAGAGAGGAGAGGTGAGGGCCTTATAGGCCACAGCTTTGGCATCCATTTATCCTCTAAGCGAGGTCTCTCCCAATCCATCCCAAACCTAGCCTCACTTTAAGCTCTGGTGGCTTGTTCCTGGAAATTGGTTTCACTATCCACCTTCCCGCCCCCCCCCCAAACTACTGGAGGCCAGGATGAGGTTCTCTCCAGCCCACTACATTCCCAAAGAACAAACTCCTAAGAGTAAACCTTTGGCCCATCTGTGGCAAACAGAATGATTGCAGGTGGGATGAACATATCTGAGGTATAAGCAGGTGTCAGAAGTTACTCCTCCTTTTTCCCCACAATTGCTACAGGAAGTTGGGGAGTGGTGGGAGGGAGGAGCATAAAATCAGGAGACAGAAACAAAACAAACAAAAGAAAAATCAAACCTCAAACTGGGACAGCAGAGACAGAAGCTGCACCCCAGAGGTGGAGCTGGAAGTTGAGGGAACAGCAACTAAGACATGCACTGAAGTGGAGAGGGAGTGGCAGCAGCAGCCCGTGGTTGAGAGGGAAGCAGGGCAAGCAGGCCATGGTGGTCAGTTAATAAATAATGATGAAGGACCCAAGGGTGAGGGAGGTGGGTATGTACAGTGCCCAAGCCTCTGGGCCAGCCCTCTAGTCTGGTCTAGGGGCCAGATATCTTGAACAAAGGGAAGGACAGGGAGGCAGAAGACCCAGGGAAGGAAAAGCTGTCTCACCACTGTCACCCCTATTTGTCTACTTCTTAAGAGGCTTCTTAAAGATTTTGAGGGTTAACTTCTTCCTGCCTGGGCTGGAGTCAGTCTCCTCACCAATAGAACCATTATCCTCCTCAGCCATGGCCTTCTTGCCAGCCAAGTGAGGAATGCGTGTGTTTCGGTTGGCCTGCAGGGCTCTGCTGTCCCCAACTGGAGATGGTGTGTCTGGGTCTGGGGAACTGGGGCTATGAGAACGGGAGGAATCCAAAGGTGGGGAGCCACCAGGTGGAGCTGAGGGGCTCAGCTCCATCAGGCTGTGGGCTTTGTCCAGCCCATGGTTCAGTGCCAGTAATGCTTTCTTGGCCACAGCGGGGCTGTCAGGCACTTTCTCTACCAGAGATCCTGGATGGACCCCCTCAGTCAGCCGCTGGCTGCCATTGGAAGTCGTGGCATTGAGAGCCTCATCTGCAGCACGGCCCATCTGAGGAGGCTTGGGGGCCACACGCTGGCGGTCACTCATGTGGAGGGAGGACTCCGAATCGGAATGGGTCAAATCCCTGCAAGACATAGGGCAGAAAGGAAGAAAAGGGACGTGTACAGGATAGGAAGAAGAGGAAGGGCAAAGAGGAGAGAGAAACAGGCATGTGCAGGATAGTAAGAAGGGAAAGGGCAAAGAGGAGAGGAAAACAATGTGAGAAGACATAAACAGGAAAGAGAAACAGGATGAGTAGGCAGATGAAAGATAGAGTATGAGTAATGAAAGTTGAGTACAGGTTTACAGAGGAGAATAGAGAGAATGGGGATAGATTGGAGAGATATAAGGAGAGAAAGCATAAAACATGAAGGAAGAAAAACAAAAAGGTAAGCAAGCAGGTAGCAATAAGAAAGACCAAGAGGAGAAATAAGGGGAAAGTGATGGGAAGAGAAGAGATAGATAAAAAGGAAACAAAAACAAATGTCATTATACCATAATCTGTCAAGCAAAAGGGTTTGCAATATCTGGGCCCCAAACCTGCTCAATACCTAAATTAGTGCAATTGTAGGCTTAAATTCTACAGTCAATATCCTCAGTAAGATCTCTGCCTCCCATAGCTGACTAGGTTTCTTAAAACACAAACTTAAGGTAACATAGAAACTGCATGCTGCTCTAAGTCACCATTTTCCATGCCTTCCTCCCCCACTTATCCCTGTCACACCCTGGGACATGTTCACTCTGGGCCAGGCTCCAAGGAACAGGGCACATGCAGTCAGCGAGCCTGAGCCAGGCTGGGAGATTAGAACAGCCTTGCAAACATCCCTCACCCACTCCAAAGGCCAAGATGCTGCTTCATCCTACTCTTTCACATGATTTAAAGATCACAGAGAAATGTGAGAGTGTAAACCAGAGTCCAGGGTGGCATCAGGATGTTGGCCTTTGGGATTGAGATGAGGGGTAGGGTTCAGAAGACCTCTAGGCTTTTTTCTGTGTGATCTTAGACAAATTATCTATCTTTGCGGGTCCTTGATTTTGGCCTAATATAGACAATACCAGTTCAGTTACATTCCAGGACAATTTGGAGGTTTAGAATATGAAATACCACTCACAAGAGGCTTTCTTTGCAAAGCTAAGTTTTGAGGACCTGCCATCACAAACTGGACATGCACACAAAGAGCTACTCCAGGAATCTGAGACCCTTTAGGGGGCTAGCTCTTCCTAGGAAGATCATAAACCAGTTCCAGATGTCATTGATCCTGCCTCTACAGACAAAAGAAGGTTCCCAATCCCAAACTCTCTTTCTGTTTCCCAGAGGCTTGAGAACCACAGGAAAGGTTAAAGGAAATGTCTAAATATCTGAGTCAGGCAGCAAAAAGTCATGAGTGGAAGAGGAGAGCACCACAAAATCCAGAAAGAGGGAGGGCAAGTGTCAGAAGTTAAGGAAAAAGAGAGATTTCTAGAAAGGACAGGCAAAAGCAGGGGGCGGCGGGGGGGGGGGGGGGGGTTGGCTGATAGCTATTGTAGGTTTAATTCTCAGGAAAACTAACTTAAGCTGCCATCCATGTTCCAGTGAGCATGTCCTGGACCCACGATAGCAGAGAACAATTCTGGCTATAGTTTCCATGCCACAAATACTGTTTTAACCACAGAAGCTAATGTTTACAAATATTCAGTCTTAAATTTGGTTCCATATTCTGACATTGGCCCTTGTTTCTATCCAAATGTGTCCTTGTTTCTGTAAGCTCCATGTCTATCCTTGACATATTCTGCCTTTCCACACACATGTAAAGCACTCAACAAGGTACAAAGGAAGTTTTAGGGAGCAGCACACTTAGAAAAAGTACCCTCTAAACTCAAGAGGTGAGGATCCAAAGAACTGACAGTTCAAACACTAAGGAAAAGAAACTGTCATCATTTGAATATGAAATGTTTCCAATAGACCACTTGTTGAACGTTTGTTCCCCAGCTAGCAACACAAATTTTGACTATTTTGGGAGGCCTGAGACCCAGCTGAAGGAAATAGGTAGGTCATTAGGGTCGGGTTCTTGGGAACTATATCTTGCAACCAGCATTTGTCTTTTTGTCAGTCTTTTTTTTTTGGTCAGTTGTGGGCATGAACTCTGGGCCTGGGCGCTGTCCCTCAGCTCTTCAGCTCAAGGCTAGCACTCTACCACTTGAGCCACTTCCGGCTTTTTCTGTTTATGTGGTGCTGAGGAATCAAACCCAGGGCCTCATGCATGCAAGGCAAGCGCTCTACCACTAAGCCACCTTCCCAACCCATCAGTCTCTTCTTTCACCCATCTCCCTCCCTCCTTCCCTCTCCCATCCCCCCTCCCGCCCCCGCCACTAGCTTCCTGTTCACTGAGAAATGAAGAACATCCTGTGCCAAAGACTCCCATGACTAGGATGTTCTGAGCAAGAATACAGAGCCAAGTGACCAGGGACAGAACCCTTTGAAACCATGGGTCAAAACAAATCTTCCTTTAATTTGTTTTTGTCACATAGTTGGTCACAGCAACTCAATAGTAACTAAAACAGAGGTCAAAATATTGGAGACCTCCTAGCCTTACTTCTCCTAGCCCCCAGTCCCATTTGGTCTTCATTGCCATCCACCTATGCCTGCCCTCATCAGCAAAAAGGTGAGACTTCCAAAGAAAGATACAAGTGTGGGAGGAAGCCTGAGTAGATATAGGAGGGAGAAGGCCCACTGAAGCAGGATCACCTTCCCTCCCTGAAGTGTTGAGACCCTCTGACTAGAGGTGTCCCTCCCCAAAGGCTGGACTGCTTTAGACTCCCATCCCAAGTTACTAACCTTACTAGAGAGCCTGTTTGCCTTTAGAGATGATCCTCTGGTGCATGGTGCAAAAGAAAATTAAGTAGTAAACAGGCCAAGTAGATGCAAGTTGCTTTCCACCCTTCCTCCCCACTGCCCTCAGCTTAGGTCTTGGAGCATAAGATATACAGCATCCTCTACCATCCCCACCCCTAATTCAGTCATAGTCTCCCTTTCTAGGCTTCTGGATGAAAATGAGGATGACAGTGAAGATATGTAGCTCTGCTGGGTAATAATCCTAGTGAGGACAGCCCCTTTGGGAAAGGAATAGCCCTCAAGGATAATTATCCAGAGGCTCAAGGGACAAAGCTAAAATTATGAGTGTCAGAAGGAGGCAAGAATAAAACAAAAACAAACAAACAACAACAAAGCAATGAAATCAGTAGATTACAGCCCAAAAGTCAGGACAGGGCCATAGTCATAACTTCACAGATGGAGAGGTTATTTTAGAGGAAGTAGGGGAAGCTTTTTTCCTCCCCGCAGTACTGAAGATCAAATACAGGACCATTGGCATGCTAGGCAAACAAGCTATCACTGAGTTGCCTCCCCAACCAGAGGCTTTCTGAGGGTGCCCTAAGCTTGTTCCAGACTCTAACCTTAGCTCTCACCTGCAGGGGAAATCCCTGAAGCTCTCAGAGCAGACTATGGGACAAAGTCTCTCACCAATTCTTTTCCAGTTCACTTACTGAGACCTTGTAGAAGGACAAAAATACCCAAAACTGTGTCTTCAAATGGAAAGCCAACTTCCTGTCTGTGTTCTGTTCCTAATTAGCTATGAATATTAGTGAATTATTTAACTCTAGCTTCCTACTCTACACTTCTAAACCTACCCAACTGTTCTTGTCCAAAACCCCCACACCTGATTCCCCTTTTCTATACTCCAGTTACATGAATGATACTAGATTCATTCAGTCACTCAAGTTAGAAACATGTATTATATTAGATTCTTCCCTTTCCTTCACCTCTGCGTCCATGTATTAGGTTAATTATTTTCTTTCTATCCCAGGATCATAGTACTTCCCCTACAATTGTATGATAAATTCTAGATTCTTGTAATCTCCTTCCTATACACTGCCTATAAAATTTTATTTCTAAAATGTAAGTAGGATCAGTATACTTTCTTTCAGAAACTCTTTTGTAGTTCTCTATCTCCTAAAACAATAGACTTTCTGAGCCTATCATTCTAGTTTCATCTACTTCTTCTTCCCACTAACACATATCCAATATTTTAATTGTGAATCTATTGTATCACATGCTCTTACATCTCCATGCCTCTGCACATAATGTCTCCTCTGTCTAAAACACTTTCTCTTTTCCCTGTATAAGATGTTAGCACAAATGTCATCTCATTGGTGAAGCATTCCACCCAGGTACACACTGTTAGTTACTCCTCCTCCCTCAACACCCACATAGCACTTATCAAATTTTTACATAATTATTTATGTACCTCTCCCAGACCAAACTGAAGTTTGTGATGACTATGATTGTATCTTATCATCTATGAACTCCTATGCCCAGAAGAACCTGGCACAGAGTAAACATCAACAAACGTTTGTTGAAGGAATAAAGGAAGTGAGGACCCCATGAAGATAACCGATATAAAGTACATAGTTTAGGCAAAAGTGCTATAGGATTATGAAGGAAGAGTTAGATACTCATTTTTAGAGTCAGCAAACCCCAGACAGAGACGGGGAGAAAGGTATGAGAAATTAAGCTGACCTTAAAAAGGAGTTCCAGAGATGGTAAAGGAAACATCAAGAAAATCCCCCACAATACACACCCAGAGGTAACCAAGCAGCAGCCAGCAGGCAGAGGCCAAGGGAAAAGCAATGGAAAGGAAAGGAATGGAAGGGGAAAAGAAAAGAGAGACAGATGATACCCCAAGCTTTCTGAATGCCCAGGCATCACAGCGGTGCTGTCAGAAGGGGATGGGTCAGGGTAGGGATCCATCTGGAGGAAATAGGAAGTGCTGTGGTGGTAATAAACAGGGTGGACATGGACGGTGGTGGTAGTGGTGGTAGTGGTGGTGGTGGTGGTGGAGGTGGTGGTGGTAGAAGAGGAACAGGAAGAAGAAGTAGAGGCAGGTGGAGAACTGGTCCCGTGGCCTTCAGAACTGAAAGACTGTCCGGATGAAAGGCTGCGCATTCGCCGCAGAGATACCCGGCTTGTCAAGAAGTGGCCAGCCTCGCCCTCTACCAACCTCTGAGATCCCAGGCCGTGCTGTGTCTCTGTCAGGCGCTGCCGAACACTGCTTTGCAGGCTGGGAGCTGCAAGGAAAGTAAAGAAAGGTGTGAGGAAAGGCCAACATGCTTTGGGCTGGCAGGCAAGCAACCCATAGAGAAATGGCTGATGAAGGCTTTGCTGGGCCTTTGATGCCCAATCTGGAGAAAGGGGCATCATCTCCCAGAAACCTCCCACCATGGGATGGGAAATTGAAGATGAGCTGCCTAGGGCAATTTTAATGGCAACTTCAGTGGGAAAAGACCTAAGGCCAATGTCACTATAAAGGGAGGTAGCAAGGCAGTTAGTGGGAGGACACAGGCAGGACAGGGTAGGATAGGGGACTGGGGCAAGGTCCGGGAGAGCACTAAGAACCAGCCTTTTCAGCAAAACCAACATCAGGAAGTAATTCACAACTTAGACAAGGACTTATGGTGAATATATCAATTGGATTATCATTAATAATTGTATGAAAGTTAACGTAAAAGATGGGATAAGGGAAGAATGATAACGTATCTATTTTCTGAGAGACTACAGAGATATGAGGTTAAGTGTCAGTGCCTCACGCTTGTAATACTAGCTACTCAGGAGGCTGAGTTCTGAGGATCACTGTTCAAACCCCGCCCAGTCAGGAAAGTCCATGAGACTCTTATCTCTTATGGGCAAAAGCTGGAAATGTAGCTGTGGCTCAAGTGATAAGAGTGCCAACCCTGTGCAAAAAAGCTCTGGGACAATGCTCAGGCCCTGAGTTCAAGCCCCAGGACCAGCACAAAAAAACCCTACAGAGATAGCAGTAAAAGGATTTTAAGAGCATGGGAAAATTCCTATTAAAATGTTCAGGGGAGGGGGCTGGGAAGGTGGCTCAGTGGTAGAGCGCTTGCCTTGCATGCCTGAGGCCCTGGGTTGGATTCCTCAGCACCACATAAGCAAAAAAGAAAAAAGCCGGAAGTGGCGCTGTGGCTCAAGTGGTAGAGGGCTAGCCTTGAGCTGAAGAGCTGAGGGACAGCGCCCAGGCCCAGAGTTCAGACCCCACAACCGGACCAAAAAAAAAAAAAATGTTCAGGGGAAGAAGACGTAAACAAAATTATATAGAATAGTCTTGAGCTTCAGAATGTAAAACACTAAAATTGCAAGCAAAGCCTTTTTACCTGGAACTATAATTTGAGTAGCTTATATCCTCATTTTATTACACAACTTGTACAACCCTGAAGAGTTATTCTGAGACTTCATCATCATGTATGTATCTGTCACAGGTCATGGCACTCCATAAATGATGGTCATTATCTTAAATACATTTACAACTATTTTACAGACAAAATACAGAAAGAACAGGTATTCAACTATGGTAGAACCATGGATGCCTTTCTTATCCTACTATTTACCTTTTAAATTTTCCAAATTTCCTGTAATATGCATAAAAGAATCTAGCTCCTGGACCAATTATGCCAATACAGCTCTTGGAAAATGATAACTATCATGCCCATTTGGGCACTAGGTTATTTAGAATTGTGACAGAGCAACCCCGTGGGCTCAATCTCATATCCAAGATGAAAAAAATGCAAATCTTACACCCTTCCTTCCACTGTGGTAGACAGCTATCTACTTAAAGATGAAAAGTGTAAGGTATAAGGGTGACAGAAGTCTTGGAAGGGCTCTCAGAGAGAGAGACCACAATTTTCCACTGATTGGGGTTGCAAGGCAGGGCTTCTGCAGCTAGTGGCTTTCAGGACATGAAAAGGAGACCTAAGGGGCTGGGAAGGTGGCTCAGTGGTAGAGCGCTTGCCTTGCATGCCTGAGGCCCTGGGTTCGATTCCTCAGCACCACATAAGCAAAAAGAAAAAAGCTGGAAGTGGCACTGTGGCTCAAGTGGTAGAGCGCTAGCCTTGAGCTGAAGAGCTGAGGGACAGCGCCCAGGCCCAGAGTTCAGGCCCCACAACCAGACCCTCCCCCCCCCCAAAAAAAAAAAGAAAGAAAGAAAAGGAGGCCTAAGAGGAAGAAGAAACCCATAATAGGACGGGGAAGAGGGAAAAACAAGACAGAATCAGGAAAGAAAGGGGGAAAATATTTTTTAAAAAGAGGGGTGGTTTTGCCTTCCCTCTTTTCCTCCCAGTCCTGTTGGAAGAAGGGCCATCAAGATACTGTGTAGCTGAGTTGAAGGGAAAAGCCTAAAGCCTTCCATAACCATGGATATTCTCTCTCCAGCTCTTGACCAAGTAGGCTGATTCTTCTCACCCCCGAACCCCTCCCTGTAGTTAGTAGGGAAAGTGCTGAGGGGATATAGGGAGCAGGCATGGGGTGTGACACAGGCAGGGGAAGGGGCCCATGGGTAGGAGTGTTGGTTTAGTCCCAAAAGTTGGAAAAAACAAAAGCCCCAAAGGGGCTCCTCAAACCCGGGTATTTCCAGAGGGACTGATCATCCGAGCCGGCGGATGTAGAGCAGAGAGAGCGGTCACTGGACCTACGCCCCATCAGCCAGGCAGCATCTAGGGTCAACAAGCCAGGCCAAAAGGAGAAGAAAATCTGATTTATGGAGGGCTTCAGCCTGCCCATCAATGGGCTATGAGAAAGGCAGGGAGTAGGAGGTGTTTAAGGTATTGAAAGTCCTTCCCTTCCTGGGTCACAGGAATTTTTGGATCAATAGGTCAGGGTCTGTTTTCCCATCAGTGATCCAAACCTTGTTTGGCTTTTGACTAAAAACATACAAAGAATCTGGGTATCACTGGCTCACATCTGTAATCCTAGCTACTCAGAAGACTAAGACCTGAGGATCAAGGCTCAAAGCCATCCCAGGCAGGAAAGTCCATGAGACTCTTTTCTCCAGTTAATCACCAAAAAGTAAAGCTTTGACTCAAGTGGCAAAGCACTAAGGTTGAGCAAAAAAGCTAAGGGACAGGCCCTCAGCCCTGAGTTCAAGCCCTAGTACTGGTATGTGTACACACATAAAAGATACCAGATCAAGGAGGTAAAGAGGCTTGTCTAGGGACAATGTATTATTAGAGAATGGGAATCCAGCCTTCTTTGCTCCCCCTAAAGCAGCCCTGGATTTCTGCCATCCCCACTGCACAGGTGGGAACAACAGCTTTACCTTAAGAAGACCTATTTTATTTACTTTAAAAATGAAACAAAAACTTCTCAGCTAAAGAAAATTTCAACTGGGCTGGGAAGGAGGCTCAGTGGTAGAGCACTTGCCTTGCATGCATGAGGCCCTGGGTTTGATTCCTCAGCACCACATAAGCAAAAAGAAAAAAGCTGGAAGTGGTGCTGTGGCTCACGCACTAGCCTTGAGCTGAAGAGCTGAGGGACAGCGCCCAGGCCCAGAGTTCAGGCCCCACGACTGGACCCCCCAAAAAAAATTTCAACTGTGAGCCAGTAAAGGAAAATTTCCTTAAGAATACCCACATAATGTTGTGCCTTTTGACGCTGTTCTACTCAGTCCACATCACTTTCAGGGAAAAGAAGGGAGAGGAAAGACCCAGGACAGAGGATCGGTTCCAACAGTTCAGGTGGAGAGCCAGCCATGTGTGTGCAGGAGCTCTCTCCTGACCAAGAATGCCTTCAAACTTGAGGCTTTGGGGGTAGAACACTTTAAGGACATGTTGCTATAAGCATCCTCACACAAAAAGGCAGGGAGAAAAAGAGAGATATCATTCCATTCATCTACTTAAGCAATTAAAAAATAAGAAACATAAATAAAAATAAACGCAAAAAATATTCGAAATGAATGCCATTTTTACATTGTAAATAAAAATCTCAGATGAGATTATTTTTTACAAAGGTAGATAACATGAGGGGAAGGGAAAATGAACAGAAAAACAAAGAGTGAAGGAAAACATACTTAACACAACAGACCTATGAGGATACAGTATATATATAGCAAGGGAAAACCATCAAAAGGACAACTATAAAAGAAATGCCTTGATGTGTATTGTGTTTAATAACCCATGTCAGAAGTCAACTGTTTTCTTGGTTATCTGCCCCATGTGTTATTTAAACGCAGCAAAGGCCATAGACTTCTGAAGTACACATGAAAGACTACTTCCCTCATTCCTACTAATGAAAATCCCCATCTCTACCAAAGAGATCACCTACACTGCATGGACAAAGGTGATACAATCTCTTCATCCATATCATCCACATCGTCAGTCATGATGAAGTGGGCAGGGTTGGGGCGTGTACTGCCCATCCAGCTGGGGTCTATGTTGAGGGCAGCTACCAGAGAGTGGATGCCAGGATTGTTGACAATCTGGAAGCCACAGAGGATCTCAATCTGCTGCCAGCGGTGCAGGCGCTCCCTCAGTGCTGCTGTCACCTCACTCAGTGCTTGCCTGAAGATAGATGGAAAAATAACTGCAGGGGTGGACTGGGTAGGAGACCCAGAAAGAGTAAGGTCTCTTCTCAGAGAACAAGTTACAGAGATATTTGTGATACAAAATACAATAAATTCATAAACTTTTGAGCAAAGTGAGAGCTGGATCACCACTAGAGCAATAGACCAGAACTTTCAGTCCATCAGTGGAAAAACAGAATTGGGGTTAGAAGTTCTATGTACCCTCAAATTCTAATGATAGTATGAATGTTGCCCAAGTGGGTAACTTGTGCTACTTACTTAGCTGTTAGGATTTTATGATCCACATCATCCAAGGAAGAGCTGTGGGCCACATGGAAGGTGCCAAAGAGTGTGTTTCTCTTCTTTTTTATCTTCTCAGCCTGCAAAGATGAAGCCCCCCATCTTAAAAAGAGCAGGGCTTAGATGTTAGGAGAAGTGAGAAGGGCATTCTTGTGGCTGGGTCCTTCTCTCCCTAGCACAATTTAGGCTGAGGAGGAGAAAAGGAAGACAGAAAGGGAGGGATAAAGGCAGGGAGTGGCAAAGGGACTAGAGGAAACCAGAGAAGAAGTAAAAGGTTCCCCTGTCAGTACCATAGCCCCGGGAGAATCACTGTCTTCATGGCAGCCTGGGACTAGAAGAGCTTTCCCTCTGCCTGTTTCCACTTGCTTCATCTTTCCCCGGAGACAGGTGGAGGGAATATCCCTACACCCTCATTCCCTCATCTAGAAGCTTGAAGGAAGTATCAGGAGTTGCACATTAGAAAAAGAAATTGAACCCACCACCACATTATCTCTTGGCCCAAAGGGAGGGACAGAGTGGGACAGAGAAAAGGAAAAGGGACAGGGGGAAAGAAGGCAGGAGGGGAGGTCTCACCCCCTCTTTGGCCACAAGCAGCTGCTTCTCAGCATTTTGCTTCTTGATATTGTAGTACTGAACCTCCACCTCATGTGTCAGCTGCAGCCATTTCTGAAGGGCCTCTGGAGCATACCATGAGCTGTGTGATTCCAGCTCCTTCTCTGCTTTCCTCAAGGCCTCCCGAACCTATGCAGACAAGAGCATGCAAGTCTGTTTCTGATACTAAAACCCTCCCTAACACTTCTGAATGATGCTTCAGAATCCAGTTTTCATCTAGAGTGAGATAGGGTAAGGATTTTGTTTTTCCATATCTTATATGCAAGGACATAAGCTCAGAGAAGGAAGTAACCTATTCAAGGTCACATTGTCAGTTGTGTTAACCAGAACTCAAAACTAACATTTTTTTCCCACTCTAGGCACTCTTCTCTACTACATAAGTTGATTCTTACTGGGGTCTGTGTGAACCTCAAGATATCACCATGTGGCAGAAAAAGCAGTTGGTTCAAAAATCTGAAAATCTGGTTCTGGTATTTGGTTAGGTCTCAGACATTATTAATTCACTATGTGGTAGGACTTCTGCTTACGCAAATCAAAACAATCAGTAACAGTGATCTCAGGACACTGTGGGACAACTGTCATAAGAGAAATATGAAGAAATATGAAGAAATCACATCAGGGCTGGGAACGTGGCTTAGCGGTAGAGTGCTTGCCTTGTTTGCACAAAGCCCTGGGATCCATTCCTCATTACCACATAAACAGAAAAAAGCCAGAAGTAGTGCTTCAGCTCAAGTGGTAGAGTGCTAGCCTTGAGCAAAAGAAGCTCAGGGATAGTGCCCAGACCCTGAGTTCAAGCCCCAGGACTGACCAAGAAAAAAAAAAAAAAAAAGAAGAAGAAAAGAAATCACATCAAAGAGATCTCGACACTCAGTATTCAATACTCCAGAAGGGCACTGGCCTGAATGAGCCCAGTTTCCTCTAGTCCAAGTACTGTGCCTATGATTCTCTCAGTGAACAGAGCAGATAACCTTTGAAAAAGTACTCTCTATAAAATGGAAAGACAATGAGTATGCCCACATTTAACACGAGCATTGCCAACAGAAACCAAGACATGATAGGATCGACATATAACCAGAAAACTCCTCACTGACTTTCTCTATAAAGAAAACAGCTATATATATATATATTTTTGGGGGGGAGGGGTCAGTCGTGGGGCTTGAATTCTGGGCATGGGTACTTTCCCTGTGCTCTTCACCTCAAGGCAAGCGCTCTACCGCTTGAGGCACAGCACCACTTCCAGTTTTCTAGTGATTTATTGGAGATCAGAGTCTCATGGAGTTTCCTGCCCAGGCTGGCTTTGAACTGTGATCCTCAGATCTCAGCCTCCTGAGTAGCTAGGATTACAGGCATGAGCCACCGGCGCCCAGCTAAGCAAACAGTTATAAAGCACTCAGGTGTGAGAGACCTGAAAGTATATGTAGACATTAGATATACTGGATCTCCTGCTACCTCATCAAGTCCCCCCAGCAAAAGTGATTCCCAACTTCTCAAACTGGACACTAACCTTCATCTGGACAGAATCCAGGGAACAAGGATTGAGAAACAGGCTGATTATTCCCAATTTCAGCCACTGGAACATATATGTATCCTATAGTAAGCCCTATCCTCTCCATAGTGCAAACTACATCAGAAGGGTCTTAGTTAAGGACAGACACCTTTGTTTATTTGAGAGCCAATGAAAGCAGTTGGCTTGTGGCTCTTGTAAGAATAAAATGGCCCACTTCTGGTTTTATAGATTTTTAAATGAAGAATAGATACCTTAGAGACTAATAGATACCTTAGAGTCTAACAACTTATGATTAAGTTCAACACTAAAAGCAATTAAAGGAACAAGATCACTAAGGAGAAAAAAAGTAAATAGAGGAAACTTTGACTAAAAGGCACACAAAGGGGCTAGAGCACTAGGTTCAAAAATGTTGTGAGAAATAATTACAAAATAGGAGATGGAGAGACCAGAGACAGAGGACTAGAAAAACATAAATCTTGCCACATGTAAGCAACAAATGCTTAAAAGGATAGAAGACAAGAAATGGGCAAGTAAGACAACACTGGGCCTATTCTATAATATGGTTCTCAATCTTTTCACATACTAGAAATGTGGTAAAAATACTGATATCTGGGCCCTAACCTAGAAATTCTGATTTCACTGATCTGGGGTACTAACTGGGTATTAAAATGCTTCCTAGGCTTGGCACGGTGATTCACACTTGCAATACTAACACTTGGGAAGTAGAGACAAGAAGAATATGAATTGTGGACTACATAACAAGACTTTTATCTCAAAAACATAGATAGATAGACAGATAGCTCTTAGACTAAAGGTATGGCACAGTGTAGCAAGCACAAGGCCCTGAATTCAAACCCCAGTTCTTTAAAAAATTAAATTAATTAATTAATTAAGTAGTTCCCTAAGTCATTGTAACTAGTCAGACAAAGTTCATAATCACTGACATATTTTCAAGTGGTATCACCTTACTTTCACTTTCCAGGAGGATATACTATATGCCACGGTAAAAGAACACATCTGGAAGAAAGCTGTATAAATTATTAAAATTGAGTTTCCAAAAATATCAGAGAGCTGTAGAAACAATTATGACTAGACTTGTAGCACACTAAGTGATTCAAAATTCTCAGGTGTCTCCAAGACTTTCCAGAGAGCATTTATAAGGTCAAAACTATTTTCATAATACTAAGACATTAACTACTTTTTTTATTCCCTTTCTCTCACAACTGAACCATGGAGTTCTCCAGAGGATACATAGTGTGTGAAATTGTAACAGACTTAATGCAGACATTAATGTAAGAACTAACTAGTCTTAAAAAATGCCAGATATTTAAAAAGTTTGCAAAATTGGGAAGCAGAGCTATGGCTCAAGTGGTAGAGCACTAACCTTGAGTAAAAGAAGTTCAGGGACAGTTTCAGGCCCTGAGTTCAAGCCCCAGGACTGGCACACATGCACACACAGTGCAAAATTGTAAAACGTTACTGTTTTTCATTTAAGTGAAGTAAGTGAGGTAAGTCAAGCCCATATGTTTTCTCTCCTATGTGGAAATTAGATCTAATTTATAAATATGTGTAAACATATATGGGATCATTTACATATATACACAAACATATTACCTAAAGTATAATATATGTAGGGAAGAATTCCAATGGTGTAACTCCTTTGAAAACTAACCTACAGCCAAGCAATGGTGGCTCACACCTGTAATCCTAGCTACTCAAAAGGTTAAGATCTGAGGATCACAGTTCAAAGCCAGCCCGGGCAGGAAAGTCCATGAGACTCTTATCTCCAATAAACCACTAGAAAACTGGAAGTGGCACTGTTGCTCAAACAGTAGAGCGCTTGCCTTGAGCTGAAGAGCACAGGGACAGCACCCAAGCCCAGAGTTCAAGCCCCACGACTGACCAAAACAAAAGGAAGGAAGGAAGGAAGGAAGGAAGGAAGGAAGGAAGGAAGGAAGGAAGGAAGGAAGGAAGGAAGGAAGGAAGGAAGGAAGGAAGGAAAAAAGGAAGGAAACTAACCTATAGTCTTAACAAAATGAATACCAGAAAGCTGGAATGTGAGGGGACAGGTAGAAGTTAGATCAAGAGGAGGGGGTAGATGAATGAAGAAAGGAAGGGTGGGAGGATGCAGTCATAATATTCAATGTATATATGTGAAAATGGAATTAAGAAGATTCAGGGGATGGGTAGAGTTAGGAAAGATAGAGGACAATGGTGAAAAAGGTGACACTAATAAAGATACACTGTGCTCATAAAGTGACATGAATTGAAGCAACTACTTAAAGATAGTAATTAAGAAAATGACTTTATTTTGGAAGATTCAGTCATTTTTCATGTTATTTATATTAATAGATAAGGGAGTTCAAAAATGTCTTTACTGCCTGGGAAGGTGGCTTAGTGGTAGAGTGCTTGCCTCACATGCAAGATGCCCTGGGTTCGATTCCTCAGCAGAAAAAGCCAGAAGTGGCACTGTGGCTCAAGTGGTAGAGCACTAGCCTTGAGCTGAAGAGCTGAGGGACAGCGCCTAGGCCCAGAATTTAGGCCCCACAACCAACAATAACAACAAAAAAGTCTTTTTAAAGTGAATTAAATATTTTCAAGTTAATATTAATATTTTCAAATTCTTCGCTTGTGTGTGTGTGTGTGTGTGTGTGTGTGTGTGTGTGTGTGTGTGTGTGTGCGCGCACACATGTGCACACTGGTCCTAAAGTTTGAACTCAGGGCCTGAGCACTATCCTTGAGCTTCTTTTTGCTCAAGGCTAGCACTCTACCACTTAGCTATAGCTTCACTTCTGGCTTTCTGCTGGAGATAAAGAGTTTCACAGAATTTCCTGCCCAGGCTGGTTCAAAGCCTGATCCTCAGTCAGCCTCCTAAGTAGCTAGAATTATAGGTATGAGCCATCAGTGCCCAGCTTCAAATCTTTCCATTTTAATTTCTGTTTTCTTACAGTTCTGAAGATACAACTTTGTGCATGCTAGGCAAGTGCTCTACACTGAACTACATCTAGCATTTCCATTTTCATTTCTAATAATACCAATATTGCTCCCACAAAAATGTTCCTTAGTCAGGTGCCAGAGGTTCACACCTGTAATCCTAGCTACTCAGGAACCTGAGATCTGAGGATCGTAGTTCAAAGCCAGCCCAGGCAGAAAAGTCCAATTAACTACCCAAAAACTGGAAGTAGAGCTGTGGCTTAAAGTGGTAGAGCACTTGCCTTGAATAAAAGAGTTCAAGTGGGCTGGGAAGGTGGCTCAGTGGTAGAGTGCTTGCCTTGCATGCATGAGGCCCTGGCCAGGTTTGATTCCTCAGCACCACATAAGCAGAAAAAGCTGGAAGTGGCACTGTGGCTCAAGTGGTAGAGTGCTAGCCTTGAGCTGAAGAGCTCAGAGACAGTACCCAGGCCCAGAGTTCAGGCCCCACCAACGACACAGACACAGACACAGACACATACAGACACACAAACACACACATACAGAAGAGCTCAGGGGTAGCACCCAGATTCTGAGTTCAAGCAACACACACACACACACACACACACACACACACACACACACACACACACACACACACACACACACACACATACACACAGTAGCACCCAGATCCTGAGTTCAAGCCACACACACACACACACACACACACAGAGAGTTCTTTAACGTCTTAAAATGTTTAAGACTTAAAAGATCTTGAGATGAGAAAATTTGAGAAACAGTGGATTATAGGAGCCAAAAACTCAGAGAAGTGCCAGGCACTGGTGGCTCATGCCTGTAATCCTAGCTATAGTCAGGTGGCTGAGATCTGAGGATCGTGGTTCAAAGGCAGCCTGGGCAAAGAAAGTCAGTGAGACTGTTATCTCCAATTAACCACCAGAAAACCAGAAACGGCACTGTGGTTCGAGTGGTAGAGTGCTAGCCTTGAGCTGAAGAGCTCAGGGACAGCGCCCAGGCCCAGAGTTCAAGCCCTACAACTGACAAAATAAAAAAAAAAAAAAAAAAAACAATAAAAAAAAAAAAAACCAACCAGAGAAGGGATGGGGCATGGAGGTCCAAGCTTGTGATCTCAGCACTCAGGAAACTGAGGCTGAAAGACTGAGATATCAAGACCAGTTTGAGCTCCATAGCAAGTTTGAGACCATATTTCAAAGCCCTTATACACAAAACTTTCTAGCCAGACCCTGGGCTCCTGTCTTTTATCCCCACCCCCACCCACCCCCCACCCCCACGAGGGATCCAGGAATCTGTATATTCTCCTACCTGCTCCAACTCTTCCTCAGCATATTTTTGGCGGCTCCGCTCATTCTCTGTACCTTCCCGCAGCTCCTTCAGCCGCTGGGCTTCCTGCTTGGCAAGGTTGATCTCATCACGCAGCTTCTTTTCCAGATGGACCTTTTCCACCTCTACTGTGCGGTGCTCTTCCTGGGCCTTGTGCAGCCTGGGGGGCAATGTAAGATGTTGGAGGAGGCCAAGCAAGGCAGTGTAGGCCAACATGCCATAAGTCATGGCAACAAGGAAGAAATGCAAGTGCCAGATCTGAAGTAAGTTGAGCTAGCTCAGGGCCAACAGAAACCACAGTCATTACCCCAACTCTCACATTGACCATCATTTTGCTGCCAGTAATTACTCTGCTGTTAAGACAGGTTCACAAGAATATGAATCCCTCCCCTAAAGTATTTCACATAACTTGTAAACTACCAATTTACAAGGCATTTCACATTTGTCTACTTAGCAGATAATGACATACTGATAGTTAATGATATATTGATATCATTATCAGCCTGGGAGAGATGTGAGTCTAAAGGCTTAGGAGAAGGGAAGTAAATTACAGGAGAAACCAAGACTAGAACTTTCAAATCTTTTTGACTTCGTGTTCCATAATTATTCCCATCACATTGGGGTATCTGGCAGGTTCAAAAAAAATGTAGAGGCTGGGAAGGTGGCTCAGTGGTAGAGTGCTTGCCTTGCATGCTCGAGGCCCTGGGTTCAATTCCTCAGCACCACATAAGCAAAAAGAAAAAAGCCGGAAGTGGCGCTGTGGCTCAAGTGGTAGAGCACTAGCCTTGAGCTGAAGAGCTGAGGGACAGCGCCCAGGCCCAGAGTTCAGGCCCCACGACTGGACCCCCCCCCCCCCAAAAATGTAGAAAACCCTGAAAACTAGGCAAAATCCAAGAAAAAAAAAATCTCATTGTTAAGATGTGATCGAGGTAGTAGCAGAAGGTCAACTAACAGAAGAGAAAGGAATTATTGAGCTAGACTTTTTAGGATCCTTAGTGCTTACTCAAGAAGCACAGAAAAATGAAATTTATGCCAAAGGGGCTGGCTGGGGCAGGGCTAGGTAGGGCTGGGCTGGGCTGGGTTAGGATGGGCTGGACTAGGCTGGTCTGGGCTTGGGAGATTCCCTGTGGTTCCATCCCGAGTTCCTCTCCTAAGTATCTTTCATAGTAGGTAAAATTTCAAAGGCATCAGTTACAATTTTAAAAAACTACCTTTGCACTTACCCATATATTCCTTCTGCAAGATTTCTTTCTTCCACATATCTACCTGTGTTAATCCATTAATTTATTCATCCATTTAGTCACTAAGTTCATCAAGCCCTGTACTAAGCCTAAATTTATGGAAATATATATATGGAAACAAGTCAGGAAACTAATCCTTCCACTAGAACCAACGACAAACTGAAAACTGCAGTGTGGCAGTTTCACAATAAAGGTATACATATATACATACACATATGGTAAAGCCAAAAGATAGTCAAATAAATTCTACCTGAAGGCAGATAAAGGAAGGGATGAGGACTAGGGGAAATGGATATCAAACTGGATCCAGAAGAAAGAATAACAGTTTACTAATCCCTTTGAAAATAGAAAGGGCTGTTCTTTGAAAATCCTATCTGGCCTTCTTACCTTAGTAGCAATTATCAAGTTACCACAACACTGGAACAGAACAATAAAAGGATGATGAAGAAGAGAGGGAAGCAGGCAAGAGGCTCGAGTTTGCAGGGAGAGATGAAAGGAAGGAGGCAGTGAAGAAGGGAGAGAGAAAGGGCAGGAAAGAGGTAAAACTGAGGTATGGAAAAGTAACAGTCTCTAGAACAAGAAGAATCCACAGAGAAAAGCACTTGGCCACTGAATTAAGAAGACAGAAATAGAACACAACCTCTTAAAAAAAGAACAAAAACAAATAAAAAAACCACTTAAGCCAGGCCCCAGTGGCTCACGCCTATAATCCTAGCTACTCTGGAGGCTGAGATCTGAGGATCACGGTTCAAAGTCAGCCCAAGCAGGAAAGTCCGTAAGACTCTTATCTCCAATAAACCACCAGAAAATCGAAGTGGCGCTGTAGCTCAAGTCATAGAGTGCTTGCCTAGAGCTGAGGGACAGACAGCACCTGGGCCCAGAGTTCAAGCCCCACAATCAACAACAGAACAAAAAACAAACAAAAAAACCCACTTAAGTCCAGAGTAGTGTCTCAAAAAATATATTGGAACAGATAGGGAAGACAAAGAAATATTAAGCTACAGGTTCCTGGTCTGCTTACAATTGCAGTCTTCTACCTACTTTACCTCTGAAGAAAAAGGGAGTTGATAGTCTTCATATCATACACTAGATGGCGCAACTTGCAAAGTTTTAAAAAAAACAAGACTAGAGCCGCATTTCCTGCCTCCATCTCCCTTCCTTACAGAATATCCCTTTCCTTGTACTCTTCCATGACCCAAGTGTAAGAAATTTCAATTATTTACTGAAATACTGTCCTCTTAGTAAAATCCAATGCTATGATATGTCTGTCCTCTATAATAGACTGGACCTTCAAGGTAGAACTGAGCCGAACTCACTTCCATATTCCCAATAGAGTAGTTGAGACTAGGATCAATAAGTATTACTAAAGGTATAAAAATGAGCAAATAAATGTTGTTTTACTCCAAGGCAACAATCCATTAGCAGTACAAGGAAGAAAATTTAGTAGCCTGATTTTAAGTTCTGGGTTGTGGCTCTAATCATTTGTGGGACTATGTGAAAATTCTGCCTATTTCTTCATAACAAAAAGGGAAACAAAATTCCTGCCTGCCCAAAAGAATTATTTTGAAACCCAGTGAAATCCTAATTGGAATGTGCATGTAGCATTACATTTATTCACATGAGATATCAGGAACTAAGCAGATAAAGCTCTGTGGTGCTGGCAGTGAAAGTCTATAGAAGGAAGAAGGGGCAAAGTGGCCTGAGGGCTCTGAGTACCATCAGAGGGGGTATGTGTGTACTTGTGTTCAAGCCTGGGGGGGGGGGGGTGTCTCCTTCTAAGTGCCATATAGAGGTCATTAAGCTCAGGAAGCCTTGGGGAATAGGAGAGCTGGGAGCTTAGTTTTATCCCCAAACTTGGAATGTCTCCTGCTAAGATTCTTTTGTCTTTGGAATGAAAACAGAACATGTTTTTTCAGACAAATGAAGTTTGGGGATTGTTCAAACAGCAGTAGTTAGACCCTAGCTGGCAAAGGGTCTAGGAACAAGAGGCCCGGCAGAGCAGTCATGAATCAACTTAAAAATCAGCCCCTTTATGCCCCCTAGAAGCCTAGCCTATGAGAATGAATCTATATGGTAAAGCCCCAGGAGTATCAAAATTCCTAGCTTGTTACACACATGTGACCCTCAGCAAAGCACTTACCCTTTCCAAGCCTTCATTTGTTCTCTAAAATAAGTTCATTGTACCTGCTTCAAAAAGTTGTGGTGACTAAAAGCATTAAGACAATTAAGTAAATAAAAAGTACCTGGCTCATAAGAAATCTTTACCCCACTCTGGCAAAGGAAATAGTATCTACCATTTAAAAGGAACAAAAACAAAAATGCCAGGCTTCATTTCCTTTTACAGAGATTTCGGCAAAGACTTTCCAACTATAGTTTCTAGTGCCAAAGTCACTTTCTAAAAAATAAGTCTTGAAGTAGGCCTCTCCCCTTTTCAAAAATAAAATAAGCTGTGGGCTGGTAGCTCAAATCTGTAAGCCTAGCTACTCAGGAGGCTGAGATCTGAGGATCACTGTTTGAAGCCAATCTGAGTAGAAAAGTCCATGACACTCTTACCTTCAATTAACTACTAAAAAGCTGGAAGTAGAGCTATGGCTGAGGTGGTAGAGGGGGAGCTTTGAGCAAAAAGGCTCAGGGACAGTGCTCAGGCCCTGAGTTCAAGCCTAGTATAAGTAACATAAAAATAAAACCTGCACTGACTTGATTTTGTCAGCCTACTAAACATTTCTTTATATGCCCCCAAGGTCCCAGGGATTTGGCTCCTCCCAAAATATTCAACCTTAACTCCCAGAACCTTCTTGCCCATCTTTCAATTCCTTACCCATCTTTCCTCAAAATCTCAGACCTATTCTGCTCCTGAACCTGAGGTTTCCTATTTCCTAGAGTTCTAATGCCATAGGATGGCAATGAGTCTATATTAAGACCTCATTGCCCCTAATGAGAGCTTTGTTGCCCCAAGAGCAATGGGTTCCTTGTGATTTCCAGCACAAACCTGGCTGCTATTTTTGCAGCTAAATCTTCTGTGTCAGTTTTTTAATCATTTTCAACAGGATCAGACTAGTAGAGATGGAAGTTTTCTTCTAAGAAAATATAGTGTTCTCCTCATTGAGGCCCTGTGTTACAGATAAGGAGTTAAGTGCTGGAAGGAAAGGGCTGACCCCAGAGTTATGTAAGTCAATGCTGTATGATGATATTGACTTATATGATCCAAATTCATATAAGTAATATTTGCATGGTTTAGACTCCATACAAAGAAAACCTGTGGTCTATAGGAAAGACAGATCCATGAGGTTTTTTTTTTTGGGGGGGGGGGGGAGGTGGGCAGTACAAAACACGTAACTGTATCTGTTTAGGTGGGATAAATGAAGAGAAAGAAACGGAATGGCAGCCATCCAACCAAGGAAAGTTCAAGACAGCTACTCCCTCTGAAGCTCAGAGGGAGAAAGATAGGAACAAGCTTCTCTTCAAGATGAATAATTGGGGCCAGGTAGGTGGCTCAGTGGTAGAATGCTTGCCTTGCATGCATGAGGCCCTAGGTTTGAATCCTCAGCACCACGTAAGCAGAAAAAGCTGGAAGTGGTGCTGTGGCTCAAGTGGTAGAGCGCTAGCCTTGAGCTGAAGAGCTGAGGGACCGCGTCCAAGCCCAGAGTTCAGGCCCCACAACTGACAAAAAAAAAAGAAGAAGAAGAAGAAGAATTAATTGTCCATGGCAACTGGAATAGCAAGAAGCTAGGCTCCCAGAGCAGTTCTAAAGGGAAGGCATAGTCCAGACAGCCATTCAGTAGTCTCAGAGGCCAGGTGGTCTAAGGAAATAGGCAGCTCTCAAGAGTTGGAAGAACCAGGGCTGTGGGGAAAAAGGCAGGGCCTTACCTTTCCTGAAGGTCATGTAGGCTCTGCTCAGCTCGGTGTAAGCCTTCCAAATCCTTCATCATCTTCTTCATGTGCTCCTTGGAGTAACGGTTCTGGATATAGGCAAACCAGCAGCCGCCCACACCAATAACAATAGACACTACCAGCATGAAGTCCTTGAGATGATTATGGCGGGTCACTGCCAGAAAAGGGAGGGCATAGTGAGTCAGGATGTCCACAGCACACTTGGCCTTGAACACTCAATGTATCTCCACCTCTATGATGTCTTCCCTGAGAGACACAGCCTTTCTCTTCTTAGATACATACTTTCCACAAACTATCATAATAAGTTTTGTGTCTATCCCTCCACTAGTCAAGGCCTGGTTATACTAGAAATTTATTAACTCATATTTCCCTTAGACACAAGAAAACAGTGCCTCTTAGAACATCTCAGCCATCTCTGGACAGGGATGAGCCCATGTGTCCAGACAGAGTGACTTTCACCCTATGGGGAAAGCAATGGTAAGGCAAAAGGAGTTGGCTGGTGCAAATCAATGTCACTAGAGCAAGGGATCTGGCTATGTGGGTAAAGTTATGTAGGAGCTGAGTATCCTGAACTGCTATGCCATTCTAAGCAAAAGATCCAAAGCTCAGATTCAATAAAGGTCTGGAAGAATTCTCAATCTATGAAGAATACTTCTGGGCTATGGCTCAAATGGAGATCAGCTAAACCCAGAGTAGCATCAAGAATTCATTGCTCTGCTTCCTGGCTGCCATGAATTTAATAGCTCTGTTCTAGCACACTGTTCTGCCTCACCACAGGTACAGAAACATGGAGAACTGTGAACCAAAATCTCTGAAACTGTGATCCAAAATAAATCCTCCTGAGAGAGGAGGAGGAAGGAAGAAAGGAACAGGGAAGAAGGGAGGGAGAAAGAAAGAGAGAGAGGTATTTGAGATATATATATATATATATATATATATAGATATAGATATAGATATATATATAGATATATATATAGATATATATATATATATATATACGACATTACACATGCCAGGAACTGAAAGACAGATCTACCACCAGAGAATTACTGGCAGTAAGTTAGTGATGTGCAAGGGTTTCAGTCACTAGCTGGGGTTTGAAGAAACGTCCAGTCAATACAGAAAATTTTGGATGCTAAACAAGGAACATCACCAGAAGATAAAAAGCAAAAGTCACTCCCAAGAACTTATCCAATCAGTAGAAGGCTGCTCCTGGAGCCTGGCATTGTTCATAATATCCCAGATCTGAGCTCTAGGCCAGGGCAAAGGAGACTTGAAAGAGGCACCACAAGGGCTTCTTAATACCTTCTCCATGCTACTTAAACCCTTCCATGTGTCTCAAGGTCCTACTGCTACAATCTTTTTGGGTTGTGCTGTGAGGGCCTGGGAATAAGTGGAAATGGGAGTTAAATCAGAGCCTAATGGCCCTCTGTGCATGGCAGGTTGCCCTTGGTTAGGGAGAGGAAAAGGTAGGACTGGCAGCATGTTAGTGTCAAGTTACATATATAGGCTGACGGAAATTTAACAGGACCCAAGTATGTACCTGCCACATCTCACAAGTTACCAAACTTGCCAAAAGAACAACTGATTTACTCTCTGGTTTCAGTGATCATCACTTGCTTGTATGCCTGTGCCCAAAATATTATGTAACAGCATTCAGAGTGTACTCAATAAATAGGATTGAATCTGAATTGCTAAGCCTCAGAACATTATGGCATCTCCCTCCTCTTAATCCATATTAAAGTGGAAACAGCAGAAAATATAAGAAAACTGAAGCACTGTCAGGAATATTAACTTGTTGGAGTCTTTTCATAAAAAATTATATAAGCCATGCACCAGTGGCTCATACCTGTGAAGGTGATATCTGAAGATTGTGGTTCAAAGACAGCCTAGGCAGAAAAGTTCATGAGATTATTTTCTTCAACCACCAAAAAGCTGGAAGCAGAGCTATGATTCAAGTGGTAGAGTGATAGGCTTGAGCAGAAAAGTTCAGGGATAGCACCATACTCTGAGTTCAAGCCCCAAGACCAGTATCAAAAAAAGTGGGGGAGAGGGTATATATCTGGAGAGTAGTTCAGTGGCAGAGTATTTGCCTAGCATTCATGAAGTCCTGGGCTTGATACCCAGCAATGAAGGAAAAAAAGTGACAGAGCAGATTCAAATGTGGATTTGCCTGGCTACATTGTCTTTTCTCTATACCATACTTTCTCATTGCTATGTTCATATTTATGCTGCAACTCTATATGCTGTTATAGCAAACATCTCTCAACATATCTATGTTTCCTTGATCAAGATTGAGTATGAGTCTATAAGCACAAGTCTATGAGTTGTATCATAAGTGACAACCTATAGACATCCTAGAGATGTCTATATTGCTATGAGAGTAATAGTCAAATGCTTCACCTTTAAAGTTAAACATAAGGCCTCAAATGGAGAAATTCACACGTGGTAATAGCAACTGTCTTGCATTGATATAAGGTCTAGGTTCTATGCTTAGCCTCTGCCCCAATGAGTTGTGAAATTCACTTCTGCCTGGATCTCAGCTTCCTCCATTCTAAAAAGTATTATCACATATTACTGAAGATACAGAATGCATAGATATAAATAAAAGTACCATACTTTGAGGTGCCTTGAAAATACTCAAATGGACCTATCCAGGAGGTAATTAATAATATAGACATGTACTTTGAGAAGAGAAGAAGCTGGAGAAACAGATATAAAAATCATCAAGCCCAGCCAGGTGCTGGTGGCTCACGCCTGTAATCCTAGCTACTCAGAAGGCTGAGATCTGAAGATCACAGTTCAAAGCTAGCCCAGGCAGGAAAGTCCATGAGACTCTTATCTCCAATTAACCACCAGAAAAACTGGAAGTGGTGCTGTGGCTCAAGTGGTAGAGCGCTTGCCTTGGGCTGAAGAGCTGAGGGACAGCATCCAGGCCGAGTTCAAGCCCCATGACTGAACAACAACAACAAAAAATCATCAAGTCCAGAGCTGGAAAGGTGGCTCAGTGGTAGAGTGCTTGCCTTGAATGCATGAAGCCCTGGCCAGGTTTGATTCCTCAGCACCATAAAGCAGTAAAAGCCGGAAGTGGCACTGTGGCTCAAGTGGTAGAGTGCTAGCCTTGAGCTGAAGAGCTCATGGACAGTGCCCAGGCCCAGAGTTCAAGCCCCATGACCGAAAAAAAAAAATCATCAAGTCCTTTCAATAGAGCCCTGAGTCAAACCCCAGACAGAGATGAGTCTCCTTCTGTAGAGCTCCTAACATATATCTCCTTTAGAAGCAAGAATAAACTTCTAGCTGGGCTTTAAGCTGAATGCTGATGATAGATGAACAAAGTTACCCTCATTAAGCCAAGTTAAAAAGGTAAACAACAGCTAGCTGTGGTGGCACACACCAGTAATCAATGAGGCAGAAGGATTATGAGGATCATGCAAACCAGCTGGGCCAGAAAAAAAAGTAAAAAAATAGAAGAACAGAAAAAAAAGAAAGCCGGTACAAAGGAGCAATGTTCATAGAAGGGTAAAAGAGAAGGGCTGAATCCTGGAGAAGATTTAAAGGGTAAGTAGGAGCATAGCAGAAAGAAGAACATGCCAACAAAGACAAGGATAAGCTCTACCACTCCTGCTCTGTAAAAACTTTCTGCTTTCATTTGAACCACAGAAGGTTAAGGTAAGATGTAGTGTTTTCTTCTATGTAACTGCATCCTGCTGAAAACACAAATGGAACCTTATCCCCTAGTCCAAGACACAGTAGGCACACTCTAAAAATAGTAGCTGCCAGTTGTTTAGGAGAAATTGAGGCACAGAGAACCTTAGGAATGTGCCCAAGATCACCAAGCTACTGAATTATAGAGCCAGTCTGCTTGGCTTAAAAGCAGAAACTAATTTTTGAATAATGGTTGTCACTTAAAAAACAAATGTCCTCTAAAAACACATTTCATTTCCCTGAGCCTTTATTTTCTGAGATATTATCTATAAAAGAAAGACAATAGCTTAGGCCTCAAAATGGACACTCGTTCTACTAGGTGTGATCCTTTAAGCACACCTAATACCTGTCATGTGGCATGTGACAATTTTTCACATTCAGAGCCCCAGACTGGCTTGTAAGCCTAGAGCCAACTCTGAGAGTGGAAAAAACTATAAAGGACCATGATCTCCTCAGAGGCTACAAGAGGCCTGAGCATGCCTTCCCTTGTCAGAAAATGGTCCCTGAGATAGAAACGGTCTGACCCTTTGTGCCCTTCCCACGCTCTGAGGCTGCTCTGGCTAGGTGGAATCTGCTCTCTCCACAGGCTCTTAAGCTATCTCAGGTCAACTGGCAGGGTTTACTCTATGGCTGGTCAAAGTGGCTGTGGCTGTTCTCTGGGGTATTTGCTACTTGACTTATAGCCTGAATATCTACCCAGTCTAGGTTTAGAATACAGGGTAGTGCCAGCACAGACTGTCACTCTCTGTCCACCATGTGTGCTGAACAGAGAACAGTACTGAAGGAGGAGTTTCAGTCCATACTAATAAAAGAAATCAGAGCCCAAGGAGCAAAGCTCAAAGGACTCTTTACAGGCACCCGGCTGGCAGAGCCTACTCTGAATAAGTCTCCTGGCATACGGTCACCTAGTATTTTCCTCAAATTCCAGTTGGCAATTTTTAAAGTTTTCCTTTAACAAGTAGACAAATATAAAAATAAAAACCAGTATTTGCCATCAGGATGGCTGTTGGTTTCTAAAAGCTTTGCACCCAGCACAACAAACTCTCAGAACCTTGAATGAAAAAGCTAGTAAGAGCTTTTGCTTACCACATCCATTTTTTACATGTAAGAGAACCTAAATCTAGGCAGTACCAAACTACCAAAGGCTACATGATGACACAAGGACCAACCATGGTATTCCCTAAGTACAGGACACAGACCTCACAAAGGAACACAAGACCCTTATCAAGGAGAAGTCTCTTTCCCAAACCTTGGAATGTTACAGGATCCTTCACACATCAGAAACACTCTGGAGAAAAGGGATCTACCAAGCTAGGCACCAGTGGCTCACGCCTGTAATCCTTCCTAGCTACTCAGGAGGCTGAGATCTGAGGATCATGGTTCAAAGCTAGCCTGGGCAGGAAAGTCCATGAGATTCATCTCCTAACCACCAGAAAACTGGAAGTGGCACTATGGCTCAAGTGGTAGAATGCTTGCCTTGAGGGACAACACCCAGGCCCAAGTCCCACAACTGACATAAAAAAAAAAGTGGGGAGGGGGGGAACGGGGAATCTACCTAATCACATAGTGAGTAGCAATTATGAAGAAAACAGACTCCTGACTGTCACTTTAGGGTTCTTTCTCAAAGTTTATAAACAAGTTCTCTGAATAGAAGTCCATGAGTTACAAAAATTCAGGTTATATATTTAAGATATAATTTGTAAACACTAAAATTCTCTTTTAAATTATACAAGGTAACAGTTTTAGTATATTCACAAGGCTTCACAATCATAAGCATAATTGTTATTAAATTATTATTACCCCTGAAAAAAATCCTATATCCATTAGCATTCACTTCCCATTCCAAATCTGTTTACTTTCTGTCTCCATGGATTTGCCTATTCCAGATACCTCATACAATCAAAATCATAAAACCGCACACTATGTGATCTCTTGGGACTGACTTCTCTCCCTTAGAATGATGATTTTCAATTTTGTCTACGTTGTATCAGTATTTCTTTTATACTTTCTGGGGTTGATTATTATTCTGTTATATGCATATACCACATTTATTTTTTCCATTTTTTGATGTTTCAATTTTTGACTAATATTCTAATTTTCTATACTGTACCAACACTTATTATTGTCTATCTTTTTTATTACTGATGTATCATTGGGTGAGGTATTATACCTCAATATAGTCTTGATTTATAGTGACATCAGTTCATGTGCATAGTTGGACATGGAAAAATATATTTGAAAGCCATGGCCCATTTTTTAAAATTGGGTTATCTTTTTTTTGTTGTTCAATTTAAAAAATTCTTTATTTGGGGGGAGGGAGTAGTACTAGGGTGTAAACTCAGGATCTTCAACTGTACTTTCAGCCCTTTCAAATTCTTGATATGTCCTTTGAAGTACAAAACTTTTAAACTGAATTTTAAATGCTGTTTTGTTGCCTGGCTTTTCTGAAAGAACAAAGTAGTATAGGTAAAACTCAAATAAATACTTAAGTAAACAATTCAAGAGCATACGGTATATTCTTTTTTTGGAGGGGGGGAGGTTGGGGGGCCTAAACTCTGGGTCTGGGTGCTGTCCCTCAGCTCTTCAGCTCAAGGCTAGTGCTCTAGCACTTGAGCTACAGCGCCACTTCTGGCTTTTTCTGCTTATGTGGTGCTGAGGAATTGAACTCAGAGCCTCATGCATGCAAGGCAAGCACTCTACCACTGAGCCATCTTCCCAGACTGCATACAGTATATTCTTGATGTTACATAATTACAAACTCTACTAGTTCCAAAAAATTGCTGTCCATCAATGGAAAATTGTTACATATTAAACACTGTCTCCTCATTCCCTCTTCAGCTCCTGCCAATTATCAATCTGCATTTTGATTTTATGATATCTCCATGGACTTATTCATTTTGGGTATTTCATATAAATGGAAACAGAGAGCATATGACCTTTCCTGTCTGTCCTCTTTGTCTGAAAATTATGTTATGGATTTTCTAGGTATCTACACTGTAGCAAGTGTCAGAACTTCACTCAACTGTATAGTTAAGTAATATCCCATATAATGTAATTTACTCATTTATTCATTGATTAATGGACATTCTAGTTTTCACCTTCTAGTTTTATTTTATCTTGTTTTGTTTTTGTGCCAATACTGGGACTTGAACTCAAGGCCTGAGCACTGCTCCTTAGCTTTTTCACTCAAGGCTAGCACTCAAGTCAAACAAGTGGAGCCACAGTTCCACTTCCAGCTCTTGATTGAAGGTAAGAGATAAAGAGTCTCAGAGACTTTCCTGCCTGGGCTGGCTTCAAACCAGATCACAGACTCTTGAGTAGGTAGGATTACAGGCATGAGCCACCAGTGCCCACTATCTTCTACTGCTTGTGGTGTCTTATACTGGTTTGAACATGTGTAGATGTACTTACTTGAGTACCTGTTTCAATGTTTGGATATATACTTAGATATGCAAATACTGGGTTGTAGTAATTGTTTGAGTCTTAAAGAACCACAATATTGTTTTTCAAAATAACTGAACCATTTCACATCCAGACCAACAATGTATGAAGAAGGATCAGAGGTTTCATATCTTCACCAACATTTATTATTATTATTACTACTACTACAGATACTACAGATATCCCAGGTAGTGTGAAATATATCCTTAGCATTTGAAATCTCTGTTCTGTATATCTTAGATATGCAGTTTAGATCACGCACAGTACACAGCCTATATGAAATGGATCTTCAAGAAAAATACCAGTCTAACTTGCTCTACTAGGGCTCCTCCTGCTTACTCCAATCCCCAGACCCAGCCAGGATTCTGGTTCCACATTAGCTGATTTTTACCGATAGAATTCTTGCTTAATAGTTCCTTTTCTTCTTTCTTTTTAAGACATGCTCTCACTGTTCTTTCTTTTTCTTTTTCTTTTTTTGGTCGGTCTTGGGGTTTAAACTCTGGGCTTAGGTGCTGTCTCTGTGCTCTTCAGCTCAAGGTGAGTGCTCTACCGCTTGAGCCACAGCGCCACTTCTGGTTTTCTAGTGGTTTATTGGAGATAAGAGTCTCACAGACTTTCCTGCCCAGGCTGGCTTTGAACCGTGATCCTCAGATTTCAGCCTCCTGAGAAGCTAGGATTACAGGTATGAGCCACCAGCGCCCGTCCTGTTCTTTCTTCTTAAGACATGCTCTCACTGGTTGGCCTTGAACTGGTGATCTTACTGCCTTGGCTTCCCCAGTGTGTACCACTGATGTAGCCTTTCAGATATGGTAAATTCTACTTTAATAATGTATATTAAAAGACTAAGAAAGACTTTAAGACTGTCAAAGGCCTCCCCTTCTTGGGGGATAACAGAGGAATATGTGAAAGTACTCTAGCTTTCATTGGGTACAATTCTTCTGCTATAAATGTTCTTGCTGGTGTGTGCACAAAAGCATATAAGCTTGTCAAAGTTAGAGTTTAATAAGGCCACTTCTCATCTTCCTTCCTTCCTTCCTTCCTCCCTCTCTCCCTCCCCCTCCCCCTCTTTTGCCAGTCCTGGGGCTTGAACTCAGGGTCTGAGCACTACCCCTGAGCTTCTTTTGCTCACAGCTAACACTCTACACTTGAGCCACAGCGCCACTTCCGTCTTTTCTGTTTATGTGGTACTGAGGAATCAAACTCAGGGCTTCATGCATGCCAGGCAAGCACTCTACCACTAAGCCACATTCCCAACCCAGCTTCCCATCTTTCAACTCAGCTTAAAGTGTTTTCTCCATAAAACTTCCTGGAGAGATTGAGGATATAGATCAAGTGACTGAAGAGTAAAGCCTTGGGTTCAATTGTCACTACCTTTAAAAAAAATACAAAATTCAGAGGCATAGCCCCAGCTCCACACCCCTACACACAAAAAAATTTCTTGGACTCCAATAAGAAATTCATAAATACTTTGTATCCCCAACTGAACTCTAAAAAGACAGAGTAGCTACAACATTTATTATAGTTGTTGATCAGCAACTCTATTCTATTATTTATACCGGTACACAGTAGGTGTTTAATAAGCATGAGTGAATGCATGACAGGTCATTGCTCAGTACATAGTGCAGCCTCACATAAAAAGTAAGCTATTCATTGTGTCCTTTAGTTAAAACTTGACAATGAATGAGAAACTAAATGAATCCTAGAATTCCCTGAAGACAACAAAGAAGGTAGGAAATCTTCTAAGTTACTCTATTCTATACCTTTAAAAAGGTTTAAACCCACCTGTATTAACACATTAGCTTAGACATTTTCTTGTCAGTCCACAAATACAGGAAAAGAAATGTACTACCTTTGACCCTGTAAGCCAGCTACTTCTCTGGACTAGGTCACATCTCTATAGCATTTGACTGGTGACATCGTTAGCTATCATCTCCCAAAAGGTAGAGTTAGCCCTAAGAACTGTATGGTCAAAGCGAATTTCTTAACAAATATTACTTCCTTTGTTCCCCCTTGACTCACTTAAAATAATCAAAGGATGGCCAGGTAGGACCATTCCCTCCATTCAGATCCGCAGAGAATGAAATGAACTTACTACTCTCTCATGGCTGAAGAGTTCAATTTTCCTTAGACTTGAGTTGGTCTCTATTGCTTCAGTCAAAGCCTGCTAAGTCTTCCTTTGTCAACCACCAACACAAAAATGTTTAACAAGCAGACCTTCACTCTGTACATTGTGAAGGCAGGTAAGTAGTATCAGTCCCTTAGGGTTACTTGATATACCTGAACATATTTTTTTAGCCTTTGTATGCTTGCTTGGGTTGTTTTGTCCATCTAAAATGGCCTATTTTGCCATGGAATAAAGGAACACAGAATAAAACTCTGTCTCTCCTCTGGCCCTCAGAAGCACTGAATACCTGTCTAGAACACTTTTCATGGTGAAGCAGAGGGGCAGCGCTAGGAATTGAACCCAGAGCCTCAAGCAAGCACTCTACCATGAACTATATCTTCAGCCCTATAATATGCATTTTGTTTGTTTGCTTGTTTGTCTTTATGGGGGGGATAGAACCCAGGGCTTATGTGCTAGGCAAGTGCTCTATCACTGAGATATAACCTAGATAGAATGTTCATTTTTTTTCCCTTTAGGGTAGAACATGATTCAGCTAGGTCCTCCTACAGAATCCAGCATAGCACATGCACAAAGTAGCTATTCCTTTAAAATATTTAATAAATGACAGGAATAAAAGTTGTTATTTGGCTAGACTAAAATACAAGACTGTTTTGTATTTCAATACCAGTGGAAACAGTGAAGGTGCTGCCCTGCAGATATGCCTATGAGACCCTGCTTCAGCCCAGACACTCAAACAGCATTGAGTTCCACGGCATTGTAGTAGGCCTTTTCTAAATAGGACTCACAAAGAGGAGGTCCAAACAGCACTGTGTCCAAGGCCTTTAGCTGCAGCTTCTGCCGGTGACTCCGATCTGTCATCTTCAGCACAGTCCCTGTCATGGTGGTATTGGTTACAGCTAGCCTGTTGAGACAGAGTTGGGAGTTAGGACCCTGACAGCAAAAGCAAAAGGATCCAAGTAGGATTATCCCCTTCCTAAGGAACAATTTTAGCTCTTGGTAACCGCTCCTCTTTACATTTTAGAATACAAACTTTATCAATAAAGTCTAAACAGGCAGTATTGAGGGACACAAAATATTATCAAAATTTGAATTTTCTCTCTCCTGATCCCCACCATTTCCTAAGTACCTTTCCTTCTAAGGACTACCCATTTATGACAATTCCCATACTCAACTACAAATTTTCCCTTATGCTTCCATGTCCAGGAATTATCCTTTATATATCTGTAACCATGTTTCACTAAATACAATAAAAAACATTCTCTTGTCCAGTCCAGACTAAAATTTCATGCCATTTGGCCCAGTAATACATGGAATTTCTTTTTTTTTTTTTGGGTCCGGTCGTGGGACCTGAACTCTGGGTCTGGGCGCTGTCCCTCAGCTCTTCAGCTCAAGGCAAACACTCTACCACTCGAGCCACAGCGCCACTTCCGGCTTTTTTCTTTTTGCTTATGTGGTCCTGAGGAATCAAACCCAGGGCCTCATGCATGCAAGGCAAACACTCTACCACTGAGTCACCTTCCCAGCCCAATACATGGAATTTCTGAACTGCCCTAATTCTAACCCACTGTCATTATAAATCAACCTGCTGATGACAAAAATTGAGTTCATCTCTGAGTCATTACAATGTAATTTAGTCCCAAAAAATTACTGTAATTTTTTCTGACCTTTAACCACAATGTCAATGATAACTTTAATATGTGAGAGTCTGTAAACAAGAAAATGACATAGGAAGAACTGGACTTTGTTTCTCTACTGCTGGAACACAGTGGGTACAGGAGAAAAGGGGTATAAGATACAAAAGGTTGAAAAACACTGGCCTGAAGCCTATAAAGGAATATTGAATATTACTGTTAGGTTGGTGTTCTTTTCTGATTCATAGTTTTATTTCCCCAGGTAGAAGAAAAGCTTACATTACAGTGTTTGGTTTATATTCCTGTCTAAGCATACAGGAATACCTACTTCCTCTTCTGGTCTTAAAAAGCAATCAAGCCCACCTACAAGTCGGTCAGTGAAGCACTATGATTAGGAAGCAGTCAAGAGAGCTGTCTTCTGATACCTATTCTACTAGTAACTCGTCTGATTATAAGCTGTTGGTCTCTCTCCTAGGGACCTCAGTTTCCTTCTATGCAAACTTACATAAAATTAGATGCTTCCTATAAGCCCGGGAGTTCTTTGGGCTCCTCTTCAAGTCACTTCTACAAGGTGTGATGGATTCTTATCTAACCAAAAGAAATAGACTGCAGTCTATTTCTCAAAGATACCTACGAACTGAAATGCTATCTATGTCTATACAATGAGAGAAAAAAGAAGGGAGCTAGCATTTACTAAACAACTACTGTGTATCTCATATCATGTTCTGATATTTTACATACAAAAGTACATTTAGTCCTCAGAACAACCTTAAGAAAGTAGCTCTATCCTGTCACCAAGGTTGAAACCTGTAATCTTAACTACTCAGGAAACTGAGATATGGAAGATCATGGTTTAAACCCAGCCTGGGAAGAAAAGTCTGTAAGACACTAGCTCAAAATTATCAGCAGGGTTGGGAATGTGGCTTAGTGGTACAGTGCTTGCCTAGCATGCATGAAGGTCTGGGTTCAAGTTCTGAGTACCACACACACAGAAAAAGCCAGAAGCGGCATTGTGGCTCATATGACAAAGTGCTAACCTTGAGCAAAAGCAGCTCAGGGACAGTGCCCAAGCCCTAAGTTCAAACCCCAGAACTGGCAAAAAATAACCAGCAAAAAGTAGAAGGAAGGCATGGCTCAAATGGTAGGGCATCAGTCTAGCAAACAAGCTGAGCAAGGTGCAAGCCCCAGTACAGGAAAAAAAGGAAAAGAAAGCAGTTCTATTATTCACTCCATCTTGCAGATAAGAAACTGAGACTGAGAGTTGAGTAACTTGCACTAAGTCACATACAAGTAAGCAATAAAAGCTGAGAATAAACTCCAATCTGCTATACTCTTCCTATTATACCATCCTAGCTAATTGTGTTCTGAGAACCATTCTTTTTCCCCCTCATGCACTGAAGGGGACTATATACTTCCTGCTGTCACTAAGGTGCCACAGCTTGCTATCTTCTACTCCTGTACTCAGCATGGCTAGACCTGCTCTTGGCGGCTCTAATACTAGCCTCAGAAGGGCTAGGTGAATCTGTGACCTGAGAACTCACTTTTTATCCTATGCTTTGCAGTTTTAACACAAGCCATAACCATTACATTTAATTACATTGCCTAAGCATCCACAAGGCAATACTGCTATATCCATGAGTAACAAGAAAAAAATCCCACATCCTGAATTTTATGGTCAATCATCTATTCATTTCATTGTTTCTTCCAATGAATATACACTTCCTCTAGGCAAGGGCCAGGTCTCATAAATCTCTTTGTCTTCAAGGTCCAAGGAGTATAGCATATGGTAGGTATGTGTGTGAACTTTTTTTAAAAAAAGAACTAACGCTGGGTGCCGGTGGCTAATGCCTGTAATCCTAGCTACTCAGGAAGCTGAGATCTGAGGATCACGGTTCAAAGCCAGCCCAGGCAGGAAAGTCTGTGAAACTCTTATCTCCAATAAACCACCAGAAAACCGGAAGTGGTGCTGTAATTCAAATGGTAGAGCACTATCCTTGAGCTGAAGAGCTGCGGGACAGCGCTCAGGCCCAGACTTCAAGCCCTAGGACCGACAAAAACAAACAAACAAAAAAACAAAAAAACTAAACTGAATACTACATGGAAGCCGATTTTTCAATCACACAATATATGAGGAAAAGGAAGTGAAAAATAAAGGAGAGGCACTTAGAATTAGGCAGACTTGGGTTCAAACCCTAGCTCTGCCACCTGCCATCTTAGATAAATAAGATTTACTGGAGTTCAATTTGCTCACTCAAAAGGCAAAAGTGTGGTAAGAAAGTACTCTATACCCAGAGGTAGAAGTATTGGGATTATTACTCCCTCAAGAGTAAGAAAAAACTGTGAAGAGGAGACCATAGGTAGCAGAAGGGAGAACAGCCAGCTCAATCAGCTAGGCTGGGACAGCAGCTCCTGGTAACTCAGTGGCTGCAGACAGCAGTGTGTAAGCATTCCAATGGCTTCCCCTTCCCCTTCCCCTTTCTTCTTTGCCAAAGCTCAAAACTAGATGTTTCTACATCTAGTTAACAGATAATAAAACTTCTGAGGGCCAAGGAAAGTTGTTGTCTATTCCCAGTATCCAGCACAAGTGCTTGGTACAGACTAAGTACCTAGTAAATACTTGTTGAATGAATAAATAAGTTAAGGACTGCATGGCATTTGATACTAGTTTGACATAACAAGAAGTCTAAGCAGCACTCCAACCCTCTCCACTCCTATCCAAGCCCTAGTGTACTGTCCCAGAAAACAGGCAAGCAGTTGTGACATATCTGCTGCACAGGTCGTTCCAGAGATGAGTGAGACAATGGGAATCAGCACCTCTGTACCATTTTCATTACTGTATTTGGATAACACAGAGAGGCTAAAAGAGCCCTAAGGCAGGAGGAGGAGGAAGACGAGGAGGAGGAGGAGGAGGAGGAGGAGGAGGTGGAGGAGGAGGTGGAGGAGGAGGAGGTGGAGGAGGGGGAGGGGGAGGGGGAGAAGGGGGAGGAGGTGGCAGCCGCGGCAGCAGCAGCAGTGGCAGTAACAGCAGCACTGGGGAAACAGCAAAAACAAAAACAAGCAAATAATGCAGACTGAATCTATTACATCTATCACAGCTCTAGATTCGTATCACAGTTTTACCCCTGATTTAGCCATGTGTATGACCTTTATATTGGGAAAGTTGCCTAAGCAATTTCATCATCTATATACAATAATACTGACCTTCAGAACTGATCTAACAATCTAAAAATGAGATGCTATATATAAAGTGTTGAGTAGCCCGTCGTCTGGCATGTACTAAGCATTCAATAAGGGAAAGCTGTTGAAGCAACTTTCAGGATTGATAGAAACATTAAATTAGAGAATGAACACCAAGTGCTCATCGTGCTTTATAAAAGCACACAACAGATGTGTGAAGAAGAGATGCCTGCAGACTATCCTGTAAAATCTCACTTAACCAGACAGGACAACCTGGAAGCATATCCACCTCACCCCACTCCCTCCATCTTCAAGTGAGTAAAATCCAGACCCCCTCCTGACCTTGGCATGGCATGACCACTAAGTTGCAGCTTCCGGAAGGTCTCCTCATATTGAGGCAGCTCCACATATGTGATCAACCATTGCACCACCTCATCCACTGTCCAATTGTACACTGTGAAAAGAGACAAGCACACCATGACTCCAAAATACCAAGCACTGCTTGCATTTAACTGTTATGATCAAACTGACTTTAACATTTTCCACATTTGTGTGTTTAACATATCTTTTACCCATAACATCCCAAGTATGAAAAGAGTACACACTGTGCAAGTCTACTTATATGAAATCTTAAAATCTATAGTATAGATTCAACCATTACCCCAAAAGTGTTTTGGGTTAATGAAAATATTCTATATTCAGTACAATGATGGTCATACAAATTACAACACCCACAAGACTCATCAAACTGTACATTTCAAACAGGTGTATCTCTTTGTGATATCTCAATAAGGTTGATCTTGAAGTATTTTAATCATAAATGTGACCAGGATTGAAAAGGATCCATCCATCCATCTATCTGTTCATAAAGCATATATAAAAGGCAAAAGGCCCACTTAATACCAAGCACACAACAAGTTAGTTAGAAAGATTAAAACTAAATAACATCAGTGAGGCATGGAGTAGAAAACTTGATAAAGAAATATGCATAGAGCACAGAAGAGAAAGGGAATGACTGCGTAGTGGTTTAGGGACAACCTGAGAAAAGATGTTGAAACTGCAGCATAAAAGAGAAGAGTCTATCTGTGTGTGAAGGAACCTATCCAAGTGTGCAATACTTCATGGATGTGAGAGAAATAAGTACTTGCTATTAGAATGAAGGTGCAAAGAAAAGATGTGAAGTTGGATTTGTCTAGAATATGGAATGCATGAAAGTTCTTGCCTGCCATGCTAACACAGCTACTGGGATTGCCTGAAATAAGCCTGCCTTAGGTTGCTCTAGCCAATTAAGCGAGATCTACTGCTTTTCAGGTCAGAAGTTAGAGAACTAACCATGTCTCACATCTACTGAGAACTTGTTACAAAGCCTTTGAGCACTTTATAAATATTATTTTATTTAATGTTGCTAGACAGAGCTGCACTGCCAAAAAAGTAGTAGCTACAAGTGGCTCTTTAAATGTAATTTTATTTAAAAAGTAGTTTAAATTAAAAATTCAGTTCTCCAGTGTCTCTAAGAATTTCAAGTTTATAGAAGCTAGAAGTGGCTAGTGGCTACCACATTGGACAATACCAATCATATAATAGTTTCATTATTATTAGAAAGTTCTGTTGGATAACACTGATGAAGATAATTTTCTATGAGAATGAAAATATGAGAATGAAAATAACCTACAAGTCAAAACCAAGAGTACAGGTGGATCATACAAATATATGAGGTACAGGCTATCAACTTTGGTAAGAATTTTGCATTTGAGTTTTCAATTGTGTTCATGTAGAATAGTTACAATAGAAAATATTTGCCTGAATGTTAGAACATGATCTTTTATTAATAATCAAAACCTAAACATAGAACTACACTACAATCCAACTCTATAACTCTTGGACATCAACCCAGAGTATTAAAAATCAAGATACAATAAAGACACTTGTACATCCATGGTCATTGCTACGCTATTCTCAATAGCCAAATTATGCAAATAGCCCAGATGCCCTATATGGCTGAGTGGATCAAGAAAATATGATACATACATATGATGGAATTTTACTCATCTATCAGATAGAATATTATGTCATTTGCAGGGAAATGGATGGACCTAGAAAAAAATTATGTTAAGTAAAGCAGGCTTAAAGGGACAAACAATGCATGTTTTCTCTCCTATGTTGAAGTTTTAGGTCTAAATATAAACATACACAGGGTTATATGCATATACACATAAATTGACTAATTAATCATATACTTAGGGGATGAGTCCAATGGTGTAATTCTACTGAACAACTAACAGTTTAACAAAATGAATACCAGGAAGCTGTAACAAGTTCTGTATGGGAAAAGAGAACATGGAGGGTGTACACAAAGGAGAGAGGAAGGGTGAACAAATACCGTCTGTGTATTCAATGTATATTATATAAAAATTGAACTATGTAACTTGAAAGTAGGGATGGGATGGGGAAAGATGGGGGAAGAACAATGGAAGGCATGACATGGGTCAAGATGCATTGTACTCATAACCTGACTTCTAGAACTGAAACTCCTTTGTATAACTACTTAATTTAAAAAAAGTTATCAATCTCAAGTTTAGAGTTTTTAAAAATGTGGAATGCTCCATGAATTTGCATGTCATTCTTGATCAGGAGCCATGATTCTCTGAATCATTCCAATTTTGGTATATGTGCTGTTGAAGTAAGCACTCAAATTTAAGTAGTTTAATACAAAAAAAACCCATATATCAAAACTAATATTGTATACAAGTATATTTTTATAACTACAATCCAAATGTTTCCCATTAAAACCTAAAACTACCACATCCCCAGAAAGAATGCCATAATACAACATGATAACCTATTACAATCTATTTGATAGCACTATGATGGACAGGGTCATTTTTATCACCAACCATATCCTTCCCCTTGTGAAGGCAGCAGTATGCTGAAGTTATTAGGAGAGCCACGCATCCCCTGCTTTCAGCGAGTATGTTCAGGGAAAGCTAAATCAACCACTGAAAGCAGAGCATATAACTAAGGTTCAGTCAATCAGTATATTCCATCTTGAGGTCTACAACGCTTAATTCCGGAATGAGCATACAACCCAATGTGAGCCTAAAGAAACTCAATTTCATGATTTTTTCCTGGCCCATGCAGGACAGACTTGTTCATCTATGATACTGGTATATGATAGTCCTGAACTACCAGGTTAATAAAATCAAGAGAAGCAGTCACATAAATATAATCTTCACCAACACAATGTGAAATCGACACCATTTTATCCTCATTTTAAGATGATGAAACTGAAGCACAGAAAGATTACATAACTTCACAAAAGTTACCCAGCTAGAAATGGATAAAGATTCAATCTCAGGCAAACTGTCTCTATATCAATCTGCCCATCTATCTCTCCTCCCTAAGGCTGCTAGAAGCCTTCCTACAGAGGCAAAGCCGAGCAGAGATGAATCCAGATGGCATCATTTAGGTCCTGAGTCAGAACAAGCCTGCAAACATCCCTATTCATTGATATTTCAGTTTTGTACAAGTAAATTTCCTCTTTTGATTACAACAGAGTAATAGGATTTTCTGTCATAACAGAAGCCAATTCTAACTGAAATAATTATTGAGTGATCCTTCAAAACATGGCAAATCATATCATCACTAATACTTGGAGCACTATGGCTAATAAACCTCAATGATTGTAATGTTGTGTAAAAATACCCTATGGAAATAATTTTTATACCTTGTGTATGTAGCTACATAGAAAGCAAGCTGAAGACTATACTCTGTTAAAAATCAACGCTGTGTTAAGGAACAGAAGTGGACTTACAATACAAGGAATATGTTCAAGCCAAGTAGGGGTCAAATGAGATCATGATGTATTATACAAATCACAGTTTGCAGAAGCTGAAATAGTGAAAAACGGTGGGAGGAATGAGTCATCAGATGGCACCCAGTAATACAGACATGTGGAACTTAAAAGCCTGAGAGCAATTGAATTTCAGCAAAAAGATACCATGTAATTGGATGCGAAGTTTACTGGTACTTAAAATGTGAACCTGATTTTCCTTATATTTAAGTAAAAATTTTGTATAACAACTTATAGCTCCATATATGTTTGTATATAACATGTTTTTAAATGACACATTAAAATAATTTAGGCCAACACTACAGGTCCAAAATAAATTATTTTTTCCAAAAGAAATGTGTACTTTCCTCACATTTAAAAAGCACTGTGGCCAGCAAAAAGCCAAAACAGTTTTGAGGAGAATGATATGATGAGTTTCATCCCCTGCCTCCTGAGGAGCCATATAAGAATATGTCCTATTCACTTTTGCTCAGCAACCGTTTCTAAATAAAAGATCATATACATGGTATCAATGAGAATTTACTCAAAGAAGCTGAATGAAGTAGTTTAAGACTCTAATCTTAGCTACTTGGGGAGCTGAGATCAAGAGATTCCCATTCAAGGCCAACCTGGGCAGGAAAGTTTGTGAGACCTCTCATCTCAATGCCAACTACAGGGGGAAATAAAACAAGATTGAGGTCCAGACACAACCTTATACAGGAAGTGAGACCTGTTCTCAAAAAGAATTAGTGCAAAAGGAGAAGAGCTGGAAGCATGGCCCAGCAGTACAATGCACTGTGAGGATTAAGAGTTCAAATTCAGTGGGGTTGGGAATGTAGCTTAGTGGTAGAGTGCTTGCCTAGCATGCATGAAACCCTGGGTTTGATTCCTCAGAACAACATAAACAGAAAATGTTGGAAGTGGTGCTATGGATCAAGTGGTAGAATGCTATCCTTGAGCAAAAAAAACTCAGAGACAGTGCCCAGGCCCTGAGTTCAAGCTCCAGGACTGGCAAAAAAAAAAATTCATATTCAAGTACCACCAAAAAGCTGGGTGTTGGTAGCACATGCCTGTAACCCCAGCTCTTGCAAGGCTGAGAGGCCAACCTGGGCTACATAGACTCTATTTCAAAAAAAGAATATACATAACTTTGGTAGTGTTTCTGTCACTCTCATATTCTCTCATGATTCAGAAGCATCTTGTATGAAGAAAACACTGAAGGCAAAAATGTTCCAATCTTAAGGTTCTCCACAAGATATGCCAGGTTTCAGGATGAAAGCATGTTTGCTGAGTGCTGAGTGGCTATAGAGGTAGGCATAATTCAGAGACATGACAGGTAAAAAGGGAAAGGTGTGAAGAGGGAGGAATGAAATAAGTATAGTGTATTCTATGACCATATCCTGGAAGACAAGACACTAGAAGCTTAGGCAAAAGGTGTGTAAATACCACTTAGTTAAGTCTGTAGGTCCCAAACAAGAACATATGAGACAAAAAGAAAAAAATTAATTTCTAAGAGATGCATTCAAGTTTTAGGGCTTGGAAAAAGAGGATAATGGAATTAGGGTTAACGAAGTGTTGAGGAAAGTAGAATAAAATAGCTTATTCCTGACAATGAAAATATGTTCTCACACATTATAAATGTGGTCTTTGACTATGGTCTGGAGAGTCAGGTAATGAAGTCAGAGAAGAGTGGCACGCCTACATGAGGCAGACAGACAAGTGCTAGCCTGTAAAGGGAAGAAAACAACACACTCCTATCTGTGCTGCTACTGGAGCTAGGCCTAACTCTGCACAAAGCGGCCTTTCTCCTTGGTGGGGAGAGGAAAGAAGGCAACTCTTTTTGTTGTTAGAAGGGCCTGAGGCCAGCGGTGCTTCAAGGGACTTCTATTAGGAGGCTACCTTACTACAAGAACTTGCATATACTGGCACACAACTGGCACAGAGGAATTGCTTGATCAATACCCGCCCCAGCACAGACAAGCAACAGCCAGCCTAGCCCAGGGTTCAGTGACACTTGGGATGGAAGCATCTTTGTTGTGGGACTTGTCTTATGTATTACTGCAAGATTAACATCTCTAACATATATCTACCAGATGCCAGTTGCATGCTGCCAGTTATGATGATCAAAGATGTTTCCACATACTGCTGAATGTCCCCTGGGAGACAAAACTGTGCCACAATCACTGCTCTAAACATGGTATTAGGAAACCGAGTCTCTAAGGAGGACACTGTACTCCAAAGCAGATGGACTTTGACTAGCCCCTACGTAGCTTAAGTACAGGGAAAAGGGACAATGGCCCAGTGTATCACACCAAACCTCAAGGCAGTTTTTGTTTGTTTGGTTTATTCTCTACATTTCATTCTGTTACCTAGGCAGCAGCCCTATCTAGTAGGGCTTGGCAACATAGTGTCATCCACCCACAGTCACTGTAGTCTGAACAAAATAATCTGTAACAAGCTGTATCATATATATTAAGTGTATCTCAGACAGTGTAAGTTCTAACAAGATTCACAAACAACAGTCCAGTGAAGCTATCAGGACCTCTTGTTCCTAAGACTCAAATACCTAGAAGTTAAGTCTTGTTCTGCATTCTCATTCCAACAGAGGAAATGGGAAAAATCCCTGGACCACAGAGAAAGCAACACCAAGTACACAGAGCTCACTGTTAGCAAGAGGCTACAGAATATGACAAGGAGAGTTTATAAGAGAATAATACAGATACAGATTCCAAATGATTTGTGTCCAAATCCTAGGAGGACATGTAAGCAAGAGTGGTTTATTGAAGTCACAAGCCTCCTCAAAGCTTGATCTGTGGTTGCTAGCCACATCAAAGACTACATTTCTGGACAAAATAATGAACAAGGTTACATGGAATCAGAGAATGTCAATCTCTGGAAATTCCATCAAAAGAGAGAACAGACAAGATGAATAATCTTACTTTCTCATTGTCATTATCATTATTTATTAATTAATATTAATTAGTATGTATAGTCAGCCCCAGCCCTGGGAAAGGGGCTTTTGTATTTGAGAAATATTTTACATAAATAAATAAAATATTCTATTTTATAATGAGGTAATCACCAAAAAAAGTATGCTTTGGTTGAGTTTTGTTTGTTTAAGTGATTGGGGTAGTACTGTAGTCTGAACTCAGAACTTTGTGTTTGCTAGCTAGGTGTTCTGCCAGTGCCTCCAGCTCTTTTGCCATAGGTTATTCTTTTTTTTTTTTTTTGGTCTGGTCGTGGGGCCTGAACTCTGGGCCTGGGCACTGTCTCTCAGCTCTTCAGCTCAAGGCTAGCGCTCTACCACTTGAGCACAGCACCACTTCCGGCTTTTTTCTTTTTGCTTATGTGGTGCTGAGGAATCGAACCCAGGGCCTCAGGCATGCAAGGCAGGCGCTCTACCACTGAGCCACTTTCCCAGCCCCCCATAGGTTATTCTTTAGACACTGTCTTGTGTTTTTGCCCGGGCCTGGTCTGGAGTATACTTCTCCTACCTATGGCTTCCTAGGCAGCTTAGTGCCACAGATGCATGCCACCGCACCCAGCTAATCTGTGGAAATAAGGGTCCTAAAAACTTTTGCCATGGCTAGTCTCAAAACCATGAAAAATAAAGTTATTGAAGACTGACAAATTTCTGAGCACCTTAGAAAACTGGATTTTTATTGTTAAATGTACTAGAATTGGAAGCTGGAAGACTTTGATTTCTACCTTAGCTATTATAAGGGACCAACTTGAGTGAATCATTAGACCATTATAAGCTTCACTTTCTCTTTCTGTTAAATATTCACTCTGGCTGGGTTCCAATATTTCATGCCTGTAATCCTAGTGAATTCAGGAAGCTGAGATCTGAGAATTGTAA